ACCCACGTCGGGACATTTGCATCAACGAGATAATTGAGCTCAAGTCGCTTCGCAATGGCCATGGTCGAGACAAGTTCATTGACATCCTCGATCAGCGAACGAGTGTGGAACCATTCGTACCGCAGCTTCATCATTCCGGCATCCACTTTGGACAAATCCAGAATGTCGTTGATAATCATAATCAGGCTGTTTGCACTCGTCTGGATGGTATTGGTGTAGTCGCGCTGCTCTTCATTGAGTGTCGTTTCCTGTAAAAAGCTCACCATGCCCGATATTCCGATAAGCGGAGTACGAATCTCATGAGACATGTTACTCAAGAATCGGCCTTTTGATTCCATAGCCTCTTTCAGCTTCGCCTCAAGGAGCTTGTGATCATTGATATCGGTGGCAGAACCAAAGTAAGAGCTTGCGCCGCTGCCAAAATCGATGGTATCGATCTCAACACAACGAATAAGATGCCACCGATATTCTCCTGTTTTGGAGCGCAATCGGACTTCTGTTGTGTATGATGGCCGGCCGTTCGAGTCAGTCCCGACTTTGATGACGCCTTTTCTGGCCAATTCTGCCAGGTCAGAATTGGCAAGTTGATAGCCTGTCTCTTTATTGGAATTGATTTGCTGACTTGGTGCGCGTTCATGGCCTTGAGGCTCTTTTGGCCGTTCCTTTGCCGCGCCTGTGGGTGTGTTGTCACTCGATCCATAGCTACCGGCGTTACCCTTTCGATTGGATGACTGCGCTGACTGTGAAGAGGGGATGCGGCATCTAGCCAAGTCTTCTGGGTGAACAAAATCCATGAAGCCCAGACGCAGTGCATCTTCAAAACTCTGGCCAGTATAAGACAGCCATTGTTCGTTTGCAAAAGTCACGCCATCCTCCTCTGTAGCAGTGAAAATAATCTGCGGTATCAGATTTGCCAAGAGGCGGTGCTTCGCTTCTGAGGCCTCGACTTCCTGCTGGCGCGCCGCTTTTATCTCGGCGATGCGCTGCTCATGGATATCCAGATAAGACCCTAGGAATTGCACAACGGCTCCTCGCTTGTCCTTGGAAGCTACAGCACGAGCGTAGAACCACCGGTAGACACCATCGAATCTCTTGATTCTCACAGTGCTGGAAAATTGCTCGCCGGTCCGCAGCGAGCGACTCCAAGCAGCGAGATACTCATCGCGTTCATCTGGGTGAATGCTGCCCCATGGATCCGCAGACAAATCTGCCACTGTCTGCCCTCGGTATGACAGGTAACGGCTGTTTACCCAGACGATCTCGCCCGTCTGTGGCAGCGCAACGAAGACTTGGGCGGGTAGCGAGTCAAGAATGAGGCCCTTTAGTTTATCAGACGGCGGCGGCATGTCTGCAGCCGAAGCAATGAATGAATTGCTTCTTTGTAAACTGGTTGCACTAGATGCTAACGTGGGCCGGCTAAGCAGACTAGAACCAGGAGGTAGAGACTGGAAAGTCGAAGCAAAGTCCGCACCGTAGCTGTGAAGCCGGGAATGGCCTGTTTTATACGGGCCCTGCTCGAATTTTGACGATTCAGGAAACCTATCGGCCAACAAGGGGTCAAGATCAACGCTACCATCCAGACTGTTCTGAGAATGGACGTCCTTTTGGTTGAGTTCCTCCGAGCTACCAGTGTGTGTGTCCGCCAACTCGTCACTGTCAACCGTGGCAGCTTGAGAGGTCTGGGGAACTTTGCTGCCGGATAAGCGAGAGGGCCGCACATCTCCAGAAGGATCATCTTTCGACCCAGTCCGAGATCGCTGTGAACCTTGTCTCGCAAGTTTACTGCTGAAATAGCCGCCTGAGGACTGAGAGACTCCTGCGGGGCTCGCCGCGTGCTGACGCTTTTCGGCAAGATAGACTCCAGCGCCGGGTTCCCATCCAGGAGTTCCAATCGGAGAGCCAGTGGCACTCTTGGAGATGCCAGAGTAGTCACTAGGGCTCGTAATGCTCCCAGCCAAGGACTGCTGCAAAGCAGCAGTCTCTTCTGCTGCGAGAAATGCGGAGCTTTCCATGGGCTGTCCGTACGCTGAAACCGCGCCAAATCCAGCAGTGGATGGTCTTCTTCGTTTGAGACCGGCAAGTTCTGTCTCAAGATGGGTATAGTGTCGGCATTGCGAAAAAGATGTGGCAAGGTGCGGCGCAAAATGCTCTAATGAGTGGCGCAGGTTGGAGGGGTACGGAATAACAGGGCTAAGGATGGATAAGATGGCAATTGGAGGAGGTTTATCTTTCTTCTGGCTCTCAAACTCCGTAGAGCGTTGGTGGTGTGTACTCTCGGGCGACTGGCTGCTTCGCGACTGTGACTTCTGGTGCATTGTCGTAGCGTCGAGCCTGAAAGAACGCGGTTGCAATCTGGAGAAAACGACGTTGAAAAGAGGAATGTGCAGAACCGTCCAAGAGTGATCAACACCGATAGCTTCGGGAGGTCGCATGGTGGTATAATCTGTGGGCGTGGGGTCGGGATTAAATGATTCTTCATCAACGGTGGCGTCCGTGAAGAAGGGGTTTTCCTTTGGGTCAGGCCTGACTGCGGGTGACGGGGCTGGAGATTGTGACCATGGCGAGGGGGGAGCCTGTTCGTACTCCTCATACTTTGGCGTTGGTGGTCTCGGGCTGTCGTCGTCCAATATCGTGTCGCCGAAATGAACCTTGGTCCTGGGGGACGCACGAGCACCAGTCGGACCGGCAAAGATGGACGACAGTTTGGTCGCAGAGTCTGACCGCTTATTCTTGGGTTTCCGCGGCAGCTCGTGGCCAGGTGTCCTGGGGCCAGATTTCAAAACACTGGCTTGCCCTAGTGATGAAGGAGTCGGGGCTGTCGGAGCTGCCGGGGCCAAGTAGGGATAGTTTCTTGTTAGGGCAACAGGCCGCCCGCGTTCCAATACTCTCATGATGCCAGTGTGGTCAATGAGGGGGTCAGCTTCATAGTCAAGAGCCTGAAGGACGGGAAGGACTCTGCCCTGGCCAGTGTATTTGGGCACCAGAGGCGCCTCCCAGCTAGGGATTGGCTGCTGTTGCTGTTGCTCTTCCTCAAGACAGTCATGCTGCTCTAGAGTGCTTTTATTAAGCTTTGTGTGATCATTGTCTCGTTCCGCTGCAGTCTGGATGGATGGGAAATGGGTTTGGCTCCTCAAGTAGCTGGGCCGCTGAGGGGCCATCGTTGGCCCACCTTGCGACCTTTCCTTGTTCTCTTCAAAGGTGGTGAACGAGTGCCGACTAGCAAACGCAGGCCGCTGTGGTCCGTCTAATGGCGTCCCAATGGCGGACTCAGCAAGAGTATCATCGATGGCCTCATTTTCCGTGCTCTGCATGACGCTAGTCCCCCTCGCCAGGTACTCCAGACTTAGATCGTCTTGTTCATGTTCGTTGTATGTGGCCTTTTGCCCCCACGGGACGTTTTCAATGTCGGTAGTGTCGGCGGGGACTGCTAATGTCACACGCTCAGCCTTGTATACTTCTCGCATAACCTGGACGACGGTGCTCCACCAGGCTTCGAGACCTGGCTCGGCGGATAGCATTAACGAGAGATCATAGAGGTTGGGAGTAGGAAAGTCAAAAATCTCAAAAGTCTCGGGCTGCGGGGTGCCTCCTGGTTGAAAGGTCAAAGTCGAAGCGGGGGTCGATGTCTCTGATAGGACTCTATCGAGCACGCCGCGTTGCTCAAATGCCAAAGTTTGGGAGAAGCGAGAAGAGCCCGCATGGGGAGCAGACGATTGAGGGAGGCTTGAGTGGCCAAAACTTTCAGGTGGCAGAGTCATCCGAGGAAAAGGATAGGAGGGGGTGCTGGCAACAGGCGCTGGGGTGGTGCCCCCTCGAATTGTGTTTCCAGATTCAGTCGATGTAGAAGTGAAGACTGAAGTCGGATAGGGAGAGTTCAATACTGCATCTTCGAGAATGGGTGCTACACGGGCCTTGTCGGGCAAGCCCAGATGCAGTTCCTGGGCGGAGACGTCCCGATGCTCCAGATCGCGGATCAGCTTTTCCCGGTATTCAACAAGCTGCTTCTTCGGTCCACCGGCGGCTGGCAGCTCGTCTTCTGCAGATCCATTAATTACAGAGGAAACAAAGGCAGCGGAGGACGCAGCATTGTGGCTGTCGTCTACCGCATGGATATCAATATCGGCATCGACATCGACACGGTCCTGGCGGTCATCACCGGCACCTCGACCATTCACGTCAGTCGTACGCCGCGGGAAGAAAGGTCTAGAAGAAGTGGAAGAGACCGAGTCCTCAGGGGGGTTTAGGGAAGAGAATGGGTAACTAGAGCGGCGTCCTGCCATTGCGCTTTGGGCACGGGCATGGGCATCTCGATCTTGTGTGGTGCTGGCCGTCACTTGTCCATTTCTCGCAGCGGTCGGGTCGGGAGTGTCAACGGTCCAATGAGCAAAGGATGTGGTGGGCAGCTCCAGTTGCTGCGTCCAGGAGGTTGTCGAGGTGGGAGACGGAGCCTCAGCTTCGGTTGCGGTTGCAGTTTCGGTTGCTGTTGCTGTTGCTGTAGCGGTTGAAGTAGAAGAGGCCGGGGTTGAGAGAGAGGGCGAGAATAGGGCTCTCTTTTCGGCCGAGTAGCTCTGGCGTGGCATGCCTCATGCCTCTTCTCGCAGAAGAGGAATGGCGGTGGATCTCTGAAAGGTCAGGTCGGCAAGTGGGATGCCGCATACGCTGGACAGGGCGGCAGCATCCAAAGCGCAGGATATGCTCAGAAGATCTCGGCAGCGGCCACTGAACTGGTAGATTGAGAAAGGGCGACAAGGCAATAGCGGAGATCGGTCTGGCTGGTGGTGTCTCGCCTCTGTCTTTGCCCCAGTCTGTTCGTGTCGGCCTCTGCTTCTTGGTCGCGGTCTTGATCTCGATTTCGTTGTCTCTTTCTCGCTTTGGTCTCTCAACTTTCTCACTTACTTGTCTTCTCGCTTTGGATGTTTAAATCGTGTTTCTTTCTCTTTTTTGCCTTTTGTTTTCTCTCTGTGCCCTCTGTCCTTGTTTCCTTTTCTTCTTTCTTTTTTAGTCTCCTCCTTCAGTATCGCCCTTTGTGCCTCGCTACGCTGGACAAAACGGTGGTTGTGTGGAGTTGAGGTTGAGTGCGGGAAAAGGACAGTGGTGGTTGTGCCTCCCTGTAGGCCGTAGGGCCTCCTCACACGTCAGAGCAGTGCGTAAGTACAGTACGGTACAGCGAGTGAGTGAGAGCAGGGGGGGTGGGCAAAACGAGGGGCCAGCTGGACGGGATAGACGCTGCGGCGCGGCTGCCGGCTCCAGCAGCGCTAGAATCAGAGGCTCTCGGGGGGCAGCAAGAGCACAGGTCTGGGCCTGCAGACGCTGCACGGCGCAGGAAAAAGCAGACTGCGAGGCGTCTCAACGGGGGCGCGAGAGAGCTGGGCGGATCAACGATTGCAAAAGTCTGGCGACCCTGCCAAAGAGGCGCTTTTGCTGCCAGAAATGCCCCCCATGTCATCAAAACCCCCAGAAACGCCCCTGGTACATAGCGGCCTGTGTGCCAGGCGCCATCTAGGGGAGCGAAAAAAAAAAAGAGGGTATGACGTAGGTGACGACAGCTGGCATCCATCAGCCCAGGCCTTACGAGCCCCTAGCAAACGCTCGCGGCTAGAGGCCCCACGTCAAGGGGTGGGAAGAGAGGTTTTTTTCCGTGCAAATTGTTTTCCAAGGTTACTTTTGAGAGGCAATGGATACTACTGCGGACTGACTCTTGCCACTATACTAGGTACCCAGGCAGGCATGAGCCAGAGCATTGGTACTGGTACAGAGCACGGCTTTGACAACGCCAATCCGCGGCTATGGGTCTCTCACCAGCAGCTATCGGATCAAGACTATGATGCCAAAACTGCTAGCCAACGCCCCGAGGATCGTGCCGTTACCGCAGCTTTGCCTGAGGGTGCGGTACATTCATGCTTCTGTACAAGCACGACCCCGAACGCCGGCTCCGTTTCGTTCATATCGGTGGCGGGCGGGCCTTGGCCTTGGCCGTTGCGGCGGCATCGTGAAGCTCGCGTGCCTATCATCTAACTTTAAACTGCGACCACGCGGAGCTTTTTTCCAAAGAGCGCCTCCCTGTCTTTGGCTGCTGAGCCGATTGGTACGCCCGCCTTGGCCACCTCTAGAGCAGACGTGTCACTGCCTAGGGATGCTCCGTGCTACAGATTCGCATATGGATGTCCTCGCAGAACGCTATGCTCACAGACACGACGTGTTCCCAGGCAACTGGCAGCTCCATGTATGTCTGGCTTCAGCAGCTTGCTGACTGCTGACCGCTGCCAACATGAGGACGGATGGCTGACCAGCAGAGTCGATGGGGCGGCAAATCCAAGTGGTGAGACAGACGGGAAATGGTATAGAGAGATCGCGATGCTTTGCCGCGTCTGTTGTTCTGCCTGCTTCGATCATGCTCTGCAGGGCCTTGATCTGCTTGTGGCACCAAAGCATGAATGAAGCATGAATCGTGAAGCCATGTGCGCTTGGTCTAAAATGCTGACCGCCGCAGCGATGTAATGGTGCGGGCCGAAGCTGATATGCTGATATGCTGATGGTTTACGTGCATGTACCTCGCCTGAGTTCCAGCTGTGGTGCCACAGCCCTTGGCAGCGCCGCCAAAAGAACGCTACCTTAGTAGTACTAATACCGGAACAAGACTCTTCCCATGTACACACCAGGTACGCTGTGGTACCTGCCTGAGGTACTACTAGTAGTATTCATCGGCGACAGCACCTACTACTAGGTAGGCCACGGAGGCGCAGGTACCTACTACATAGTACCACTCTGTTACACCATCAACATAAAATCGCGTTCTTCGATCCTCCGAAATCAAGATGAACCAACGGCTGCTCGATCCCCTGTCTCCGTCGCTCAACCTCGCCTGGCCCACAATCCAGACGGCCAGCCAGGGGGCCGCTGTGCGTTACGCAGATGGGTCGCTAGCACGGCGGCGAACAGAAGACGTGAGTTTCCATCCATCGGCACCGGCCCAGCCACGAGGCGAAAGCGTCTTTTTTCACTCGAATTTGATCTGGCATCCACACATCCTTTCCCCGGACACCAACTAGCCCTATCCAACAAAGCGCTCCGTGCCGTGATGCTGATGGCTCTCTGCGGCCTTTGCTATTTGGGGCCAAGTCCAATAGGCACATGTAGGCAGGGTACCGACATGAAGGTAGCTGCTGCTGGACTACGGATACCATACACTGGGTATTCCATCATATTGCAACCCACGGCCTCAGCTGTCTGCTAGTTCTTTATCCACAAAGTAGGTACTACTACCCACTGGCTGGTATGCTTCTGAGCATCCATGCGGCGACCCAGATTGCATTAATCTTGGCCCAAGTTGCGACGCCGACGCCGTGCAACCCCTCGCAGGGGGATGGCCAACACCAAAGCTCGAAGCTTCCATGTCAGGCCATGTTGTGACGTACATGCAAATCATGCAAACCTCACACCTGTGACCGCTCTAGCAGGTGCAACGTGAACAAAATGGACCGGCCGATCGGCTGCTGATCGCCTTTGGAGAGGCTCAAGGCTCTCCCCTCCAAGTCTGATGACGGTGTATCGCCATTTGCCTTTGTCTCACAAAAGCTCGGCTTCCTCAAGAAGCCCCCAGTTCCCCGCGGGGCCTGCTGAGTGGACGTCATTTGTGAAGCATGGCCCCGGTGCAGCCGCATCAGACTTCGTATTCTCTTCTCTCCCAACCTAATGAGAGGAAGGGAAAAAAGTTTGCGTTCCCTGGTGAATTCATTGTCATCTCGCTGTTCCCTCTCCCGCCATCGCCCGAAGGTCACATGGCCCTACGACGTGTGTCGCAGCATCGACTCTAGATGACCCCCCGGCTCTCTCATCTGCATATCCTGCCTTAACTTCCAAGGTTGATGTAGATTCCTTTCGGCTACAGGCTTTTCGCCAAACAAAGGTTTATTTTTAGTCGGCTATAATTGGCAAAATTCCCGCTGTGGTATTCCAGCCTACCGGGTGCGTGCTTGGCGAGCCGCGAGGGAGAGCTACAACCGAAATGCTCGAATCTCAACACAACATGAGCCCGGCTTTGGAGGGCTGCGTGGTGACCCATTTAGCCAATATCCAGCAAGCAATAGGGCAGCCCGGTAAATGGTCGAGCGTCAAAATCAGACGCTTCCCATGACCACCAAATCCTAGACTATTCGCTAGTAGCTACTGTTCCCACCTGCGTCCGCAGGCTCCATACCCACCCGATGGCATGCCAAACAATCTACTTCTAGTATTCATCGTCGACGGCCCCCTGTACGCACAGCGACGAGGAGGGTAGGATAGTTATCGGCCACCGATATAAACGGCAGGGAAGGTGATGCTAAGCTTGCCAACACCAAACCCATCTTGGCATTTGATGCAGTGCAAGTACTGCGATCGGTCCGAGCCAGTGAGCCTAGACAGCTAGAATCCAGGGCAGAAGCCAGATGGTAGGCATCAAGCGCCCCAGGGGCATAGCTGTGAGGGCATCGACCCTAAAGGGGTTCAGTTACTGCCAGGTTAAGACAGGTAGGCATGCACAGAGGATGCAGTGTTCCCACCATCCCGATATACTATCGTATGGTCTACCACTATACCGCTCTGCCGCCGCAGCTGACCAAATAGGTAGCTCGCTGACTCGTACGTACAGTTGGTATTACTGCTTCGTAACCTAGTCGTATTTTCTCCCATCGAGAACCTCATCAAAGCTCACGATTTCGACAAATCCCAGGGCAGCGGGAGCATCCTGTCCGGGTCTCCGGCTGTATCCACAATGGCTCATTTGACGACGACCCGCTTTACGCCGGTAGGCAGTGGAATTCTTAAGGTTTCTATACATGCTTGGTGCCGGTCGGATCACGCTACATTCATTTGGAAGAAGAGAAGAAGAGAAGAGAGAAGAGAGGCTGACCACGGTACTAATACTAAGACGTGCGAAGACGATGCCGCTACCCGAGGCTGTTTAGTCACGATGCTGCTGCAGTCAAGGTATAACGAGCACAAGGTCGGGCGAATTGACGTAACAATCCGCTACTAATAAGGGTCGAAAGGGAGTTCAGCCGCACATGCTGTGCTGACCGACAAATTTTCACAGGTACAATAGGGTAGTCGATGGATGCTACCGCAGAAAATTGAAAATTAAAAAAGACCAAAAAGAAGGGGAGAAGAGGTGTAAGAACAACAGGCATAGATACGCAGTACACTGTCAACGCTACCTAGGAGGCTATATGGATATTATGGAAGAGACTAGGTACTTAGAGACTGGTTTCTGCGCTGTAGCTAAGTCTTTCGTTTGAGTATGGGAGTTTGTCTGAGGCTACTGTACGAGACTGATTTGAAAAAAACTAAAATATACAAGTAAGATAAAATCGGCTCGACAAACCAGGGAGGCGCGCTTGCTCCAACGGTGGGTGACGTCGGAAGTTGATTTCGGGATCCACAATTGCGTCGGTGGCGTCCATTGGAGATCCTGGCCGAATCCGTATTGGGGAAGTGGAGCCGATGGAGACACGTGTCGCTCCAATGCAGAGCGTGCTGCGAATGGAAGCGGAAGAGCAGCATTTCTCTGCTTGACGATTCATCACTTCACACGCAGACAGAACTTTTAGGTTTTGCTCTTTTCCGCAAACGACTGCCATATCGCGAGATATACGTGAGCTAAGAAAGCGGTAGCAGTACGAGTACCTGATGGTGGGCCACTTGTAAGGGGTGGATCATGCGATTCCAGTATAACTTCAAGGTTGTACATAGCTACCATTCTAGGCACTGGGGGCTAAGGTAGCCCTGGTAAGAGTGCTCTCAATCCAACTTCTAACGTCCAGAATTGCATGTACAGTACTACATACATCGTAGCTTCGGTGCCCACCCTGGGCATCCGAGATCAACCCTGAAATCGTTCCAGCCGGTATTTCCACAGAGATGGTGATCTGCCAGATAGATCACCGCCGCCAGGAACAGGTTTAGTTTTCTTTTCTTCTTTTCTTTCTAGTAGCATACGTATTTTCTCGTATCTATCTTGACGCGATATTTTGTGCTCCACTTGGGGCCTTCGCCTACCTATATCCTGGAAGACCGCTATGTATGGTACTAAGTCCATGGTACCTTACATAGGCTTGAGATGTCTTCTGGACGGGGAAGAAAAAAAAGAAGATCCTCTACCCTGTTATTCTTCGGGAATATCAACCTTACCGCACAAAGGAGAAGAAGGGCGTTTCCGGCTCAGGCAAGCCTTTTCTTCATCTGTCTCTCACTCGGACAACGGCCCACCTGTTAAAATTGGTTTGAACGGCGGCGGCGGACCCTCACCGTTCGGTATCAAAGCTTAGCATGGCTAGTGAGGCGCAGCAGCTTCGTTGAATCAGGAGAATGCGTTACCGCTGCATGGTATAGTCAACGGCGTCAGCGATATTAATGGAGATAATGACTAGTACATAGGCTATTCAATACTGGATATAGATTTACGCGTCCCATTTCCGGCTTGAACTTCAAGTTCTGAGCACATGCATAACAGTGATCAACCCTTCGGCAGTTGTGATATACAATGATGTATTTCTGCGACTGTTATTGCGTAAAGGCATATTTAGTTACATGACGAAGCAAGATAATGAAACACACATTTCTCATTCTAAGTAGAACTTTTGACTTGGTAATGGCCGCTCAAAGCGACAGGCTTGGTCGGCCCAATCCCAGCTTCTGCTTCTGGATCCTAGGATATACTCCGATGACGACGAGAATCGACAAGATGAGCGTCGCCCAGAGCTTCAGCTTGAGTACATTCTTGTTATAATCCGTTCCTGTGGCACTGTTGATGGTCGCCAACAGGAGCAGCAGGACGAAATATCCGCTGAATCGGTGATACTTCCAAATGGCCTTTGCGTTCTCTTCGCCCCCGTACAGCTTCGGCGTAACCAGCATGGTAAACCCGACGAGATATTGTAGAAGAAGCACCACTGCGGTGATGACGCCAAGGTAGGCATGTACGGAGTGAAAGTGCGGGTTGTGGTTCTTCACTTTGTTGTATTCAATGATTGTCACGCCAGCGATGAGAGAAAGCAAGGCCACCACGTTGAGTAGAGCGTGAATACGTTGTCCCCAGCGTTTCTGCTCGAGCGTATGGGTGGGCTGCAAGGAGAGGATGGACTGCACCAGCACCAGAACTGCAAAGGACTGGGCGAGAGGATGCCCTGAGAAGAGGATGAGAGGCTTGGTGAAGACACTGGCCCAGATGAGGATGACGAGAAGCCATATGCCTATTTGCGCAACGATACCGGTGCCTTTTATTTGAAGTTGATGTTAGAACGCAAGTTTGAAGTCAGTTTTGGGATGATTTCGCGTTATTGCGTACCAAGAACTAGATTGTTGAAGGCTGATTTGCCCTCCTCTTGCGTAGCATCTCCAGGGCGGCCGAGGAGTGGTTCGGTCTCGCCACCCGTAAACCCAGTTTCTTCGGCGTCGCTGGGGCGCGTTTCCGGTACGCCTGTAGCACTGGCCATTGTGTTGATTTCAATAGCCCAGAATGTCGGAAATTTGTGGTCCAGTGATGGAAGAAATGTTCAGGAAGATTTGAAGTTGGGAGTATGGAGCTGCGGCACTGCTAAATTGAAAGCTCCGAGAAAATCTAGCTACACGGCAACGTAGAGATGACGGTGGTTGATGATGGCTCTTTATCAGTTTGTTTGTTTGGATCGTACTTTTTGAATCCGTAGATACCAAAGCACCGGCGACCGGGTGAAGAGAAGGAGGAAAGAGAAATTCGCAAAAAGTAACAAGTTGATATAAAGCCACGACAAAGTGGCAACTGGATATTGATGTCGTCCATCCGAGAACAGCACGTCATTGACAGGCGTCCAGGCTAAACAGTCTAGATCCGGGTTGGCAGCCGTGATGGGGCAGGGCGGTAGATAACAGCTTTATCGGGAAGCTGGGCCAATCAGCGCCCTGTGTTTAGCAACCAAGCTGTCGCACGGCCGCCAAATATGGGGGCCGTAGCGCGGGGAGGCGCTGAAGCGAGTGCTGAGACACACGTCGAGGGGCAGCTATCACCATTTTACCTGGCCAGCACGTCAAAAGCGGTGGCATTGGTGGTACGTTGGAAATATGATGGCTGGCGAGAGGCGTGATACGGCGCAACATGGTTCTGTAGCACATTCTCAAATATTCTAGGTGCATCAGGCTTATTATCGTTGAATTCGTTTCGTGCTTTTGCTGAGCGTGGCTATCGGGGTACAGCATATATGTAAGTACTAGGTATGTTAGCATCGGATGCATAACCCAGTTACCAAATGTCTAATAGGTCATCTACGACATGGCCGCCTGTGGGGTCTCAAATCTTAGCTGCCTCTTCCCCGCGCTGGCCTTGCTTCGGGTCTTTTTCTCCCAAGAGGGCCTTACCGTACCAGCTTTATTTCCCGTCCGATCTTTGGTAAGTAGGTAGGCCTCCAATAGGGTGCTCTTCTTAGATTGCGAGAGGAATAGGGTAACAGTCCGCCTATGTGCTAGCACAGGAAGAGGCAGTTGGTCATGCGTGCATCTTGTGCACGCTGGCGAGGGTTGACTTCATAGATTCGCAATCTTAGTGCTCATCAATAAACTGTCATTTGTTCCATTTACATTATTTAGCTGGTGAAGGTAGAACGACGCCATAACATTGAGATACTGGCAGAATGGCTACTCGCAATTATCTAGCCAGACCTCCACTCACGAGAGATGCCGGCCCGTCTCAACTCGGACGAGTATATGATGTATATATGATGCAGTAGCTGAGGCATGTCTCGATCCTTTGGCTATTTTTTCTCGCTATCAACAGAATAGCAGATGCAAACCTCAATCACTATAGGCATTAGGTAAGTCTAAAGTTGCTGATACCACATAGATGCGCTTCCCCGCTTATCTGCCCGGTTGCCGCCGGGCTACCGCTCCGCAGGCCGGCGTCGGAGGTGGCCGATGTTTAGGTACCTAATATAGAGGGGGCATGGCCTCCGACCTCTTATCAGGCCGTTGGTGTAACGGAAAGAGAGATCGAATTTCTGATTCCTGGCTCACGAGCAACCTTCAACTCTAGCGTTATATCAGACCGCCTACTGCCCGCTGTCAAACTAATAGCTATTCACAATGTCTTCGTTTGCTGACGAGGTCGAGTATAAGCTGCAAGCCGTCAAGGCCACGCAACTGGGCCCCGATGAGATTGACACGACATTCCGCCCAGCATGCATAGGTACGCTGAATCACCTATCTCTTCTCACTCTGCTTCGCAAATAACGAGGGGATATCCACTGACACGAGCGTCGACGAACTAGACCTTGTCTCAGCGGGATTGGGCGGCAAGGTCCTTGGGTTTTCGGATCAGTGGTTTGCTGAGGCAGACAACCTCCTAACCCCAACGGCCCCCATTCGCCAGCCGGGCAAAATGGTCTATACCGGAGCGTGGTATGACGGTTGGGAGACAAGACGCCACAATCCCGAAGAGTTCGACTGGGTTGTGATTCGCCTCGGCGTCGCCTCGGGCACTGTTAACGGAGTTGAGGTAGACACGGCCTTTTTTAACGGTAACAATGCTCCCGCCATCTCTGTTGAAGGATGCTTCAGCGACAACGATGACGAGGTTGTTTCATGGAAAGGGGGTCGAGGTAAATGGGAGACAATTCTCGATATTCGGGAATGTGGACCGAGTCAAAGGCACGGCTGGAACCTCAACGAGCCCACAGGCAAGCAGTACACTCACGTGAGGCTCAACATGTATCCCGACGGCGGCATTGCAAGATTCCGCCTGTTCGGGCATGCTGTTCCCGTATTTCCTGAAGACAAGGATGCCGTTTTTGATCTAGCAGCGGCACAAAATGGCGGCATCGCCATCTCATGCAGTGATCAACACTTTGGCTCCAAAGACAACCTGCTGCTACCGGGCCGTGGGAAGGACATGGGCGATGGCTGGGAGACGAAGCGTTCACGAGGCAAGGATCACGTTGACTGGACGATTGTCAAGCTGGGGGCACCAGGATATATCCAGGAATTTGTCGTCGACACTGCACACTTCCGAGGAAACTTTCCTCAAAAGATTACCGTCCACGGTCTGTCGTGGCAAGGAGAGGGAGAGCCCGATATCAAGTCGGGGGGATGGGTTGAGACTGTGTTGCCGAGCAAGACCGGGCCTGACCAGGAACACAAGTTTGCTTCTGCGGTGGTAGATGTGCCTTTTACGCATGTTAGGCTTACGATGATACCTGATGGAGGAGTAAAGCGATTCCGAGCATTTGGCAAGCGAGCGGTATAGGGCCAGAAGGATTGGCCTTGCACCCCTACGTGCTAACTGGCTGATGGATTTCCATAAAACGCATAACAATATAAACTTTCTTATAAAAAAAGAGTAAACAATCTGTTTTTGGGCTGTGAAAACTTAAAGAATTAATTACTACTCCAAGTACACTGTCTTTTCACCCATAAACCGCCTCTGGTGTCGATTCTTCCAGCGAGTGCCCAGACAGTGTGCGCACGGACCACCCCCGGGGGATGCTCCAGCACCAATATTGACCCGATGACGACCCTACAAGCAGCACTTAGCCCCGGAACTGCTAACAGCAATTGAAAGTGGGTAGGATAGGTAGACCGCTCTCTTGTCCACGACACTTTGCACGCGACTCCAGTCTCGCCTTTTGCTCGAGCAAGCCAGCTGTGGCATCTGATTCGACCGCGATACCGACTCGGGCCAGCAGCTCATCCGTGGCGACCGCATCGGCCAAGTGCAGCAAGCGACGGGACGTCCCATGAGCCAGGCACTCTGGCATTGCCCCTCCTTCCACCATGGATCCTGGGGAATCTGGCAGCGATAATGGCTTCGAGCAACCACGAGCCATTCCCGACGACCTGCCAAAGTCCTTGGACGACCGAAGACATGCTGGCGGCGAATTTACAATGCCCGAGACGGAGATGTACGATGGCTGGCAAGGTGCGTGCCGTGGCGAAAGCGACATCTTTCCCTTCTCCCCCCTTATACTGGTAGCTACCTAGGCAACTAGGTAGCTATCTACGATGGATGCGAAATTTGGCGAATACAAATCAACTCGCTGACATCATACAGGCCAGTCCCAGTTTCTCACCTCGCCAGTGCTAGCGAAGCCGCTCAACTTCGAAAACCTGTCCTTGAACGACACCACCGACCAAGACGATTTCGCTGGCAGCGGCCCAAAAGACAGCGATGCCAGATTGATGGAAATGTTGGCAGCCCAAGCAGCCCACCGCAATGAAGCGGCGCTGGAAGACGAAGATGCCATCATAAACAACGACAAGATGTCCGAGTCTGAGAAGAAGGATATACTACAAAGAGCATTGACTATGGCTGCCAGCAATGGCGATACCGCAAAGGTCAAGAAGCTGCTTGAGGGAGATGCGAAGCCTTTTGTGGACATTAATCTTCCTGATGATGATGGAACTCCGGCACTGATCTACGCCAGTTGTTTTGTTCGTCGCCCCCCCCCCCCCGCCCGTGCTATGAGGAGAGGATATCCCATCGTTTTGACATTTGTGCTAACTGATTGAATTAGGGTCACGAGAAGGTTGTCGAGGCTCTGATTGAAGCGGGTGCTAATGTAAACCAGCAGGACCGCAACCAATGGACACCATTTATGTGGGCAATGACAAATCGCCACAAGGTGATATCAAAGCTGCTACTCGATAAGGGAGCATCGTCGGAGCAGAAGACATCATCTGGACGGACGGCTTTTGACTTTGTTCCCCCGGATAGCGATATGTCGTTTTATTTGCACGATAATGGATATAATATTGGGAGTGCGGGTACCATGGGGGATTTCTATAACGCTGGCTTCTCCCAAGACCGGTTCGAGGAAGAAATGGCGGAAAACGAGATGCGGAGACGGCTGATGATGGAGAGCGCTCGTGACCTAGAAGTTGACCTGGGAAATGTTGGAATGGACGATCAACCAGAGGTACGTTTAAAATTGTTACAGTCCAACACTACTTATTGGCAATCTTTGGAGTTTTTCTAACATTCTATTGATCCTTGCTTTTTAAAGCCCGTGGACGAATTTGAAGAAGAGCAACAGGAGTTTGACTGGAGCCGCTGTCTCCACGACCAAATGTTCGTCTTCCAAGAACATGAATTGGGCCGGCTATTGGATATTGTCGTCACCAACATGACTCCTCAGCGGTCGCCATCGCAGAAACCAGTCCCGGCCAACATGATATTCCTCAGTGCCAGATATGCACACTACCATGCTAGCCCGGATCTGCTGAGGAGGCTACTGGTATCTGCCATGGAGTGCATCAATGCCGTAGTTGAAAAGTCCCAGTGGGACATGACTATCCTGGCTTTTTGGATCTCAAACGCGACGCTGCTCCTGCATTATCTCAAAAAAGATGCTGGACTAGTTGAAGCAACCACCGAGTTCCAGGCACAGCTAGCAGAACTGATCAACGAGATATTTGTCCTCATCGTCCGAGACGCCGAAAGACGTCTGGACAAAGTGCTCGACCCTGCCATGCTGGAACACGAGACAATTCCCGGTTTCGAGGACATTGCATTCCAAAACGAATGGAAAATCTTCAAAAGAAAGTCTACGGTTAAGGAGCAGCCCCTCGAGAAGCGCTTCCGTCCGCCGTCCCCGAAACAAAGGGCAAAACCCGCACCTCGAAATGTTACGTCCTTGCTATCATCGACGCTCTTTGTGCTGGATCTCTACGACATCCACTCCGTCATCACGGCACAAATTATCTCCCAGCTCCTCTACTGGCTAGGGTGCGAGCTGTTCAACAGGGTCATGTCCAATCGCAAGTATCTGGCTAGGACAAAGGCAATGCAGATCCGCATGAACGTGTCAATGGTGGAGGACTGGGCGCGAACTAACAACAGACAAGCGGAGCACTATGAGGGCGGTGAGATGAACTCATCGGGCGAAACAACCATGGATGCGGCCAAGCGGCATCTTGCCCCTGTGATCCAACTCCTGCAGTGGCTGCAGTGTTTCTCATCGCTTGACGCTGATGACTTGGAGGCCCTAGTTGGTACTCTCCAGCAGTTGAAGAGAATGACGCCGCAACAGCTGATTCACTCGGCTACGCATTACCGCCCCGAAGTTGGCGAAAAGGGATTGCCCGGTAGCGCCATGAAGTATCTTATTGCCATCCAGAGGGAGGCGGCACTCAAAAAGGACCGACACCAGAGTGGCCAGACTGTGGGTGCAGAAAGTGCCCCAACCACACCTGTGGCGTCCAACTTCAACGGAAACGGGCCTCAAACTCCAAAGAGCGTTCGGATAAAATCGCCGGGTAGCATCAAGGGTGCAGACTCTGACGATGAAGACAGCACTCCCAAGAGTCTGTTGCTGAACCCCGCCTATATGCTACCCTTTGCACTGCCGTCGGTGACGGACATGCTTGTATCGTATGGAGCTGGCTTTGGAGGTGTCAACAGAGAGAGGGAGCGCAAATACATCCCAACTGTTCCACCAGAGTTTTTGGAAAAACTCGAAGTGAATGGCTCTCGCAACCCACCAATGTTTGAGGAGAAGGACTGGGAAAACGAGGAGGTGTGAAGCGTGGGGTGAGCCTGCTGGAGAATGAGATATGAAGTCGAAGAGGGGAGAGATGGATATTCTTGATTGGCTGAACCGGATACAACATCCATTGGCAAAGGGTTTTCACCCAACAGGCCAAAAGGGAAAAAAAAGAAGACCATATATAGAAAGCAACATCTACGGTTTATTGCACATTGAACGAGTATATGACGATTCCGACTGAGCGGCTACCGCAATTTGTTTATCGACGCATCTGAATTTTCAGCTGCTCATTTGAAAGGGAAGCAGTGGATTGAAAAAGTGACGTGAAGATTTTTTTTTCTCTTTTTTTTTCTCTTTTTTTTTCTCTTCTTTATTTTACCCCCTTCTTCTTGTTGTTTTGTCTACGTATGTCTTGTTTCTTTTTTTGCTGCTTTTGCTACTTCTGCATTGGGAAAGGATGAGCCGAGGACAATATGCGAGGGGAGTAGAGCTAAGAGACGTCTTTCCAACACGCATGAAAAGAGAGGGGAGCAGGGGTCATGGTTTAAGGAAGAGAGACAGCGTGGCAAGCACTGAGAGGAGGAGAGAGGGGAAAACAGTTCATGGATAATGCATGCTTGGATGACTAGTAGGAGAAGGAAGGACTCTGACTCTTGTGTCCGGAAAAGGATACCGTTCCGATGATGCATATGTACGTTTTGTAATTCCGGAGGTTCAGTTGTTTGAACGTTTACAAGCCCCCCCTTTTTTTATTCTTTCTTTTTATCTCTACATACTATTTTTGTACTACTTAATTCATACTTTCACACTACATAGGTACTGGGCTATATTCTTGTATTAGGCCGAGAGGGAAGAAAGAAAAGATTGTTTCCTCTTTTTTGTGCTCTCCTCTCCATCGTACTGATAAAGTTGGTTAATAATGAGCGTTGGCTATATAAGACCAGAGGAGAAAAAAAAGGCTCTAACGGTCCGGAGAGGGGCGGCCGCAAGGCTTTCAGTTTTTTTTTGGGCCGCCGGGGAGGTGGACCTAGCCGGGATGCTTTTGGAGCCCCACTAATAGCGGGATGGCGATTTGTTTACAGAAAGCCACGTTTGAATGAGAGAAGCCAGTAAGGGTAAGAAGGTGGTCAATTAATTTAATTTTTTCTTCTTCTTCGTAGGTGGACGCTATTGGTCTTTTTTCGGGAATGTGATGTGTCATTGCCATGGGGTGATTCTTTTCACGATAAGAGTGAAGTTTTTTTTTTTTTTTTTTTTTTGCTTTTTACTGGGATTGACCCTGCTGAAAGTGGTTGCTTTGTTGTTGGGGTGGTATTGGGCTGGATTCTGGATATGCGAGGGAGGATTAGCGAGCAGTAGATTGTAATGCTAGTGGTAGTAGGTATAGCATAGAGAAAGTAGATGTTTGCTTTTTTTTTTTTTTTTTTTACGTCTTTTTCTGACTTGGGTCTACGATAAAGTCATCGATTGGCAAAAAGGCGGCTTACATTTTGGGGGTTACCAAAGATCAATCGAGAGCTACTCTGGGTACATGTACAAATCTTATTTGGCCGTCTTAACCGCCTATTAGACTAAATATCTAGCTATCTATCAATGTCAGGCAGGATTCTATGCCAAGGTCGCACATATTACGTGGATGGCAAGCAAGCAATAAACGGGCAGCAATTGGGGGCCTCGTTGAAGACGTCGGTGCTTGGCCTCCCTCGAGCTGAGGATTCCCGCCCACGGCACATAATGTGTGTGCGTGTGTGTGTGTGTGTGCCCTTTTTGAAGAACAAGAGGTAGAAAAAAAAGGACCACAAAACCCGTCAATGGGCTGACGGGTAGGACAGAGTCGTAGTACGGCCGAGGGCAACGGAAAATTAAGGCACTCGGTACCTGAGAGGGGGGAACCTCGCAATACTCCTACGAGGTGCCACATCCACACACACCAGAGGGATGAAAACGAAGAAAAATACAACGCAAACTCAATTGAGAAAATATCAAAAAAAAAAAAAAAAGAGGGAGGGATGGGACGGCATAACGATTGCCGAACTGGCTGGACCCCCTCTCCATGTCTCCCTTGCATTGCCGTCTGACTGGCTTCGGAATAGCACCTCAATGCTAGTCCAGGTACATGCAGCAGGATTGCGTGCTGTGCCGCCGTTGAGCGTTTGCTCTGCCTGCACGGTGCCGGGCTGTGCCCATTATGAAGCAACAAGTGTATATAGAGATTGATAAGGCCGAGATAGAGATGGCAAAATATCCCGGGGGAAAAAAAAACGTGGCAGACATAGTTTGACAGGGGATGGAAATGCAAATCAGTCGGGCGAACATGCTTCGTAGCCAAAAGCTCAAGCTTCAATGGTTTGAAAAAAAGGCCGCAGTGCTCCAAAGTATGCTTGTTTATGACTCGTCTCTTCCGCCGGCAACCTGCCTACCTCCGGGTACCTTGCATATGCTGAGATCCAAATGGGCAGAGGCGGTTGTGACAAGTGACGACCCTTGCATGAGACGGCAGCCTCTTTGTTTGTCTTGTTCTTCTTCTCTTCTCGCTTCATAGCTGTTGGCTATTAGTAGTGCACATAGCAATAGTACGACTACGGATACCTGGTTCAAGGCCATCCATCTCCTCACTTCCCGTGCCGGTGGCGAATGGGCTGAAAAGATACTAGCCGAGGTGTCCAACAGCTGCAAGAGCTGAGCGAGAGAACCGAGGGAGGGAGGGGCCTCATTTTACTTGCTGCGATGCGCTGCGATGCGATGCAAGTGTGTGATAGCATGTATGTTCCTGCATCCGCGGGGTCCCATCCGGAGTGAAACCCGTTTTTGCTCAAAGTGCGCGTGTATATACGTGTCTCTCCATGGGCTTTCTTTTGCTTGACTTTCCAGGAACAAGGCAGCCTACCTATTTAGCTTTGCATATGCAGCCATTCATCCGGGCTCCTTCGTTGCGGCCGTTGGAGGAGGAGGAGGGGTGCATATACGAGGCTATCTCGATGCACACTGATCTTATCCGCGGCTGGCAGTTTACTGGTAGGATCAATTGATCCCTGGGTGGAAACTTGGTCCTCTCTTTTCTTCCGCTTAGGTGTCCTTGGGCACCAGCTGCCGAGAGCTCCATCACCTCGCTCGGATAGGTGCCGAATGGAGTTGAGACCAAATAGGCATTGCGCTGTGTTTTGTAACACTCGACAGAACAAGTCCGTCTGGGATGGGACAAGTGCGTCCTGTCATTTGGCGTGCCCGCCTGCCCGATGCCGCAGAAGGCACCAAATCTGCGCCGTTTGCTTGGTCTTTGCTCTCGCCAAGCGGCTTTTGGAGCGGCGGGCAGCCGAAGACGAAGAGGCGGTGGGCGGTGGGCGCTGAGTGCATGTGTGCTGGGCATTGAAGACCAAAAGCGTCGCGATCCTTCAGGCACAGGCCGTCTTGAGGCCTGAAGGCATGGCCGATTTCCTGTTGTTGGACGTGGACGCTAATGAGCAGCGCCGGCTTCCCAGCAGTCTGGTACATGTAGCCTGTAGGTTGTCGGCCACTAGCGGTACTAGTAGTATAGTAGCCTGGAGCAGTTACCAGTAGCCGCGATTACAGCACCCCGGCCAGCAACAGCTTCAGCTTACATCGAACAGATAGACAGGCACGCCATTAGGTGCCGTTGCTAGCTGTTGCCCGATGGCTGAAAAGTGAAAAAAAAAAAAAAAAAAAAAAAAAAAGGAACAGCACCTAACAAGACAAAATAGCCCCCGGCACGCACTAGACCCCTGTCCCGCCACTCATCGTCGGGCCTCTCTAGCCGCATCTTAGCGTCTCTGCCGCGATCCCCGATTGGACTGCCTTTTTACTCGCGGTGCGCCGGAACCACGCACCACAGCCTCTGTCTCTTCTTTCTCTTCTCTTCTCTGCTCTGTTCTTGTGCCACTTGGTGAGCTATTCAGCCCATCTTGCCGAGTGGACGAACCCGTCTGATGGCCCCGTGAATGTACATCCGAGCTGCATGTACCTGCATGCAAACATGGCGTTAGGCTTCACCATTGCCGTCGTGCAGAACCCTTGTATCAAGTGTGTACGTGTACTTGTACAGCACGAGAGAATATGCGATGAACGCCGAATGAACATTGCGGCACATGCGTAGCACATGGCGCTTTGAGCCACTTTCCCACTCCCGTGGACTTGACAAACTCTCTGGCATCTGCGCTGCAAGGGACCATCGCCGTACATACACATATGCAGGCATGTAAAAATTCTCATGCTGCTCTGGCCTGTATAGGTAGAAAAAGAAAGGAGAGTCTCGCTCTCTTCTTCCTTTTTCGTCCTCTTCCTCTTCCCTTTTATTCCTCGTCTGTCGCTCTAGTTTTCAGCTCATATACCACCTTCTTTTGCACTTGCATGCTGATTCGCCGCGCTCCCCAAGGCTCATGTCTCAGCTCCATCTTGCTTTTTGTCTGCAAGGGATATACCATTTGCTCACTTAGCTGGAGGCGCTTCTCCAGACGGGAAGAGGCCGGGCCCCCCCAGCAATTCACTCACTTATACACTTGGCAACCCCAGATCTCGAATCTCTAGATCTTCATATAACTCTCCAGCATCACCTCCCTTTTTTTTCTTGTGCTCATCAATCTCCATCAGACTCCATCAGACTCGCTCAGGCATCTTGTGCATGTTTGGTGCTGCAGAGAGTCGCACCAGGGGCTGAGAGTTACTGTCAACGCTCTCTCTTACACCGACTCTGCCTGTACACATCCATCATATTAGAGCTGCATCCCGCCTACCCGCTGTGATTGTGCACTGCACCGCAGACTTCCCTTTACGCTGTTACGACTTTATGATTTCAACGAGTGCCACGTCAACGCTCGAATCTGCTGCTTTTCGTTTCCTTCATTTATAGCTCTCTGCTCTTTTCTCTTTTCTCGCTCTTACGCTCTTACGCCCATACTCTCTCACTCTCTCGCTCATTCACTCACTCCTTTCTCTCGCCTATTCATTTCGCCCTCTCTATCCTCCCTCCTTCCTCAGGCATCATTCATCTATTCATTCACCTATTCGTTTACCTCGCCTTCAATACCTTCAATACCTTCAATTAGCCCATCCATCGCCTCAGCCATCTCTGTACACGCCGTTATCTGAATTGCCTGCGAGACTCTCGCTTCATACACCTTATCTCGGCGAGCATCAAACGCAGCTTCCGAGGGAAGGACCAAGCCAAGGCCTGGATTGCCGACTTCGCCTTCGCTACTCTCTGCACTTTCGCATCCCAGAGAGCATTTATTGACTGGCTCTCGCAACCCACGACAGCCCTCAAACTGGCTGTCTCACGCTTCACCAAGCTGCTCGATCGCTTGATTCGAAGCTTCCACTTGGACAGCGCCAAAAGTACCAGGGGTATCAAAGCCAACAGCAACAGCAAGCCGTATCCGTCTCCTTCAGAAGGTTCTGGCGGCCATTCAGCACCTCCACCACGCCCAGAAAGAGCCATGGCCTTTAGATCGATCCGCTCAAGAAGCACCTCTAGATCGCGGCGATCTGCTGACCCCAATACCATCGGCGTTCGCTACGAAAAGACGATCCAGGCAGAGCCCCCCATCCCGCTGCCGCCCAGAAATCAATCGCGCAGCACCGTCCGGACGCTATCCATACGGTCATCTGCGTCGTCTCCCTCTCCTTCGGTGTATGAGAGTCTGTCTCTCTACTCGCCCAGCCTCGTCGTCGTTGCACCGCCCACGGAAGAGCATCCGGCACTAAGAACGCCAGTTCGGCAAGCAAAACTCAATCACGAGAGCTGGAAGCGAGACTCGGGTCACGCGCCCACGCCGACTTCGGCAACCACCATTTATGAAGAAGATTGCGAGGAAGAGGAAGAAGAAAGAAGAAAAGACGAAACGGCGGACAAGACCGACAATACCTCGTCTGGCGCCAACCACTCTCCACCTCGGTCAACCAACATCGACGCTCCTGTCGGTTCCGACGCTGTGCCACCGCAGTCTGTCCCGCAGTCTGTCCCACAGTCTCAGCACGGAACAGTTGTCGGCCCAGTGCCGGGTGGTTGGCAGAGTTCGAGAGGTGAGACAGTCGTTAGTAGGCCAGCCGCGTCTGCGCCGTCCCCTTGCCTGAAAAAACTCGACACTGCGAGCGGTGCTCAACACCCATCAACACCTTCTCCATTGCCATCGCCAGCCTCGCCTAAGCGACAGCGCTTCCTGCAGCGTCTTAGCGTCTGCTCGTCTGCGCCGGCAAAGGGGAAATTAGGCCTGGCAGTGGGCGAGGGATCGCCTACCGCAAACGCAAACGCGCCGCCAATGCAGCCCCTGATGCGGGGCTCGCAGCCGCCCCCAGCACCCACTCATAAGCAGCCACAGCGGTCGTCGCCCGGCAATGCAGAAACGTCGTCTCTCGCACTGCGAGCTCGAATCCGGGCGCAAGCAACAGCATCACTGCCAACCGCTGCCTCTCCGGCCCACGAAGACGCCCGCTTCGCTCCTCTGGGCGTCTCCATCCCGACGGACAGCCTCCTCGAGGATGATTTTATGGCCACACTGTCCTTTTCGAATCGCGGGAGCATCATGTTCGGCGGGCGACGCGCAGGACCGCTAGGCCTCGACGGGGCCAGTGACGCCGCAACAGGCGATGCCTTTCCTTCTGCGCCTTCGACGCCCACCCATGCACGATCTGGCAGCGCCAGCGCCGGCATCGATCGCCTCGAATCCTACGCCGGCGCAAATGCTTCGAATCCCGCGCTGCACGCGCCCTTGCCACCGCCGCCCGACATTCGTGTCTTGACGTCCGACATCGAGAAGGAGTCCCAAAAGGTGAGATCGCTCTATGGAGTCGGCGATGCCATCAATTGGGAGGATGGCGCAAGGCACTCGTACTGCGAACCTTTGGAGCCTACCCCAGAGCTTCCAGCAGAGGAGGACGGGAATGACTCGTATGGCTTTCCCTCAACGATTCCTGGCGTCGTGCGTTTCCAAGGCGCCTGCTTCCCTCCTTTGTGCTCGGAGCATCTTTCTTGCTAACACTTGCCCGTTTTCAATAGCATTCTACCGCCTCCCATTCCTGTTTGGGGGACTCCAAGATCCGTAAGATCTGCAAGCTCTTCGGTTCACTTTGATTACAGACGGGACACAGAGCTGGCGGGCGGCTTGGAAGACTGGGAAGATATTGACGGTGCCAGTGTGGACCGATATGGCTTCATCTCCGCTCCTCGGCCGCGATCACGGCTTGGTACACCGACGGAAATGAAATCCGCCCAGTTCTCGCCAAGGCGGAGGCTACAGAAGAGAGAACTGACGGGCCTGTCACCCTTGGGCCCGAGCAGGAAGATGTCAGCGAGGTCACTTAATACGCAAAACTCAGAAATGTCTACAGCATCGAAGCGCTCTTCGCGATCAGTCATCCGACAGGCCAGCAACCTACTACCTCACAACCGAGACCGGCGATGGCTAGACGAGGCCGGCGATATGCTGACGCTGCCACCCAGCCTCCAGGACGCTGCAGAAGAAGCCCAGATTGAGAGAATATCGGAAACGCTGAAGCGCAAAGAGTGGGAGAGATCGGAAAAGTGGCGCAAGATGGCCAAGGTTGTCCGAAAGGGCGGCCAAGGCGAAGGCATGGAGTTTGAGTTTGATAAGAAGAACCCGAAGCTTATTGAGCGAACGTGGAAAGGGATTCCCGATCGCTGGCGTGCTGCCGCCTGGTGGTCATTTCTTGCCAGTTCCGCCATGGACCACGAGAGCTATGCTTCGGAAGAAGACATTGTCTCCTCATTCCACCACCTGTTGGAACAAAGCTCGCCAGACGACGTGCAGATTGACCTCGACGTCCCGCGGACCATTAGCAGGCACATCATGTTTCGTAAAAGATACCGTGGCGGCCAGCGACTGCTGTTCCGCGTCTTGCACTGCTTATCAATCTACTTTCCAGAGACTGGCTATGTTCAAGGCATGGCATCTTTGGCGGCGACGCTGCTCTGCTACTTTGACGAAGAAAAGTGCTTTGTCATGCTGGTGCGCTTGTGGCAATTACGAGGCCTTGATCGCTTATATCGCCCGGGCTTTGAGGGCCTGATGAAGGCGCTACACGAGTTTGATGAGACTTGGCTCAATAAGGACGTAGCCAAGAGACTGGTGAGTGTGTTGGCAGCGCTACAATATCTGAATTTCTCTAAACTTTGACTCTTGGAACTAACATCTCATGGGTATAGACCGAACTCAGCGTAGATATAACTGCGTATGGTACACGATGGTATCTTACTCTCTTCAACCTTTCCATTCCGTTTCCAGCTCAGCTGCGAGTCTGGGATGTCTTTCTGCTGCTAGGAGATAGTGCAGCCGAGCCGGCCGTTTCCATCACCTCCAGCGACAGTGAGACGACTCCGCCAACAGGACTCGATATTCTGCACGCCACCAGTGCTGCCTTGGTACAGGCCCTCCGCGAGGTGCTCCTGGATTCGGATTTTGAGAATGCGATGAAAGCCCTGACATCATGGATTCCCATCAAGGACGAGGATCTTCTGATGAAGGTAGCCAAAGCAGAGTGGAAGTCGCATCAAGGCAAGAAGAAGACGTAGCACGCTTGCTCCCCCCAGAGCATCACCTCCTCGATAGGGCAAAAGCTGACATTGCCCTGTTACTGTCCATAAAAGTCTTTCCTTTGTGTGTTTTTCCCCTTTGTGCTTTCTTTTTCTTTATTTAGCACAGGGGAACGGGATATTTAGCTTTTCTCTAGCTACCCCCCCTTCTTCTGTCGCTTCAAATTCCGCACCTCCCGATACCCCCCTCCTTTTGTTTCGTTACCGATACCCTCAATTAATGGCAGACGGGCCTATTTGACACCCCTCTTCACACACAGTCTCCTTTGTTCCTGACATATCGCCATTACTTTTTGCTTCAGTTTGTTTTTCTGTCTCTCTTGCTTCTCTTGCTTCTCATTTTCCCCTTGATATACCAGGATTCGGGACAGGGTGGCGTAGAGCGGGCGTATGGTGCGCCCTCAGTTATGGATACCCTTCTGTCACGGAGGCGTTTTGTTCTTTTTCTTTTCAAGCAGCGGGTAGTTAGAAATGGTTGGCGATCTATTTTGGCCAAATTTGGTATGGAGGGAATATCCCGACGGGATCTGCCTGGCGGGCGGTAGCGGGCAGATGTTGTGAGGGTGCTCCTGGGTTACTTGATATAAAACGGATAGCAATGGAAATTACCCATTACTAGTATGTACTAATACAGATGGAGATTGTTGGAATCCCAGTTTCTACAAACTTTGAGCCTCTCTATTTGGCACCCTGTAAGCACTTGAGCATGATGAAATTTTGGGCAGCAAGAATCGAGAGCGTAACCGACGGCGCTGACGAAGCCAGGAACTGGCCTCTGGGAGGATATCTGGGAGACGGTCGCACGTGAGATTCCGCAATCGACTCGCTTCGAGAGCTGTTCCGTCACTTATCCTTGCCGGCTTCCCATGGAGGTTAGTGCTTGTTTCTCACTTGTAGGTCTTCTTCAAGACTGGATTAGCTGGATAGCAGGACTTGTGATGTGTACAAGTAAGCCTTTTTTCGTTTGGAGTAGCGTGCTCCGCTGTAGAATCTTCATAGTCTTTGCATACGCGTAAAGAAGAGTTGGAATTCGTATCAAATCTGTCGTATCGATGGTTATACGAATTATGAGGACTACGTACCTAATATTAGTAAGTTGTCACATGCCTTGTCCCATGTCTATTTTTCACTTTTCTTATATAGTACCCCCCTCTCCCTACCCCCCTGTTGTAATCTCTCTTGGAATGTTGGGATTAGACGAGAGGAAAGAGGGGGCGATTTCCCGGGTTCAGAGAGTAAAAAAAAAAAAAAGGACAGAATACAGAAATGTGAGTTGTTACAGGTCTGAAAAGATACAATGTAAGATTACGGGAATTGGGAGGGGGCCCAAGCCAGGGGGGGGGAAGAAAGGATACGGGAGTTTGGTAGTTGAGATGGGAGAAGGATGACAAAAGTTCTGGAAGATGAGGGGGTACTGTAGGGGAGGGATAGAGACGATTGTGATGATGCTGTAGTAGTAATGGTAGTATATACTGTACAAGTACAAGGAAGAAGGGGGTGTGTAGGTATGAGATGACGGGCTTTGGCCCTATTTTTGGTGTAAGTGAGTATTTACAAGTGGAGATTTGATGTTATTGTTGTTAGTTTGAAGCTGCCATGTGGAAGAGGGCGAAGAAAACGTGAGTTTCGCATGGCAAGTCATCATTTTTTTGCTTTTTATTTCTCGAAAAGCTGCTTCTTCTGCTGTGTCGTGCTCTCTCTGCCTTCTGCCCTCATCGTTGGTTGTAAAATTGTTGGTTGCGTATAAAACTAGCATCTACCCGTCCCACAGGGGTTTTTAAAAAAGGATCCCCCCAAAAAATGGCCTGATTTCTTCTTTTTTTGGGGATTTATTCGCTTATCCCTTCCCTTGCCCCTGGAAGTTTTTTTTTTTTTCTTCTTCTTTCGTGTCGGAAGGATCCCGTTGGGATTATACCTATACCGAATACAACGCTGTTAAAGTTCCAACGGCCTGGTCTCTGGGGAGGGGGATGTGCCCAAAAATGGAACGAACGAACAGGGGAGGGAGGGGGGCCAGTATGTAGAATACAGGTACGAGAGAGGGTTTCGCTACCTTACACAGTATACAGTAAGAGTACCTAATAGGATTATGCAAGATACAAAGACGGGAAAACCCCCCCTGGAAGCTTTTCTCTTGCCGTTTACCAGATTAAGCCTCGTTCCCGATTTTTTTTTTTTTTTTATTTCCCTCCTTGTGTGTACCTGTTTTTTTGCCCGTGTCCCCTCCTCCCCGGATTGGGTTTGACGTCCGGGAAAAGCGGGTTACGAATCGGGTATCGCACCGAGTGCCCGTTCCAAAAAAAAAAAATGCTTGGCTTTGTGTGAATGAGTTGTGTGTGAAGTGTCTTTTTTGGAAAGATGTTTTTACGGTTCAGATAATGGGGCGGGAAGCATTATTACTAGATTGACTCGTTTGATCGATTCTTCTTCCATTTACGAAGAAGCAAAGTCGTATTTAGAGTACTTACCAACGTACATTGCTTGAGCTTCTTCCTCCCTTTATCCGTGCCAATACAGTTAGCTGACAGGCCTTGGCACGGAAGAAAGAATCTGCCCGAGTCTAAATTTGGACATGTCATGTAAAAGACCCCAAGGTTTTGCTGTCCTTTTCTTTTTTCTTTCTTTTTCAGCTGAGAAAGAGGTCGAAGTGGCAGACGGGACCAACACATAGTATGTGCCCTTTTTTGGGCATTCTCCCTTTTGGTCCTCATTTTCCTATTTCATACCTAAATACTAGAGGACTAAACGCGGTTTGGCACTTCTGCCAAATGAAATGCTACTTTCGTATATACGACCGCTACCACTTCTTGTAACACGGTCAAGATTAAGACCAAAATAGAGAAAGACAAAAGAAAGGCCGCTTAATAAGAACGTTTGCTTACATAGGCTACAAGTACCTTATACGAAATACGAAATACCACGTAGTAAAATAGCGCCAATGCTTCAGAACATTCAAGTTGCTAGATAGACACCAGGTACAGTTGCATCAATGCTTCGTTCAATACCACCTTTACGCCCGTCCAAGGAGGTGGAGCGCGAGATTAAAAAGTGACAGTTCGGGGTCGCACTTCAGCTAATACCTACAGTACTAGTGCTTTCTTCATCTTTATTTCTTCTCTTCCTTTCACCATCTTTCCTCTCATTCTGCCTCTCTCTCCGTATTAGGTATGGCTGGTTAGCTGTCATTTTGCACTTCCCCCTGCGAACCGAAAAAGAAAAAAAAAATCCCAAAATAATCAAATCTAAGCCCAATCTCGGTCTGACATTTGCACGCACGCCCTCGGCCCTGAGCCCTGTTTAAACCGGGGCCCGCTAAAAAACAAACAAGTACAGCAAATTCCACTGTCCCTAGAAGAGGGCGAGGTGTCTGTCTTTTCTTTTGGTCCACGCCAAGCTCCGAGAGCTCTCCAATGGGTCACGGCATACGTACTAGAAGGAACCATTGAAAGCTTTTTACATACTGTACTATACTGTAGCAACTACCCCTGCTAGTAGGTTAGCGGTTAGCGGTTAGTGGTCTCTTACCGTCCAGAGATCAGCTTATACTGCTATACACAAGAATTCCAGGCTACTGCCAACAAAAAAACAACCCTCGGCGATGCTCCGTAGCGATACCCGGTTTTAGTGTAATCTTTCTGAAACAGCCTCTCTTCTCTTCCCTCTTTCGCTCTCGTCGTTTCTCTCTCGTTTGCCTAGTACAGTCCTTGGCTTTCCCGAAAAAGTAAGAAGCCCCAAGAGAGAGATCACGGAGAAAGTGGTCCGCATTTTTCTTTTTCCATACAAGGGCAGCTAGCTTTTTGCTAAGCGGTTTACGAAGCGCCAGATGCAGACAAGAGAACCATGTGCCGCTCCCCTGACTTGTAACACCGAGGCACGATAGACTTCCTCAATCAGTACATACTTGTACAACAGGTGCTCGTACGAGTACAGATGCCCAAAAAGAAAGATGAAATAAAATCCTCCTTTTGGGCTCTCTAAAACGCCCGCAAAGCATAAATCCTTACCCGGGCCATGGTGCCCAAACTGTCTGGTATCCAGGGGTGTCCCTCAAAAAGCCCCGAGGCATTGCCTGCATTGTACGGAGTACATGCCATGTGTCTATAACGGGCGTCGTTTGTTACCCAATCCAAGTTTCCGTTTCTGAGCTCTGCCTCATTCATCCGAAAATCAATTTAATTGAGATGGAACAATTTCCAATTCGATCATACTAGTATATTACCCCCAAGCGGTAAATACTATACAAAAGGGGGAAGAGGAAAAACAAAGTCAAAAAAAAACTCTCTTCTCCACCAACTCTCTGATCATCATGGGGCAGCCCAGGCACTACTGCCAGGTACGCCCGTCTAATGCAGGACACAAAGCTTACTGTGTAAAGCACACAATAGATATCATGTGTTGCTTTGATACTAGCTGTATAGTAATACTACCTAATACCTAGCGGTAGCAATTACTACTTCCAGAGAAACAAAACAAAAAAACAGAACTCAATCACTTACATAGGTATAAATATTCGCACCCTGGCAACCTTGTTCTTGACACTTGCTGGCTCCTGCTTGGCGTCACATCCCTGCACACGCAAAGCTGCCTCGTCCAAAATATTACAGGACCTCGCATCTTCCGAAACGCTGCTCCTCTTCTCTCGTCACATCGCCGTTACCATATCGTGCTGCCCCCCTTGTCCTGCACTGATTCAGCATCCCTACTTGGGCGATATATCGAGATAGGCAATGCATGTGCCTCCTTGTCCGTAGACACCGCCACTTGCTGCTACAGCAACACCACCAAATGCTGCTGCTACCACATGCCAGCAAACGTCGGCACTGCTGCCACCACCCACAATGGCTCCAGCCCTGCTCGGAATCCGGATGGGTCTTACGCGGCTGCGCCGATATCATATGACCGATCGCTCAAGTGCCCTCTGTTTCGGGTCCGATGCCCGTTCTTGCGAGGTCCTTTTCACGGCAGTAAGCAGGGCTGCTGAGCTTGTACCATCCCCATGGGTCATCTGTTTCATCTACTTTGGACGTGCCCGTGATTGGCAACCCGCAAGCCCCTGTACAACCAACCGTCGTCGTTTGCGCTTGCGTTTCTCACTGCCTAAGTCGTAAAAGTAAGCTCCGATGATGAGAACTTGTTCCAATGGACCCAACAGCCTTTTATTTCGCTTGTTCACAGCTGCCTCGTCAAAAATATCAACACTAGTAAATCCTGCTTTGTGCTGCCGTGCAAAACCAATCCAGTAAAACATCATGTGCATACACCGCCGTTGAGTGCTGCTGAAACTGCATCCTTGCTCAGCTGGGGCCATGCGGTAGTTGCTCCTAATTCAACATTTTTTTCCCGTCCTCTCTTCTTCCCTCCCTTCTTCGCCCCTGGATACATACACACATAATCCTACCAATACACTTTTTTAACCATATGCAATTCGAAAGAGTCCCAGTTCCACACCACCCATTGTAACAATAAAAGAATAAACGAAAAAAACGGAATAAGAAAAGAATAAGAGAGAAAAAACGCCCATGTCTTGCAAGTCTCCAAAAAGAAACTTATGTTATCCGACAGCCGTTCTAGTCTTTGAAACGTAATGCTCAAACCGGCTCATTCATGCTCCAGTAGTAGTTGTGGAAGTTCAAAGAGGGTTCTGCGAGGATAGTGCCCGACGTATGCAAAATCAAATATACAGTAAAAGCCGATCGAAGCCAAACCGGCCGGCTATGATCGTAGAACGGAAAAGAGTCAAAAGGGGCTAAGGAAAAAAGCGCAGAAATATGCAGTAGGGCCGTTGAAGATGCCATAGAGAGTAAGAGAGAGAGGTCTTAAAACGGTGCCGTGGCCGTTTACTCCGTGGCTTTAGTGGATGTCACTAGCCGGTCATCCGAAGGCATCCTGGGAGTTGTCATCCGCATGATTTAATCCGACTCGAATCATTCCTTCATTCACGCACTCCCAGCACCTCATGGTCGAGACCTCGGGTCGGCTTCTCCTTGGGGCAGAGGCGGCTCTCCACCCCTCTCGCCAGCTCTTTGGTCTCCTGGTCCCCTGGCGCGTGGCATCGGCGTCGGTGGCTCAAGCCGTGGTGGTTGAGGACCTTGCCTTGGCAGTCCGCCAGAGTCGTCAGGTTCGCGGGATAGCAGCGAGGAAACTGACTGCTTTACGCTCCTTGATTCCTCTCTCTCTCGTGGCGTAGGGCCCCATGAAGAAGCTTGCGGTGGGGTCCTTGCTCGGGGTCGATCTGGATCCTCGCTATACATCTGATTTGAGGGCCGATACCATGATACGTCGCTCCGTTGACGTTTGTGCGATCTTCGGCTGGGTGATGCGGGATTGGAAGAGCTGGCTTGCGCAAAGGGTGGAGGCGATCGGAATCGGTCTTCGCTTGGAGCTCTTGGTACCTGCTGGGACACTCCTCCAGTCGTTTTTCGCTTTTTCTGAGCCTCTCCTATTGACAACGGCACACATCCAAGTTAGCTTTTAAAGAGAGTCTCGTTTTCTCTTGAATTTTGACGAACCAGAGGGTGATCCCGGCCGGTTCGAGCTGCTCCCGCTCTGCGTTGCCGGTGGCTGCCAGTGGTGAAAGTAGATTGATGGGCTCGTATCGTGCTGAGATGACTGCGACGGCGTGTGCGAATGCCCTTGATGACCTTGATAAGGTGGCATCACGGGCGTCGGTCCTTGCCCTGGGGGTTGAGGAGGATTCCCCATGCCTGCCGTGTTTGATACTACTCCCATCGGTCGTCCAATAACACCAGAGACGGTCTGACCTCTTGGCCTTGTTGGCGAGCCTGGATATTGTGCATATCCGCCAGGTCCCTGAACTGGGGTCACCTGCGCTGGAGAAGTGGCATACACTACTCCATGACTAGGAACCATGGGCTCCCTTGGGTGATCTGGCGAGTGCGGCCTTTGTGGTGGAAGTAGCTGGGGGTGGTGGCTTTGGGCCGGAGCCATGAACTGCTGTGCCCATTCGAGAGCGGCCTGGGGGAGCGTTCCCCCGCTTCCCATACCAGCAAAGACCAGAGGGACAATGGGGGGCGGGATACCGCCGTTCAGAGAAGCTCGCAGAATATCCATTTCAATCCTCCTCTGCTCTAGACGTAAAGTTTCTTGTCTAGTCTTCTCCTCTTCCTGCCTCGTCTTCTCCTCTTCTGTTTTGGCCTGAAGCCAAGTCTTCATGGATTCCTCAGCGCCTTGCCATTGCTGCGGCGGAGGAGGCAGGCCAGCTGAAGGTGAAGGCCATGGTTGTTGCGCCTGGTGGGAGGTCGGGGCCAGCGGTGGTGGAGGAGGTGGTTGAGAATGATGTGGCGGCGGCGGCGGAGGGCCAACGGAGGAAGGCTGTTGTGGGGGCAGAGTCATGGCTGCCGGCGGAGGCAGACCACGATGCGAAGTAGACATGGGCTGGACCGGGCTGTTCTGAGAGACAAGATACGGTTTAAAAGAAGGATCTTGGTGGTTCAAGGGAGGAGAGGGTCGGGAGGTGGAGGGCGGAGTTGGCAAATCATGGACGGACTTGTAGCCGTATGTCGTCGATTGCTGCTTGATGGTGAGCATCATCACATATGCCGTGAGTTACTGGAGTGTATGCATGTGTTTAAGTAGGCATTTGAAGGTAGTAAAAGAGCCTGGGGCAGGGCATGCAAGAATCAAAGATTTGTAACAGTCAAAGTCATAAACGAGAGTACGAGCAGGGAAGACTGGGTTATAAAAGCTGGGGGCGAAAGCAAGGGATAGAGAATCAAGAGAAGACGAAGAGAGAAGAGCAGGAAGACGGGAAGCTGTGGAGGCGTACGCAGTGGATATATTACTTTTTGTGTTATATGTCGAAGCGTGGGCTGGATGGAGGTGACGACTAGCTCAAGAGTAGCTGTGGCTGTCGGCTGGGGCAGAACGCTCGAGGATAAGCTAAGTACCCTTATTGGGAGTAGTTGTGGTGTCAACAGAGCCTGTATACTCGGTACAGGTAAGAAGGCAGATAGAGTGAGGGCTGAAGAAACCCTGTCGGGCACATGCAGGCTATCCAGTATCAGAGATTGAGGTCCGTCCGCTCCTTGCGTGTACAAAGTACATACGCTACCCGTACAGGTAGTGTTTCCTAGAATGGAGACAGAGCACCGCGGGACGGAATTGGCCAACGAGGGGCTCGCGCAGGGGGGGGGGGGCTGCCAACGGTCAAAAAGTAAAGGCAAGACAGTCAGAAACAGGACAGCGCCAGGACCTGAGAGCACCGGCAAGACTAGCAGGAGTGAACAGCGACAAGGGCCGGAGCGGGCACCGTGCCACTGTGGAGAAGGCGTGTAGTCGATTCCACTAGTGAGAGGATGTGTGCACGTATCAGAGTATATGATCTGATTAGGGAATCGATGGGACGTCGACTAACAGGGTGAGGAGGGAGGGCGTGCCGTTTCAGAAAGGGAGTGTGACAAAGTAGGGCGGGGGGTCGAAAAAATAAAAATCTCAGCCAAGCTTGATGAACTGGCGGGAAACAGAGCAGAGACGGACGTGGAGGGAATTAGATCGAGTCAAATAGAACAAGGGACGAAAGTGTATGTAGAGGACGGGAAAAGAAAGGGAAATAGTAAATACCACAAACTGCAGCGCAGAGGTCTCTCTCTTTCTCTCTCTTGACCAGTTAGAAGACTCAAGTCAGTAGCAGCACACTACCCAGGTGATGATGGTCAAACAAGCTGATGAAAGGCGAGGAAATTACACAACGGCATCAAAACAAGACAAGACAAAACCATGACGGAGGAAGATGGATAGCAATCATAACATACCTGATAGACACCATCGACCATGTGGCAAAGGGCAGAGATAGCAATTACCATGGCAACAGACAGAACTGAGAGATGGTGTCTGTCGAATGCGGGGGATTGGTTATACCGATGTACGTGTAGGGTCTGTAGACGCATAACTGTAAGCCGTCAAGGCAGACGAGAAGATGCCAACGAATCGGCTGGATGAGGCACTAGATGAGAGAAACAAGGTTAACTAAGTGGGCAAAAAATCGAACCTTCCAACAGCATGTCCCTTGATAAGACTAGTTTGAAAAGAGAAACCCTCCCATTGGAGAGCTAGGCAGACAGGATGGAAGGCAAGCAGGCAAGCAAAGGCAGGGAGCGTTGCAGCTCCAGGATCTTTGTGTGCCTGTGAGCGGCTGCTGCAGCTGCGCGTCTGGGGAGATGAGCAGGAATACCTAGTACATACATGGCGATAGAGGGGCTACTCAATATGCGAGTGCCCTGCGTGCTGCGGTAGGGAATACACGGCTTTGCGTGGCTACTCCATATTGGGCTTCGGAAGTGCTCCGTGCTGTGATGCAAAAAGGCTGTGCTGCGTGTGCTGGAAGACAGCTCGGGAGGCAAATGGGCGACGTCTCGCGCGCCCGACCCAATTGACGTGGGCGTGGCCTTTGCTTGCCTGTGGCTGCCACGAGCATGGGGCGCCTTGGAGTTGCAAAAGATTCGTCCGCCATGCTTGTGCTACCGGCACGGAGACTCAAGGGAGCAGCAGCAGATCTCCTGGCTCCGTCTTACTCGCCCACTAGAGAGCTGCCTTCTGGAGCTACCCTCTGCCCGGATGAGGCAGATGTCGCGCTTGCGAGAGCCACAGGGCTCTAAGAGTGGAGGAAGAGAGGGGTTGGTGGCGGCTTGGCTGGGCCATTTTCGCTTGCTGCTGCTATAACTCTTGTTTATTAGCTGAGCACGGGTGCAAGATACGGAGACTTGCCTTTTTGCTTAGGCTGAATGGCTTACCTATTGAGGTTCTGGCCTTGCCGTGTCTTGACTAGGACCAGGTCGGTTCAGGGCCGGCTCTCGTCTCGAGATGGATGCGCCATAGCACCGTGCATATGTACGCCGTAAGTAGCTACATTCTGGCTGGGCCGGCTCTGCGTGCGTATCGAGGTACTGTACTCGGCATCTGTGGCCGTGCGGTGTTTGGATGCAGGTGCGCGTGTATGCACGCCATGTTTGTTGTTTTCCTGTTGTTTTTGTTGATGTTGATGCTGCCGTGTACTGTACGAGGGACGAGTGCTGTTGTTGTCGTCGCTGTCACGTTATCGCCATGTCTCCGGTGGGACCTTCTCCAACGTCTTTAAGCTTGCAATTTCGATCTCGCTTCGTTATCGATACGACTAGCAGTGACGTCTTTTGTCTCTCCCCAGCATTTTGCAATTGTAGAAGGTGCCAGTGCTCTGGATGGATGTAACTTTTGAATACATTATTTTCCTTTCTTATTTCTCATCCTCGTTTTACCAACAGAACAGTGCGTTGATCTTCTCATGCGCTAGACTGTACCCCGAAGCACTTACTCACTCGGCTACTGGCGTTTGGAGAAACGTGGGATACGATAACACCAAGAGGGTGTACGGGGCGCCGCAGAGCTACCAGGTTCTGCATAGAACATGCTTCTAACGCCAGGCATAGGTAGCGGGATACTTGGGCACAATATGTCTAGGCTCGTCCAGATGCGTGGCAGAGTGTATGCGACATGCCTCTACGCTCTAGGTCAGCAGGTAACACCTCCTACCACTTTCATTGAATCTAGCAAACTGCTCGGCCCTCCAGCTGACAACCATCCTCCCAAGAAAAGCGACACGTAATGCTAATGCCACAATTTCTGGCTGCTGCGGACAACAATAGCTCTGTATTCTACCGACAATTCACTGGCCTTCAGCATTGTGGCGGGGTTGCAATGGCTTTCGCAAGCTGGGGGCAAAAGCAGAAAGCATGGATGCCATTGGGTTGGTTGCAAGGTAGGGCTGTTGTGGATGCCGGGTTTATAGGCTACTGCGTCTGCCAGGGAGGCAAAAGGCCGATCCGACTAGGAAGCGGCGACGGAAGTGCGTACAAAAGCGACTGACTCATTGATGGGGAATTAAATCACGACCTTGTGAGTGTGGCTTGCTGTCCGCTTTACACCCCCCTTTACTTACATACCTGTATCTATTGCAGAACGACTGACTACCATTCGTGAGTTTTACCCAAAGAGAGGACCTCGTTGTGGAGAGGCTTAGATTCCTTCATGATGCAGTAGCAATGCTCTAGACTTTCCCTATTGAGCTGTGTTGGACCATGGGCAAGCCAAGCCTTGTTAATGCGGAACCAGTTGTCGACGTGGGCCAGCTCTGGGTGGCTGAAAAGACAGCTTGACGCTGAGCTGTCACCGCCTTCGGCTCCGCCAAACACGCAAAGCCAAAACTGGATATGCTTGTTTAGAGAAGGTGAAGACAATAACGCACAACTAAGTACCCCGAACGTATACCTATACGCAGGATAGGGAACAGTCTAAAATAACGACAAGCCAGGGTAGGCAACGAATATGGGGAATATAAGGCCGTGTGTGGGCTATACTACATACTACTACTAGTATATAGTAATACTAGTAGTAGTAGTAGTAGTAGTAGTATAGGTATTTCGAGTAGATCGACTTATCCATATGGAAGCACGGAATAGTATCAGGACCAGGTTAGTGTTCTTCTCGTACAAGTTCGGACATTGTATGAGCGGTGTTCCACTTCCTCCTCTGCGTTTTGCTGATGCAACAGCTATAGTAGTACGTACGAATGGCGGTGGCTGATACCATGCTGATACCCTTGTACAACAGTGTTTATCTTCTAAAAAGCGTTGATGATACGATGAATATGGTGCATCTGCCGTGAGATGTCATCCTCGCGCGCAAGAATCGCCCACATCGCCCACCGGCGGGCCGAAAAACAAGATGCTAGATATGATACACACTGGTAGCTTCTTAGAGAGGGAATCAAAGAAGCGCCTCTACAAGTACCTCTCTACTACCTAGTCGGATGTTCATCTGCTATCCTACTAGTACTACTACCGCTGGTAGCACGTACGATGTAGCAGTCATGACATGCTTGAAGATGCGCGGCTAGTCATTTATTAGCATCTCCTTGCAGAGACCGCTAAATAGCGGAAGTTGTTGAGATGCGGGCTCGCAACGCAAGACAGGCATAGAGAGCCCAGACGACTGCCTACCTGTACAAACGTTCTTTGTACATGCCCTCAAGCTCATATTAACACAAGCTCCTAGCACGCAAGCGTATCTACAACTTATGCACGTGTAGGGAGGCCAGATATATTGGGGGCAGAAACAAACAGGTATATGGAGACAAAAGTACGGAGTACGGAGACAGCGGGCGGAGCAGATACTGCATAGAAACAACAACTCGAGCCGATCCATGTAGGACTCGACCGGGGTGACACATCTCAAACTGACGGTCTCATCCAGTAATAATCCGGTGCTATCATGGATGCCAGTAGCACCGCTTATTGCTTTCAACATGCTCTTCGTGGTTTGTACAAAGGCGTGCTTTGCTTCGTACACGTACATTCAAATGCACACAATCGCAACACACTCACATCAGAGAGGCCCGCAAAACGCTAGCTGTTGCCTCTTTGCTTTGACTAGCAGGCAGCACAACTGCTATAAGGCACGCTGCGCGTTTATGTAATGCGCTGTGCTCTCTTTTCGCTCGGGCCAGGGCCAGGGTTCCGTTGAGACCAATCTCGAGCCTCCAGCTTCCGAGCAAATGCGCGCGGATGGACGACCCGATCTGCACGTCTAACGGAGTAGGAGTGAACGACCTTGTCCATGAGGGGCTCCCAAGCCTCGCCAGAACCGCCTAGCAGCTTTCCGTGCGTCTGCCTGCATGCATGGATGCATAATAAGGCCATTGATACATACAGGTAGCACTGCGTACGAGCATTCCCATCCAGGATACGCCTCCTTTCGACTCAAAACAAAGCTCTCACATGTACCACTACGGCAATGAGGTTGCTGGCCGCATGGGACGATGTCCTGCCGCTATACTCGCGCACCTACTTGTATCAGACTGGTACTTGTGCGTCTCCATCTCCAAGTATGGATACGGCCTCCCTGCTTGCGCTAGCACGCGGTCCTCAGCTCTCGTCGGCCTTCTATTTTAAAACGTCGAGTAATCTGCACATGCACATCCCTCTTCCAAGCAACCTGGGCCGCATCCACGGCCGCGCCATGAGCCGTCTCATGATCCAAGACAAGCCCAACGTCGTCCGCACCGATGAGAGAGATACGAAGCAGTCAGCCGGGGAAAATAAACCGAAAAGCCGCACTAAACTTGTTGCACCCTTGTGAGCCGAGGAGGCGGCGGCGTGTCTTAGACCCTTCCTTTTCCGATTCAGCTTTGTGCTACTGCCATCTACTTGGAACCAGTGAAATTCCAGGGCGCTACTCGCGTGTGTCCCCTGCTAAACTTTTGGTGTGTGTCGTTTGAAGACTCTACTGCACTTATATGGTATGTGCCTTAATAACACAAAAAGGTGTGCGAGGGAAGAGGGGAGGCATGCGAGCATCATCAAGCCGCGTAGCATTTCCATTTTGAGAGGAAACAACAAGAGGGTAAACTAAAAAGCCCTCAATACAATGGCTCCTCGCTTAGCTTTGCCAAGTCATGGTACTAACGCTGCTATTTGTCTCCAGCATTGCTGCTTTATGTTTTATGCTGAGGCGCATACCTACTTGCACTGGTGTATAAGTGAGTCTCGGCCACGGACACTTTGCACATTACCTCCCTCCACTGCGAAAACGTCTCCTTACTGCAGTTCTAATGCTACTACGAGCACCTGCAGCGATATTATCGCCATGGTACCACTGCTAGTAGCAGTACTACGAAGCAACGCATCTGCAGCTTGCATTAGGATGCTTGGCCGCGATCCAATGAGGATCCTCAGACGGAATCTTTCAAACCTCAGAGTTTCGGCAGACCCCACTCGATTTAGCGTTTTTCCGCAGTCGGCATTTTCCGTGCTAAGAAGAGAACGATGAACATGTGGCAAAGCATGGAGAGACAAGTCATTGTTGCCGCATTCATCTGCATCTCTTCCAGGCTAGGGCATTTTGTCTACTGCAAACAAGAGCATCCTATCCGCTGTTTGCCAGAACTAACCAAGTACTGTACGTGGACTCAAATACTGGGCATGATACGATACAGCATCCCTCCAATGACGCTTGGAGGAATGGCCTGTAGCTGGCCTAGTCGTTTACATCCCACTTTGATCGTCACGACTTTTGCTCCAAGAATAGGTCTCCACCGGCGGTAAATCAAGCTGTAACCATTCGTCGCAGTTCACGTCGTCGTACGGATACAAGGCCGCTCGCAATAGCCGAGTATTGCTCCGCAGCAGCCACGGGCGACGGTGACCTTGTCCTTCCCCACCGGGCAGGTACCCCGTTGCAAGATACCGTACTACTAGTATATACGACAGCAACTCAGTACATGCAAGGTACTTTGGTTGGAGCTGCCAGCAAAAGTTAGATGCTCATTGGCTACTGCGCCTCCCACATGCCGTCAACCTCTCGGTGCAGGAACGATGTAATGGTGCTACGTCCAATTCCGTCATGGCCCTCCAAAGCGAGCACATGCTTCGGGATGAGCTTCTTGTTCCTTTATACTTCCAGCCTGAGGCATGTCAGTTCTGGATCTGGACTCAGCAAGGCAGCAAGGCATCCTGTAGGGGGACCTTGTTGCGGATACGAAATAGGCGTGGGTTGATACGGCCGCTCGTATCCCAAAACCAACGATTTTCTCGATCAACACCCTCTTCCTTACCGGGCCAAGACGTCTAATCCGGGTTGGATTAATTAGTGCTGTTGAGAGGATACAGGCCGTTTTGAATAGTCGACCCATTGCTACAGTGGAGAAACATACAAAACCATGCTCTCTTCGTGTGGTTCAAAGAAGGAGGCGTGTGGATTGACAGTAAGTATGGCCAAGAATATCATCGCCCTGGAAGCCAGGTACTGTGACAAAAGGGTTTCCCAGCCACCCCTACTTACACAGCCTGACTCTAGGCTCTATGGCTTGACATCGACGACTGGCTCCCTTTTGCCGAAACTGGGACGAAACGGTTTCACAAAGGGCGAAAATAGTTGTCTTGTGGCACTTCGCCTTCGCGCTCCTGCGGCTCGGCCTCGCTGCATTCGTGACTAGGCTCTGTCCGAACTTCTGGCTGTTTACGCTCTCGGCAGCCATGATCGAGATCAGGACCCGTTTAGTTTCTCAGCACGACCTAGATAGTCTCAAGCTAGCATCGAGCCTCTCCCATCACGCCACCAGACTTGATAGACTCCAACCCTGCCGGAAGTAGCCCGCGGGCCTCGATCTAGGTTAGACGATCATGGTTTTCTTTTCTCGGGCAGCGACTCTGTGCTCATCTCCATGTTAGCCCGCTATATCTTGGTCTTCCGTGAGGCTCAGAATCCTCCTAGCTTTGATGGCTGCATGACTGCTAGTGCCGTACTGTTGGCATAAGATCATCTCATCTCAGCAAATGCCGGCACAATGCCGCACGTGGCTCCGAAAGCCATGTGTGAACGGGTCAACTACAGGCAATAAGTATTATTAGAAAAGTCTTCATTTGTTTCGAAGTATCAACAGGCACTTGCAGCACACAAAAACTCGCTCGTTTTGAACATGTTTCTCGGCAACAAATTTCCACTGCAGCCCACCTCAGCCGTACCAGACTTGGCAACACTATTCAGATACTATTACTACGCCTTCAGCTCGGTAGTAGTTTTATATCAAGTTTCCACATTACCATCCCACTGGGAATTGGGCTTTTGGCGCCGGTAACCGCCAGTCGCCCTCGGGCCAGCGGCCTTGGCGGCAGATAGGCAACAAGCCGACCAATGAAACATGGCCTCTGTTGCTTTCTTCGAAGCTTGTGTTGGCCCAGTGGCGAGTTGATCCCATTCCCCATTCCTAGCCATTGAGTGTTCTTACTAAACTCAGCCCGGAGCTTATTGTCAAGGCCACCGTTATTCCAGGCGTGGACCAACAGCATGTGCTAGTAGACACAGCAGTTGCTTCATAAGGACGTGGTGCAGGATAAGCGGAAACGGGACGAGGTTGCTCACACTGAGAAGCGGCAGACTACTCTCCCCGCATTCGCCACACCCTCAGGTTGAATAGACTTTTTTCTTCATCCTCAACTTCATTTGTCTTGGAACCCTCTAACCTTGAATGAACAGGAAGCAGAAAGTAAGCCAAGCAAGCCACGTACCATACCGGATTTGAGCGAGTGCTTAAGCAAAGACCCGAACCTACCTGACAATGCCGCAATCCACCACTCAATGGCCGAGTTTCAGTTAAATTAAAACAGCCATTCCTTCCTTTCTAATTTGTCACTTGAATACAGTTCCATACTAGCACGCTCATAGAAATGGCCTGATAATCCACTATCCGATTGGATCAGCCTCAGACGGGATGTGCCCAGAGCAGGCATTGTTGCAGCCAACGTATATCGGATTCGTCGAAAGAATTTTCATTTACCCTTGGCCGCTGCCCCAAATAGGACAAAGCCCATTTCTCCTCTGCCCTTGGACTACCTACTTGGGTATATGGGCCACCAACCTCAGCTCCGGTCCGCAAAGCCAAGACAAACAGCGGGTTGGGCTGGATTCGCTATTATGACGCTGTTGGCCGCTACACATCAGGCTCGACGGCACACAGCATATAGAAGGGTGTGATTTGTTTCGTCTTAGTAGTGTTACCACAGATCTTTCCTGCATGATTGGCAAATGCAAACGGCATTTTTTGCAGCTCTTGATACTACGCCAATAACATGACTGCATATACGTCTACCCGGGCTATGTGGATCCACCCGAAGTCTTTAGCTTTTGTGACTTCTGCAACTTGGAAAGCTTCAGCACAAAGGCAGTATACTTCTTACAAGCTGGTCTACAGTATCTACATTGCCGGGCCGAACGGAACGGCAACTTAGTAGCCAACAAGCAGGCGGAGCAGTAACCTGAACCAGGGTTTTTCAGCTGTCTGTTACCCCTGGCCCTTACACCCTCAGCTGCAGATAACCGAGATACAATCGTTGCATCGCCGTAACTATCCTGGGCCACGCTGAAGAACTTTGGATTTCATACGGGCACCATTGGACAGCCAAACACAACCTACCGAAGTCAATTGATGACCAACATGTTCATGACTTGTGGCAAAACTGTGGATAAGAAACGGGGTCACCGTCAACTAGGTATTGAGCAATAGCTAACCACAACAGTTCTCGCATCTTACTTCAGCGATAGAATCCTCATGTGTTGCATAATATTTTTGTTGGCTAGAGTGATGGAAACCTGCAGCCACACGCGAAGACCCACACAACGCTAGAGCAGGAGACGATACTAATGGATAATGCTAATAAATACAGCCCAACAGTATTTACTCTTTATTTCCCTCACGGCTAGAGGATGGTAGGGTGCAGCCACAGAGGATCCGTTGTCCATAGTTCCTCTCAATGGAGTAGGTGCCGCCGGGAAAATCTCCCATGTTACGCGCCTTGAGTCGAGAGAAATCAGATCATGGTGCATCGTTGACTCAAACGCCCATGCTGTGGCTGCGAATAGCTACTATATGCAAGCCCTACTCCGTATACTACGCCAGATACAAGTTAGAGACCGGTAGCATTTTCAGGCGCTCTCGCACAGCGGCATCCAACCACGGACTCGGCCCCGAGCAGAAGACAAATCGGTTCCTGATAATCAGCGGCATATAGGACAAGGTTTTTGCCTACTGTCTCAGCTTTTCTGGTCTACGCCCAAGATACCTGTCCGGCTGAGTCGGTTTATCCGATGGATTTGAGAATATAGATGTTAGAATCACGCCCCTTTCCAACCCGGCTCCCGTTTATTATGACAAACTCTCTTTCAGTTGGCGCAGCAGTATCTCTGCCGTCTACCTTTCAAAAGGAAGAGTACAAAACAAGTATACTCGCTGGCTACCCTTCGATGTGAAGTAGCCGAGCTGCCGCTATCCTTGTTCTCTGTTGTGGGAGAGACGACAAATTGCAAGCTACCGTTGCCAATTTCTCCACCACACATAACCGCAGCTCGATGGCCGCTACTGTGCTTCATAGGGCGATGGCTTGCTTCATGGCACATGCAAGTGCGATTTCCGCGTGTGGAACGTTTGCTCCCCCATTGTTTGTCCGGTGGGATGGAGCGCAGCCCTTGTTTAGCTGGGAGGCTGGCAAGTGGCATCTCGCACCACCCAGATGCTATATCCCGACAAACTCTATACTATATTCATCTAGTTCGCGCCCTCAGGCGTACAAGTAAGGGACTTGACCCTGCTACATAAGCCGCATCTCGTTGAGCTTCGCTACTACTGCTACAACCGCCACTACTATTACTAGTATAGTAGCTTCAGACCCTCCCCTTGCTCTATGCAGGTCTCTCTGCCCTTCGCCACACCAAGACTATTGGTTCCTAATATATTGGAGCGTGGCTTTTAGAGCCTCCTCCCTTGCGTGACGATGCTCCGCTGCTAAATGAAGAACGAAAACCGGCCCCCGACCAGTGTATGGCCAGTGGACTGATGTGAGTGAATATATCGCCTGGCGCGGCGCCTTCTAGTCTATACACAAGATCACCATTCCGCTTTTCCAACAGTTTCTTTTCTCTTCTTTTTATATCCGAAGCGCCGCTCTTATATGCGAGATGGCTGATTTTGAGCACAAAGCTATCATTCTGCACCAGATTTTGTTAGGAATCAACTTGGACGATGAAGAGAAGAAATGGGAAGGGGAAACACTAATGCAGAGCTAAACCACACGTTTTTTTTTTTTTTTTTGCGTACTCTAGCGTCCATCACAGCCTCGCTCAGCTATCCATGCAAACACTATATAGCCGAACTCAAATATCAGTATGATCACCCATCCACTACTGTTTTCGTCACGCCTAGATGATTTGTGATTTGTTGCGTACAAGTAAGATGAGATTTCAAGCGAGATGCAGGGGTTTGATAGAACAAACTCAAACTTAAAAAAACAAAAGCCATGGTTGTGAAGAAGAAAAAAGAAATTAATAATTTTCCCTTCTTCGTTGATGGGGGGGAAAACAGAGGTTATTGAAAATTTTGTTAAATTTATCAAAATCAATCAATCAGTCGTCGTCGTCGCCGAATGCTAACATAGAAAAGGTCTCCCTCTATCCGCCATGCAGAGAAAGGGGGAGAAAATGATACAGTTATCTAGTAAATAGCAGGAAGAATATAAAAAAAAAAAGACGAAAATGAAGCAAAAACCGCTCACTATCCGTGGCCATGAAAATGGTCTGAACAAAAAAACACGTTGTATAACCCTATGAAAGAAAACACTACATCGAGGTAGTTTTTTTCTTTTCCTCCCTTTCCCTTTGCGTTGCTTTACTTTCCCATTTCCTCCGCAATAATTTTGTAAATAGAGAATTCCGCAGCTTGGGTAAAAGAAAATAGTCTTCTCCTCTACCATTTCCAGCTTTCCCCCTTTCCCTTCATATGATTTGAATTCTGGCATCAAGCCGTCCGAAACTCGTATCGTTTCATATCGTCTAGCTCTCGTAAAATAAAGCCGTGCGCGTACTACAAAGCCATTCCCCCCTCTCTCCTATCTTCTTGCGTTGTTCATTTGATTCCATTCCATGTCATGTCATGTCGGGTCGTATCGTGTCATGCTGAAGAAGGATATGCTCATGTTGGTTTTTCGAAGCACGCACTAGACTTTGAACACTTTGACTCTTAACATCAACTAGAAAAAGATGTTTGCATATGCCAGCCAAAGCGAGAGAGAAAAAAAAGAGGCCAAAAAAAAGGAAGAGAGCAGGAAAAGAGAGAAAGAAAATAAAAAAATCAACTAGGTGTGAATGCTGGAAGAGACGAAGCGTTAATTTTTTTTTTTTTTGGTCTCGAGTCCCCTAATCACCAAGCTTTTTGTCCCGGCCCCAACGCCAAAGTAACTCTCATAGACATTGAGGAAATACATCTATAAGCTGCCTGTCTATCCGAATCCGTAGCTGATGTCAAACATGGAAGGGGAAAAAAAATAAAGGATGAAAAAAGGGTAGAACGCAGGTTTAGAACCATGGGTGCTTCCGGAGAAGGGAGCCCTGCCATTAAAGTATTACAAAGACCAACGCAACATCCTAGAGTTCTTTAATGATTGGCTCCTGGGTGCCATTCTCATATTTAACCTCAACGGCGTTGTTCTCGCGGCTCTTTGCTAATTTACGAGGCTGGCTCTTTTGCCCCTTTGCAGCAGATCCTCTTCTTGGTCCAGAGTCGGAGTCTTGATCACTAGACGTCCTGCTTGTTGACCCGCTCTTGGTATCTGCTTGACTCGCAACGGAATCGTCGCCAAAGGGAGTTTCGAGCTCTTCAACATCAAATATGGGACTACCAGGGTGCTGGAATTCCTCTGATATCTGAGCTCCGTCAAGTAGCGAGTCGCGCAGCGAACCCGATCCGGACCTAATAGGAACCGGCTTCCGAATAACCGAATCAGAACTCGTGCTGGATGTATCGCTGGGAAGGGGCTTCCTTGGAGGCGGGGGTAGCTTTGGAACATTCGATACCATGTCGCTATATCCATTCATACCGGAGCCCGGGTACGTGATGGCGTTTGACGGAGACGGGGTGGACAAGGGAGGAGCAGGATTTGAATTACTCATGTACGCGTCCAGCTTCCGTTTAAGCACCTCTGCCCGAACCGGCTTTGCAAGGTAGTCGTTCATACCAGCAGCCAGACACTTCTCTCTGTCGCCTTGGATTGCCGATGCTGTCATGGCTATCACTAGGATTTTCCGGACTTCATCGATTGGGTCGCTTCGAATGAGCTTGGTAGCTTCATATCCATCGAGAACCGGCATTTGAACATCCATAAGGACAATGTGATACGGGATACCTTCTCTGGCCTTTTGCCGAAGGCCTTCAACAGCCTTGAGTCCATTTTCATATGCACTAACACTGGTATAGCCCAGCCGCTGTACATATTGAATAGCAATCCTTTGATTGATAGGATTATCTTCCGCCACACAGATACGAATATCCTCCTTGGGAATCCGCGTAAGATCGAGATACGGGTTCGGAGAGGAAGCTCGGTCCACAAATGAAGAAGTTCTTGTCGAGTATCTGTCAATAGGCGGTAGCGCTTGAGATTGGGCATCTCCAGCAGCAACATCAGGCTTGGCTCTTTCAAAGGAGACTGTGAACCAGGCGGTGGTGCCGAGATTTGGTTCACTCTCGAGCTGAATCGTTCCTTGCATCATGATTTCGATGAGTGACTTGCAGATACTCAGTCCAAGTCCACTTCCACCGTATTTTCTAGCCGTGCTGGCATCGGCCTGGCTGAATGGCTGGAATAGCTTCGCCAGCTGTTCTTGTGGAATTCCGATCCCTGTATCTCGGACCCAGAATGTCAAAGTGGCCCTCTCCTTAGTTTCCTCGTCCAGCCGGGCGCCAATGGTGATGGATCCATCCTCTGTAAATTTTAAGCTGTTGCCAATGAGGTTTCCAAGAACTTGGTGGAGGCGGATTGGGTCGCCGTAGATTAGCATGGATGGCAAATTAATGTCGTGAACAATCTTGACATTCTTCTTGGACGTCTTCTCTCGGTTGCTATAAGAGACTGCTCGAACGACTTCCCTAACCATTTCTTCGGGGTTGAAAGCAATGATATAAAGTTTCATCTTATCAGCTTCCATCTTGGAAAAGTCAAGGATATCGTTGATAACAGTAAGTAGAAGATCGGCCGAGACTCGGATGGAATCTGCCATTTCAAGCTGGTCCCGGTTTAAGTTGCTGTCACGTAAAAGTTCTGAATTGCCAATGACACCGTTGAGAGGCGTCCGCAGCTCGTGAGAGACGTTGGCCAAGAAGATAGACTTGGCCTTGGCTGCTTCTTCGGCTAATTTGACATTGCGCTTCGCCTCTGCTTCTGCGTTCTTTGCCTTTGTCTCTGCTTCGATGGCTTTCTTGAGTGCGCGTTTTTGTACCTCCACCATGGAATGGTTCTCTGCCGAGATCTTTTCAATGTTCTTTATTGACAAGGCATTGGAGTAGCTGATGCTGATTTGGTTGACCAAAAGCTGGAGAACGGTTACGTTGCGATCCGTAAACGATCCAGGAACGCCTTCGAGATACAACACGCCAAGTAGTGGCTTGTTCGCATGGCGTATCGGAATGGCAATGATCGATTTGCTCGTCGGATTCCTTTGCAGCCAAGACTCATTGACGTTGCTAAATCTCTCGTCAGAGACAATATCCGATATGAAGACAGTTTCCATGAAACGTGTACAGTAGAGCACAACATTCTCAGCAATTAGAGGGGTGTCTGTGAGGGGTAGGGCGGGTTTGTGTGCTGAAGCCCCCTTCTCCGGATCGCCACTTGCAGCTACACACCAGCCGTCTGATTCCGCGTAGACCACAATAGCGGCATTCGTGGCCGAACCACCACATGTCTGCAAAATGACATCGCACATGGTCTTGAGCAGTTCTTCTACCTGTAACAATGACGAAATGACCTGAGAAGACTTGAGGATTGCGTGCAAATCGATCATATCGAGAGCAGGGAGTCCACCGCCGTCTTCTGTCTGCATGTGCATCGAATTTCTCCAGGCTCCAATCTGCTCCCCCTTTGCCTCTGTCAAGGTATTGGAAGGAATCTGGGTCAGGACATCATCTTCCTCTCCATCCACAGGGCGATATTGGACCGAAGGTGCGTCGGTGACAAAATCGGTCTGGACACCCATATCGGCAACGCGATGATTTCGAGTCGGCCCATGCAACAGAAGGGAGTGCTCTTCCTCAATGGCATGAGCAACACCAGTAGCTGCCACTTGCCTGTATAAGCTCAGGGCATCTAGAAGAGCGGCACGGGCAGACCGCCGCGCCCTGCGTCGGATAAAGAAGCCCGCCATGAGGTAGTTGCCGAGGGCTTCTTCCAGAACGAAATCGTGCTCGGCAGCATGGTCCAAAGCCTCCTCGTAGTGTTGAATACAATCGCCGTGTTGGCCGGACAGCTCTGCCATTTGTGCTTCCAAAAGTTTTGCCCATGTCAGGTAATTTACATTGGATACCGTTGTCCAATCCGTGATCAGTTTCAGATACCCCTTGAGCCGCTCTGCCAGCTTTTGAGTCTCTTCGGAGAATTCTCCCGGCTGACTTCGCGGATCTTGAATCTTCCGAAGCAGATGGCCCGAGAGTGCCAGCCCATAGAAGAGGACGATCAATCTGGTATTTCGTGATGACCAGATGTCGTTGAGATGATCAATACATCTATCTCCAACCTCAATGGCCCGGTCATAATGCCCATACAAGAATAGGACGACGATTTCAAAACTTTCGTAGAACAGCATAGGGCGAGTACTACCTTTAGTCCGTTCCCATAGTGACTGCTTGTAAGATGCACTATTGTGCTCACTGTCGGTCATGACCTCCAACGGATTGTGAGCGCGAGTTTTACCCTGTAGCGCTCGGCAAGCTTGTCTGACGGCAAGGAGCATTACTCCACCTCTGGTGTCACAGGCCCATCTGGCAATCTCTTCGCAGGCTAGTTCACAGAACGTTTCAAGCTCGGAGCAATTCTCGCTCGCAAAGAATTTAAGCTGAGCGGCTATACCATAGCTGTGGATTGTCGACATTCTGTCACCTGCAACAGACGCCAGCTCAATTGCGTCATCCATCTGGGAAATAGACTGCGGCATGGAGCAATGCGCATGCCCAATGAAGCACTGATGTAGCATCTCGCCCCGTGCCAGCGTGTAAGCATCACGGGCCTGAAATAACAGATCCTGGGATATCATGGCCAGTTCTATGGCCAACGGGATCATGTTGAAACGTGACATTGCCACAACAGACAGGTTAAGGAATGCCATGCCAGACTGTGGGAAAGAGCCTCGAGAAAGATGGGTATCAAATAAAATCAGGCTAAGATGGTAAAACTGCAAATGGTCGGTCCACCAGGCTGCATTGGTAGTCTCGGCAAACACCGCACTGATGGATGCCATGGAGGGATCGCTCGATTTCTTGTGACTGATGATTGTCTGGCGGTCCGTACTTTGTATCTGAGCCGCAATCTTGTGGAATCTTTCGTCACATTTTTCATACGACGCTTCTTCGTCGAGGGAAACGCCGAGTAAAGCCAGAGATTCTTTGAGAGAAGCAAGTGCTGCCGGAGAGTTGCCACTCTGCGCAAATATCCGTGACTGTAAGACATAGGCGGGCGCTTTGTCTACCGGGCTGTTGGCATTGTCTAGGATGATGGAAAGGAGATCACCTGCCGAGGTTACTTGATTCATGTATAGATGGCATTCAGCCGCCCGGAGGTAAAGCTGGATCGTTTCGTCATAAGAGGCATCCTCGACTTCATCAGACCACGGGTTATCCTGCAAGAGTATGACCGCCGCATTGTAGTACTTGACCGCCGTAGGTCGAGCGCCGTTCTCCGTTGCGGCCTGCGCACACTCCATGAGCAGCTTACGAAACTCCCGACGGCAACGTACCCGACGCTTGATTATTTCGACGGCGGTGCAGATATGTGAAGCAGTGCTATCGCGCTGCCTGGCTTCCACTGCGTAGTATTTCAAAAGCGTCTGCGATATGATGAAGTGCATCTTTCGAGCATTACACTCTTTCAAGGCTGAAGACGCTTGAACATACCGGTCGTGTGCGAAACGAAAGCGGTCATCCGACTCGGTTGGTACAATGATATAAGACTGAATAGCCGCTTGTAATCCTGCGACAGCTTCTCCTTCGGTGTAGGCGCGTTGGGTGACATTGTCTGGACAAACCACCCCATCGTCATCGCGGTAGTCAAACTCTCCGCTCATAAGCCGGCACAGGAGCTCGAATGAAAATGAGCCTCCCAGGAGAGCCGCCCAAGCAAGCACCGCTCGCGCAGCAGACGGTAACTCAGCCAGTCGGTGAGTGATAAAGGCAGTATCTAAAACATCATAATCCTTCTCGCCTTGAAACTGTGCGAATAGTCTATCCATGTCATAGTGCCATTGGCTATCACGGTAGTCATACCAAATGCACTTCTTTCTATGGCAGGCACTAAGCATTTCTCGCATGTAAAACGGATTGCCGGCCGTCTTGGACTGAATAACTAGAGCAAGTGAAAGGATTTCTTCGCGCGGCTTAGAAAGAGTTGTCGACACATATTGAAGGATATCATCCTCGCTGAGGGGATTGAGCGTGATTCTCGTAACCTGCGGGCGCACACTGCGAGGGTTATCTAGCAGGCCATCAGCATCTCGTGGGACCGTTAGGAGAGAGGCATAATCACCATCCGATTCCGGGGGTTGTAGCATGGCCCGGAGTTTTGTTATTGAAAGCTCTTCTGGTCTGTACGTTACGATGACAACCATCTTCATCCTGGCGGCTATGATCTGGGAGATGAGCTCGAGAGATTCATCATCGGCAAAGTGCAAGTCTTCCAGGCAGAAACAAATAAACTTGTGCGCGGTAAAGACCCTGAGCACATCCAGGATCGTGTTGATCAAACGCATGGTTTTGGTTGATGCTCCAGCGCAGAGATAGTCTTGAGAAGATTGCATTCCATATCCTGCCTGAATCCGCGGTAATGGCCCCGGAGATTCTCCAGGGGACGACGTCCTGCGCTTCAGCAGTGGCCGCGAGCCTGAGCTCTGAGATGACGAGATGGGCCGTGGAATATTCGCGTCCGGCGAACCAAGGAGAAATTCTGGCAATCCTAGGACCCTGTGCAGCATTGGCCATACTGGACGAATATATTGCTTCAGGCCCACGTGAAAGGGCGTATTTGTATCCCTTTCACCCCAGACTTGTTTGAATAGTGATGATAGAAGCTTAAGCAGCGGTCCAAACGGCGTTCTCTTTGCGGTGTCGAACTTGGCCGTCGCGCAGTAGCCATTGCGCCGAGCATCAGTCAGGACCGACTGCACAAAGAGACTCTTCCCCACACCACCAGCACCTTCCACCATGATGACTTCGCAGTGCCCATGACGTCGAAATTTGGCCGAGCCAAGCTGTCTAGACAGGCTGGACGCACCAATGTCCATCGGACCACGAGGCCCTTCCACATTTAGGCTCTCGACCATGCTTGAGGAGTCCAAAGAACCCAGAGAAATGGATTGGTGGCGCTCCCATCGCTCCCATGGCCTCGTAAATCTAGGATACATGGCAGCTGTAGACTGGGATGACGAAGTGGTGTCGGTCGACAAGGTCATGGTCTCGGATATGATTGTAGGGAATAAGCTGTTTTTAGTTTGTCGAGTTTCAGATGATATAGTCTGAGCAAACGATCCGCTCCTGCGGTTATGGCCATCAAGAGAGCTGGCACCGCCTTCGCTAGAAATGTCATCAAAGGTCATCATCTCGTTAAGGCTGGCTCCGTCTGAGAACCTGCCGGTAGGGCCCTTGCGTTGAGCGGCATGGCTTTTAGCAACACGGTTAATGACTTTGAGAACGGCAGCTTTCTCCTCCTGCCGGCCAATCATGGAAGCCGGGAGCATGAAGAAGGACGACACATCACTTGTTCCGATTTTGAACTCCTTGAGAGCCTTTGTGTTGCCATCTTCGAGATACTCTTGGATGCAGATTAAATCGTGACGTAGTCCGCTAGCTGAGTGGTAACGGTCAGCAACGTTTTTAGCCGTGCATTTCTGGATAATTCGCCCGATAACGTCTGGTATGTCCATCCGTACGGTGGCCACATTGGGGATTCTGCGTCCGAGCACGCTTTGTACAATATCGAGAGCTGAATCGCCCGTGTAGACGGGCTGCTGAGTAAGGAGGCTCCAAAAGACAACGCCGAGCGAGTAAATGTCGGTACGGCTATCGGGTTCGGCGGGCATTCGACCGGTCTGTTCGGGGCTGATGTACAGCAGCTTATTCCTGCCTCCCAGTTCTTTGGAGAGCAAAGACCAGCCGGTGCTAGTCAGGCCATGCTCGAAGGACCTGGTGCCGGAACCAAAGGACATGACTCGGACCTTGTTTTCCTCGGCGTTGAAATGGAAAGCATCGCCGCGGATCTCGCCGTGAACCATGCCGCGACTATGGTGGAGGATCTCCAAGCACTGGGCCGCACCAATGGCGAAATCGAGAAACAGTCGAAGGCTGATGGGGGCTTGAAGCGTTGGTCGGTGGTGGATGGCTCGATATGTATCGCCATCTTTGCGCGCCTCGTAAAAGGCAGGGCCCATGTCTAGGACGTCGAACAGGAGGTTGTGGCCTGGATGTTGGTATATGGCGACAACGATGGCCCCACGGTCGCCGGTCGTCGGGCTCAGCCGAATCAAATCGAGAGGTTTTACGATGTGGTCGCCATGGGGGTCAGCCGTCGCCGAGACGCTTTTGGCGATCTGGAAGGCCCTCTCCTCGCGGAGGGCATGATGTGATACGCGCGCCACGACGGGCTCTTCGATGTACGCTACGTCGGTGGAGGATGGCGAGGCGATGGGATTGGAATGGGCAGCGGGCAGCGGGGAGGCGGGGGGTTCGCTGCTGTAGCCGAAGCTGTAGCTGGAGAGAGGGCCGCCATGGTCGGAGGGAGTTGGACGACCCGACTGGAGTTTGGATACAGAGCCGGGGCTGGAGGCGTTTTGCGACGAGGTAGAGGGGGGCAGCGTGGGATAGACGTATCGAGTGCCGAAAACATGCCTAGGTAGTGAAGCGAGAGAATCAGAAGTTAGCTCTCTCGATCTGGCGCCTCTGCAAGAGCAGCCATCACGGCCATTCTCTGTCTATCTACAAGATGCCTTGCTTTCCCCTCTCAGGCCGGGCTCGTTGCTTTCCTCCTCTTCAAATCATCCACCGCGGCAGAGGGCGACTCACCAGTAGTCATACGACGAGTGGAAGGGCGGCGTCGCTTCATCCCAAGTATAACCAGCTATCTGTCGGAGGCGTTCAAACAGCCGCGGCGGCGGGGGAGGCGGCGGGTCGAGCACATCGTCGGGCACGAGGGCTGGACCGTCCATGATGGCGCGCGGTCATAGGAGGGAGGCAGAAAAAAAGAAAAAGAGGAAGCCCCCCCAGCTGGCTGCTCGGCAGAGGGTTGAGGCGGCGGCTTGCACTCGGAGTCCAACGGTCATCCAAGCCCGCACGCAGCGCCCATCGTCGGCCCGGTGGTTGTATCGGTAGGAGGAGTTGCGGTAGGGGTCCCGGCGGCGAGGAGCGCAGCAGCCGATGGATGAGCAGGGCAGCTTGGCTAGCTCTAGGGGTTTGTGATTAATTTTTTTTCTTCCCTAGATTCTCTGGCTGCGTTTCTGCGTTCGCCGAGCGGGCACTACACAAGTCGGGGTCCTGATGGAGGTTTTGTTAGAACTGGGGCTGCCCATCTGGGTTGCAGCGGACTGGTGGTGCTTGCTAGCAGTCAGCACAGGCTACTGTCGCCCGGCTTGTGGCTAATGCCAGGTGCCTGTAGGTGTACTTGGCGGGCAAGCTTCAGTGACTTGCCATTGCCGTATCGTGGATACAGAGCTACCTCCCTCCCACCGGCAGTTGCTAGCAGCTTGTCGCTGCAGCGCAGGGCCTGGCCAAGTACACACCAAACTGCGCCAGGTACATCGCCCTTCATTCCGCGCTCAGGCCTGGTACCTGCTCGGGGCCTTTTGCGCAGTGCTAGCAGAGAAGTCTGCGCGGCGATATGTACTAAAATGTCAACTTTACAAATCGCCCGAGCTCGTGCAAAGAGGGCGAGCAGCACTCGTAGCAGCTGCAGGCCATGATTTCTTTTTTCCTCTACAACGTGATTCCATCTCTCTTCACCTCCCTTCTCTTGGCTCTGCAGGAAGTCACGATATAGCTAAAACATGGCCGTGTCGCTCTAATGGGGGCCGAGCCATGCTTGATAACGCGGCTTGCCGGCCACGGGACGCCATGTTCCACCGCATCAGCCATTGATTCCCATCCATACCAAAGCAGCGGCAGCGCGGGAAACGCTGTGCCCCGTTGCGGACTGGTGAAAAGGTCCAAAAGACGATGGCGCTAACAGACCGCTTCAAGGGTCTTCCAGGTGTCGTCAGGTTAGTAGTTTGATCAATGCTTTGGCCAGCAGCTGAGCAGGGCCAGTTTGCCGCCTCTCTGCCTCTGCATCACTGCATTTGCTATGAGAGCGACCCCCGCTGAAACCTGATCCGCTGGCAGAGTGCTAGTGGTGGATGAATTTTGTGCCTTTTGGGCTTTCCGTCGTGCTGTGCCTTGCGTATTGTGATTGTTAAAGGCATGGGTTATTAGGTATGACGCCTCCTCGCCTGAAAGGAAAAGAAGGGCTTGGATCCATTATTGAGAGATCTAGCAGCAAGGTGGTGTGGTGTGGTGTGGTGCGCGAGCCCACACCACGTCAATCTCTTCATCATGCCTGAGGGAAATATGGGAAATGCCAAATACCTTGCCCTGGTTGCTGATCTTCACGTTCCAGGCGCCAGCGTGTCAAAGGGACATGCCCATGTACCCACCCAAGACGAGATACTGATGAACCCAACCAAGTTTTTTATTTTCTTTTCATCAGTCACCAACGTCAGAAACTATCTGCCATCCAGGTACCTATGAAGCATGACTTGTATAAGTGAAATACCTAGAGGCAACGTGGAAAATGATTTAAGCTCCGCAATGATGTCTTTCCCAGGAGCCGTAATCCCGCGTAAATTTTTCTCTTTGGTACAGTAGACTGACTAAAAGGTTTTTTTTTTTTCCCCAACTCAACCCAAAGGACATTGGGCTACGTCTGAAAACGGCAATGATGCTACATACCCATACCCTAGGACTGGCCCAAAACGCTTTCGTCAGCTGCTCTTACTCGGACACAAAACTTAATTGCCAAGCTCCTCTTTTGATCCCATTAAAAAAAAATACATGGAAGGAAAGGAAGAGAGAAGGAAATTTTCTCGAGTTTGTTAGTGTCCTTGGCGGCCTGTGCCTGTAGAGGATGATGTAGGTGGCCAAGCCATCCCGCTCAACTAAAAAAGTGTCAGGGAAAAAAAGAGAAAGAAATGTGCAGTAGTACAATGTTTAGCAGCTGCATGTTTTTACTGTGAAGTAGTGCTCGGCAAACGCTCGGAATGCACTTGTATCTGCATTGGCACAATTACATGACCTCTGGGCCTTTACAGTACTCAGATACATTTGGTAGTCACACTTATGACATACCTAACAAACAGCCAATGCGCCTAACAACAGATTTATTGTTATCAAAAAAAGAGCAAAAATCACTCTCTATCTCTATCATAACCTATACTCGCTATTTCGCAGCGAGGGAATCTATACCGACTGCCCATACACAACCCTAGGCGTTCGTATCACCCGAGCTATTCCGAAATTTTCAGACCTTTGAAATACCCCCATTCATAGCAGACCACATAGCTACCCAGATTGATTCGATAGCCGCTGCCTCACATTACAGTGCACGTGTACATTGTGCTCCTTATATACCTAGTATTCAACCTCCATCATCCCGATGCTTGCAACTCCTTAGTTCCTCTCGCGGGTAGGCAGAGGCTGAGCTCCGTAGGAAAAGGCCTGCGCCAGACGCCTCTCGGTGTTCTGTCGGCCGTTGACAAAGTCAGGGTAGTTGAGGGTCAGCTCAACGGCTCCGCTGGTGATGGCGTCGACGGCCTCAACACCCAGCATGAAGGAGTGGTCCTGGTTGCCGACCTCGTATCTCCAGCTGCCGAAGCGGCCGCGAGAGTAGATGCCCAGGTCCTGGAGCTTGGGCAGGAGCTCCTTCAGGACACCCTCACGCTCCAGAGAAGGAGTGGGGTATCCGTGGTCAAAGGCACGGTGGTAGGTCGAGACAATCTCGTCCTCGGGCTTGAGCATCTCAGTGTTGACGAGACCCTGAATGCAGTCCTTGAGCAGGTTGTCGACATCCACGGGCTTCAGCTCAGACTGTGAAACCTCCAGCATGATGGACCAGTAAGGACCGTCCTGAGCCTCGGAAGAGGCAGCCTTCTCGCCGTTGGCAAGGTACAGGGTTGGCAGCTTGGCGTTCTTCTCGGGCTGGTTGTAGGGAGAGTAGTTGGAGAAGATGGTGGCACGGTAGAAGGGGCAGTTGTCCTCTGGGAAGTACAGCCAGCACTTGTCGCCGATGCGCTCAGGGCGCTCACCACGGATACCAACACCAATGACGTGGGTGGTGGAGTAGAAGAGGCCCTTGGACAGGGTGATTAGCTCCTGGTTGCCCATCTTCTCGACGAGGTGGTCGACAGCCATGGTGTTGACCAGGGTGCCATAGCCAATGGTGGTGCCGTCGGCCATGGTGACGGTCTTGTTGGCGGCGTCGATCTTGGTGACCTCACCGGACTTGCCAAACTTCTTCTTCTCGGAGGGAAGAGTGTCGGCGACGGCGATCCAGATACCACCGGTACCGTCCCGAGCGGGGAATCGGAAAGTGGCATTGGGTCCCCAGTTACCGGCAACCTTGTTCAGGACGACGTTCTTGGTGACGGTCTTGACATCGGGGGCAGCAACTCGCTCGCCGAGCCACTGGCATTGCATCTAGAGGAGGGAAGCGTAAGTAAAAGAAGACGTGTTTTGCGATGGATGATTTTTGTGAGCAAAACCCGTTGACTTACCTTGGTGGTAGGGACGGCCCAGACCTTGTAGTTGTAGGGTCGCATGAAGATATCAGCAACACCAACACCGGTGTTTCTGATGATCCACTCGTCAAAGTCCTTGGGCTTGGTGTTGGCAACGCGGTGCTCGAGGGCAGCGTCGATCATGCCCTCCAGACATCTGACCTGGTCCTCCTTGGGGAGCATGGAGATGTTGTTCTGGAAGGGGTAGGGGACCCAGAGGCCCTTGTAGCGGACGTAGGAGATTCGCTGGTGGACGAACCAGTCATCGTCCTTGGGGAGAGCCTCGTCCAGGCAGTCGTCGAAGTACTTGTAGTGGGAGAAGATGACATGACCGCCAACGTCGTACAACTAAAAAAAAAAAAAAAAAAAGCAGCAGCTGTCAGCGCAACGATTCCAACGCGAGGTTCCACGGCGAAGGCGAGGTTGAGGACTTACGAAGCCTTCAGGAGTGACATCAGTACCGGCAAGACCACCAGCCTTGTGGGAAGAGTCGACAATCAGCCATGAAGGGCCGTTCTAGCGACTTGGTTAGCAACGAACAAGAATAACATCGCGGGGTATCGAGATCTGGCGGTGAAGGGGGCGCACGTACGATCTGGTTCAGACGCTTGGCGGCACCGAGACCAGTAGGTCCCATGCCAATGACGAGAACATCAACGTTACTGCAGTTGAATCAGGCGTTAGTTACACAAGAGCTTTTGGGACAGGAACAGCATCGCATAGAGGCAATTGAAGCCAATCCAGCATCGCGAATATTTCGCGCTGAATAGGGGAAGCAGAGAGAGCAAAATACGCACATGTCGGCCATGGTGGGGGAAATTTGGTGAGGCTGGAAGGATGGGAAAAAAGAGTTGAAGCTGGGAAAAGGGAGGGACGGTGCTGCACACGCGCCAAGAAGCAAGTTGAAAAGAATGGGTATAAGGTGATGCCTTTTGCAAAGAGGATGAAGAAGAAGCAAAAGAGAGAATCCAATGGATCGCGGCAGCTGCCAGGCAATTTGCTTTTCAAGTCTTGCAACTGGGAAAGGAGTCGGTGATGGAGGGGCTGCCCGAACTATTCTGGCGACAGGGGCTGGCCGCACGCCCAACCCAATTCTCACCTCAGTTTTATTACCTGTCCTCTCCATTGACCCTACGACCCTGGCAAGCCCGATTCCACCCCTCCATCCCACTCGCAAGTACGAGTCGCTAGCACGCGTACGGCCTTAGTATCACCAGCCTCGACCAACGGCGGGTGGCCAAGCCGCCACTGGGTGGGCAGGGAGTAATGAAGAGTCCCACCTCCAGTGAGTGGTTTGGGGGCGCAGAGCCGTTTGCAACACTGGACTCAAGTCGCAGCGGTACCAGTACTCGGCGCGCCGCACGGTTGCAAGTCAGGCCGCTGTACTTACAGCAGTAGCGCCCCGTCCGTGGTGGCGTGGGCGGGGGCCTGCAGCGGGCGGATCCAGCGTCTACAGCAGCCATCCAGCGCCGTTCCTGGGCCTGCGGCGGCCCGCTGTTGAGGCCAGCAGGCTGCCGGAACAAGCTTTTGATATCAAATTAGATGCTGAGCACGGGGGTGATCTTGAGATCTTCGGGGCAGCCCAGTGCTTGGTGCTGATGTGAGTGCCAAGCGGCACCGGCATGTGTATCAGCAGGTACGGGATTTTCGATCGACGGCCAACAATACGATACAGTGACGGACAAATGCAGCCTCGAGACTACTAGTAGGCATTGTTGCCAGCCTTGCTGAGGTTATTTCTGGACGGGGATGGGACGAGATGAGAGGGGATGGGATGGACAGTATTACGGAGCACTATCTGGTACGACTGCTACGCTGCTGCTGCTCGAGATTACACCTTGGGCGCTAGCATGCTGTCGCAATTTCTCGTCAAAGCGCCAATTGATAGGAACATTGAAGCCGCCGGATCGCAATCGCACGCTGGTATTGCTCGAGGATAGGTACCACCACGGCTCGCTCCATCAGCTTAAAGTCAAGCCTAATTCATCACTTGATGCATCATGTTTTTTGCCCAAGCACAGGACGGGCGTCTTGGCTGGACTGATAGGCGGGTTCCGTATCAAGATGATGAGACGGAAGCTGGTGCTCCCGTGGCCGTTTGCGTTGATCCCGCCTCTGTTCACCACAAACTGCAGCCGTGAAACCAGCGGCATTGGATACTCGATCCTTGTGAGAAAAAAGGAGACGCAGCAAAAGGAAAGGCTTGTCGTACGGCATCGGCCGGCCTGGCGTGATACTGGCTGAGGCTAGTTACCGCGCCCCTGGCCATCTCTCGGTACATGTCCCGGATAGCTATACTATCTACTACACATTTCCATCAGCCGACGCCATGGACTTTCTGGAATCCGCGCAAGAAAGAGGCAAACCGGGTTTACTTTACACGCGTTTCCACAGAACGAAGCAATGATCGTCAGGGAGGCCAGCAGCGTGACGGTGAGCGCTGAAAGTTCCAGTCAGATGTGCAGATCCTCGACCCAGGCCAATCGAGGGCGAGCAGAAATAAAGAAGCGCTGCGTCGTCACCCTCAAAGTTGTCTGGGGCCGCGACGTCATTGGACCCAGGCCCTTTCCAGGCCCGCTGCTACAAACGGCCTAGTTCCCACAGTTGCTGCACGACGGTTGGTATGCGGCTGTACTCCGTATTAAATCCTGAAACAGCGGCAGATCAAGATCTACGGCCGTGGTGCTCCGTGCTGCGCTCCGTGCTCCGTAACACGCCCGAAATCTCTGTTCCTGCGACAAATGATGGGGTGCACCCAGCACGAGAGACACTCGCACTGTATGTGCCTGTCCAGGAGTGCTCCATAAAGGTGCTCCGTTTTATTGACGGAGCAGTCCATGGTCTACAATGTGCAATGTTGCGGCAAGAGCTGAGCATTAATCGCGTGGATGGATGCATGTCTTAGCAAAGACCCGCTGCTGGCGTGGTGATGCAACAGTGACAATAATGTCGAGGAGAATAGGTATAGTGTGCCAAGTAAAACCTGCAGCCTTGCCTATCAATGTCAAAGGGAGCTGTTGAAGAAAGGGGAGCAGCATTTCACTTCTAGGGATAGGGATAGGGATAGGGATAGGGATAGGGATAAGGATATTCGAGCGACTCCTTCGAGAGGCGCTGTAGAAGATCGGTGAGACGCCCGCGTATCATCCCATAAGGTTGCAGCTACAGAAAGTTCCATGTCGCATGTGCATTAGCAGCGAGCAGTTGTAAGGAGTAATATCGCGTACCCCGTTATATACCGCCTCCGTGCCTTGATGGGTCCCTTAGTCTGTACAGTATTCAGCAGTGATGGCCGGGCTCGTCATGTCAACTGCAACTACCTGCTGGATTAGTACATATTCGACAAATGCAGACTTTTCGCGATAATGACAACTGGGCCCACATCAACACAGTGGGAGAAAGCGGAACCGCCATCATGATGTGCAATGCTGTTGGTCCTCAAAAGACTCGTGTTTGGCCTCATGCCGGCGAGCAGCTGATGGCGAGACAATCCGCCAAAAGGGAACCGACTTGTCGTCCAAAACATGTGAAGCTGAAATGCGGCATCGCAGCCCTAACCCAGCAAAGTGGTGGTCGAGACTCGCGCGTCCCTGGAAGCTCAGCGCCAAGCTTTCTCCTAGCGCACCTCGTATCGTGGCCCCCAGGCTGACCTGCTGCCAGCCGGAACGTGGAGAAGAGGCTACCGCTACAACGGCATTGCACAGGCACAAGGCATCGTGAGAACATAAACGAGAGCAACTTCTTGGCGTCTGGCTCCCCCGCGATCTTTCTAGCTCTCGACCCCGCCACTGGCACGAGGCCAATGCAAAGTCAAAACAGACGACTGACAAACTGACAAGCTGATTGTGCCTCGAAGATATATGTCCTGTCCAGGCTGCGACCCCTGAAATGCGAACTCCGAGTATGACAGTCGTCCTGTATTGAGCTGCTGTGCTGTTGTTTGCGGATGAATACAGTAGGCACATGCAACGTTTGTCAACCTGTAGGAGCACTGTGTAAAGGACGAAGCCAGAGAAAAAAAACGGGGAGTGGCCCTTTTTTTCTCATTTTTATTTTTGGTTCTTCTTGCCTCCTGCTATCTGAGTCAGGTCATCACCATTTTTGATAACTATTCACACTGAGTGTTCGTACTAAACGCCTACAGTAGATTTGCCCTGCCATTCCACGGCTGCAGCTTACTGTGATATGACCCATCTCATCAATCTGAAATTACACGCTTTGTCTCGGCCTCTCATGCCACGAATACAACCCCAGTACGACACGCTCTGTAGTGATACACGGCTAGGGCTGTGGCGATGCAAGAGGCTGCGCTTTATTGGCACCCCCATCACTCTGTAGATGATCTCTTTTCCCTTATCTCTGGTGCCTCCGCCTCCATTAAACGTGGGTGGATTGATTCGCCAGGGGAGTGAATGATGCTAGCAGTAGTGGCCCCCTCCCCTGTAGGCTGTACCACCCCCTGAAAGCACCCGGACGGGCAGCGCAGACTGCCGTACTTGTACCAGAGCGGCGCCGGTGGATGCGGCCCCGGCCCTGTACCGGTACTTGCGGGCAACATTTCTGGCACCTCGTTGCTGTTGCGGCCTTGCTCAGCATTGTACGCGCGCAGGAATACACTGGAGGCCAATTTCCAGGACAAGAGACGCGATTTTAATTGCCTCGATGCGCTGGGCTGTGTCTCCGGCTGGCATTTCTCTAGTCTCGTAGACGCAACTCCTATTTGACCTCCCCTTCCCTCAATCGAGCGCCCTCTTCTCTTCTCTCTCTTCTTCTCTTTTCCGAGCACACCACCACCGCCTTTTGTGCAACTCGTATTTTGCTTTTTTCCCCTTCTTTTCCCTATAATCGTCTCTGCAACCCGCAAGCGCCCAGCAACCCCAAGGCCATTCTTACACTTGGCTGCTTGCGCGAGACTTTTCTTCTTCCGGGCGGTCCCTGTTTTATTATTTTCGTTATACGAACTGCACCCTCGCTTTATTGCATACGGGACACCCCTCACATTCTTTTTTCTCACGCTCTCAACACCCCTGGCCGGCTTTTCTGAGGCTACGTACTTCGTACCCTGCCCTGCTACGAAAAAAAAAGGACGCCTGTCAGTCCGTCCACTCGTTGTCGCTGCGCGTCTCCCCTAAATCCAGAGACAAAACCTCTGTGCGAGCAACCGCCGCCCTCACCTTCTTCAACCTTTACACGCCCGCAACTCCCAATCTCTCTGCGAATTGCACCAGCGCCTCCACCATGTCTGGCGAAGAAAAGATCAGAGTGTCGGGCGACATCACTCGCGCCGACAGCTCTCCTGTCCTGCCCACCGTCAACCCCCAAGTTGACAAGCCCGCGCCCGCAAAGGCTTCTTTGCACCCCGTCTTCTATGTTGTGTGAGTCTTGCCATTTTGCCATTGAGCGAGGGATAATTGTCGAGAAAGAGGACCGACGAGGCGGTGATGAATCTTGTTTTGCTAATGCGCCGCGCAGCACATGGATTGGCTTCAGTTCTTCCGTTATCCTGTTCAACAAGTGGCTCCTGGACACGCTCAACTTCCGTATGTGCCTCCCTCCAACACTCCATTCTCCCGCCATTTCAGAATGTGCGCTGACATCTTTTTGGCTCCAGGCTACCCCGTTATCCTCACGACTTACCACCTTACCTTTGCCACCGTCGTTACGCAAATCCTGGCCCGCTGGACGACTCTTCTCGATGGCCGAAAGACTGTCAAGATGACCGGCCGCGTCTACCTGCGAGCCGTCGTCCCAATTGGTGTCTTCTTCAGCTTGAGTTTGATCTGCGGCAACCTGACCTACCTCTACCTCTCCGTTGCCTTTATTCAGATGCTCAAGGCCACCACCCCCGTCGCCGTTTTGATTTCCGGCTGGGCTCTGGGTGTGTCCTCGCCAAACCTGAAGCAGTTCCTCAACGTCTCCGCCATTGTCGTCGGTGTCATCATTGCGTCGATGGGCGAAATCCACTTCGTCGTGATTGGTGTCATGTACCAGATTGCTGGTGTCATCTTCGAGGCCCTCCGACTTACCATGGTCCAGAGGCTCTTGAGCTCCGCCGACTTCAAGATGGACCCTCTGGTTTCTCTCTACTACTTCGCCCCCATCTGTGCTGTCATGAACGGTGTGGTTGCGCTGATTTGGGAGTTCCCCAAGGTCTCCATGGCTGAGGTTTACCACGTCGGCCTCTTCACCTTCTTCCTCAACGGTCTTTGCGCCTTCATGCTCAACGTCTCAGTCGTTTTCTTGGTTAGTTGCCTCTTTCCAATCCGCTTTCACGCTTGCAGTTTCAGATGAGCTAACTTGATGTACACAGATTGGCAAGACTTCCGCTGTTGTCCTGACCCTTTGCGGTGTCCTCAAGGACATCATGCTCGTTGTCGCCTCCATGATGATCTGGGGCACCCAGGTGACTCCCCTCCAGTTCTTTGGCTACTCCATCGCTCTCGGTGGCATGGTCTACTACAAGCTCGGCCTTGAGGCTCTCAAGGGCTATGCCGGCGAGGCTGGCCGCCAGTGGGCTGAGTTTGGTGCTCGCAAGCCAATTCTCCGCAAGCTGTCCATCATCGTGCTGGCTGTCTTCCTCATTTTCTGCCTCTTTGGAGGTCTGGCTCCTACTTATGCCCCCGAGTACGACCCCCACAAGCTGGCCTCTGAAGTTACCAACCACTTCAAGGGCAATGCTGCTGCCGCGGCTGCCGCTCAGGAGGCTTCTTAAACGTCATGAATGAAAAAAAAACCATGGCTCCATTTCAAGAGCCAAATTGTAAAACGAAGTACGATTGCGTCAACGGCGTTGTTTGGTTGGAAGGACAGTCAATCTAACGGTCAATCTTCTTTTTCTTGTGAGCGACGGGGCCGTGATTCAAGGCAAAGGCCCCGGCGCCTTCTTTCATTCTCACCAAAAATTCCGGCAAACCAGCAAAAGGTGTCACTCTAATTTGGAGACAAAGAGGGGCTTGCGTCATCCTTGGTTGTTTGAAGACGTGTTATTTTTTCTTATTGGTGTATAATTATAGAGCGTCGAAGCAGCACTCCAGGTCGATGCTGCTCGAACAAAGTTTGTATCGCGCCTAGGTCTAATTAGATGTACTTTAGAGATGGCGTGGAGCACGAGTCCATAGAAATGTAGCGATGAAATCACTACAAAGCGTTTTTAACATGTTTTTATTCAAATGAAAAAATTTAAAAAAAGAACAAACCAAGACTCATATCGTGTATAACACGCAAGCGATTGTAATTTTTTTTTTTTCATTCTCCTTCTCCATGACACAATTAAATAGTAACAATGAGGTGCAGAAAAATCAATTGGTGTAGCTACAAAAATAGCCAAACGGTCTATCTCAAGGCTTCGGTTTTTGTTATCTTCCCCCTTTCCTTCGTTGCCATTCCACGAACCAGCGCCGGGTCAGGGACACTGAGAGAGATTGGTGTAATCCGTGTTTCCCTTTTTTTTTCAGATCAAAATATCGCTTTTTTTTCGAGTCCCACGTCACTGGCAACGAGAAACATTCACGTATTAAAGAAAAAACATGTGAATAATTTTGATAATGAACATCATATTTGACCCCATAAACCGTGGTTCCTTAAAAGTACCAATCGATGCTCTTTACATCCCGCCAACTCCCAAACCGTGATGGAGAAAACGATTTTTAATTTAGAATCCTATAAAGAAGAAGTTAGTTAGCGCCTTGATCCTTCTTTTTTTTTTTTAATGTCGTCGATGGTGTTCAGATATTTCCGGGAATTGTAAAACATACTCAGAGGGGTGAAGAACCATCGGTTCTTGCCGCTGGTGTATCGCTCCTCCAGAACCTTCTTGACAGTCTTCTTGGCGTCCTCTCGCTGGCTGACCTCCTTGAAGGTGTCTGCGGAGATGGTGCCCTTGATGCCCTCGAGCTCAAGGGTGTATCGGGTGGGCATCAGGTGGTTGTAGTTGATGACCTTGATGAAGGGCTTGACCTTGCTGCGCTTCTCCTGTCGGGTCTTGGACATGCGACGGGTGATCTTTGAGGGGTAGCGCTCGATGCCGGCAACGATGGCGTGGCCGAAGGGGTGAGGCTTGTTGCCGTTGTCGATGGGCTGGATGATGACGACCTGGAAAGGGAGAAGAAGAAAAAAATTGTCAGCACTTCCAGTCCATTTTTAACTTTTGTAAAACGTTGAAGCCGCAATCAGAGCGAAAAATTCCCAACAGCACTCATGCCCAAAAAAGATCAATCTTGCCCCTTGTCGTCTGATATATATCCTCCTCTTTCCCATCGAATGGTGTCCTCCCAGGGCAGAAATAGAAATTTGATGCGACGTCGAGTGACAATTTGAGAATTTGACGCCGGCCGATTTTGGGAATTGCTTTCGTTTTATTGAATTCGTACCTTCTTGCCGGCATATCGGCCTCGGGTGATGATGGCGACTCGGCCGACCTTGAGGAACTTCATTTTGTCCTGCCTGTGGGTGGTCGGATATGTGCTGGGAAGGGTAAGGGATTTCGTCGTCAATAACCGTGATCGGGAATTTGGTGCAAAATTTGGGGTTTGTGGGCTGTCGATTTGGGGCAAGCGACTCGCAGGTGCCATGTCACGTGGAGATTGCGCTTGCTTATCGAGAGTGGGGCACGTGCGCGCCTCTCTTTTTGCTGAATCAACCCGTTCTTAGTGGTGAGAGCGATATAATGAGTAGTTCTCACCAGCAGCTTAAATAAAGCAAAGGTAGAGATTCAAGTCGACATTGCGATAATGCCTGCGCCGACATACATTATTTCTCGGGTCGCTGACCCTATCTTTGCGGTCTTTATTGGATTGTCGGCAGCTGCGACGAGGATAAACCGTGAGGAAAAGGCCAAGGGAAAGACGACGAATGAGACAATAGAAGCTGGACTACGGTATGAGAATTGAAATCGCAAATCGAAACACTGTATGTCTTGCTAAATCATATTTCCTTAGACGCGTCGGGCTTTCTAAGAAATAACTTTTGATTTCTTGAGTCTCAAAGCCTTGATCTGGGAACGCCACTATCCTATGCTCTTTAAATACACCAACGCCAAAATATGGGTCACCACTGTCATGCAATGACTCTCAACTCATAACTACTCGCCTTCTTCTGGAATATACAAAAAAAAAAAAAAAAAAAAAAAAAGGAAAATCGCATGTACCAGGCTCGTTAGGGGTTATAAAAAAAAGAAAACAAATTTACATCTCAAATGCAGAACCATACTCCTTCTGCATCGCTTCTCGAACTATTTGCCCGCAGAGCTTGGCGGTTGGGTTGACACTGACGGCCAGAGCTTTTGCAATCTGGTTTCCATATCTGCCACCGAGTGCTAAATCTCTTGAGGCAGCTTCCTCAAAGTCCACGCGGGACCAGGAGGCTTCTGGGCGGCTGTCGTCGATATCCAGTTGGCGGTCTGAAAAGAGCTTGGCCGTTCTCAGGTAGATGGCTGCTCGTTGCGTGTGTGCCATGGACAACGTCCGGGCTGCCTGCGCAGACATGGGGGTTGATGGCAATGGTGGCGTGAGCAGCCGGACTGCAGTATCCATATCCTCCAATGTTTCCATGGCTGCCTTTTTCTTCTCAGCTTGTTCTGGCTGAGGAATCAACGGCATTGGCATGGTCGATGTATAGTTCAGCAGCATGGCGTCTCCATACAGCCTACGCATGATTTGCGCGCGGTTGTTTCTTGCGCTAGCGTATAGAGGATAATCTGAGATGAGATTGCCAAAATCTGACACGCAGGTCTTGTAGCTCTCGATGGTCTTGTCTGTGTCCTCTTCGCTCTGGAAGCTAATGAGCTGCGTCTCGATAGCTTGAAGAGTGCGGATGATGGTGCGTTCCCTCTCCATCACTCTCTCATAGACGCTGTGGTCGACGATATGGGGGTCGCGAGGCAGCGCAGAGTCGATGACGACGCCCGCAGCCGGATTGGACTCGGGGTCTTTGATCTTCTCGAGCACGTTGATGTCGTGGCGGCTTAATGATACTGTCGTCATTTTGGCAGCGGTATTCACGTCGACGCTTGGGGATTCGAAGCAACGGATATCAGGAGGGTATTTTGTGGGATTACCCAGCTGAATAATTGAGATGATTTGGAAAAGAGTTGTTTTACAGATGGAAAAAAAAAAAAAAGCAACCAACAAGCAAGTGGCGGTCCTAATTCATATGAAAGCCCCGGAGGTCTACAACTACCTACAGTAGCCGTGTCAAGTGACTCGCCGCTCGTCAGAACGTTTACCGCGACCAGCACTTCGGCAGCTAGCGGAGCCTTGCTAGTAAGCGGAATATTTGGATCCTTATCTCAGACAAGATCGATCGGCTTGCGACTCTACTTGAACTCGCGCCTGTGAGCGCCCGCATGCTGTCATCCGAATGAAGTCGGTGGCGCGGAAGCAAAGCCGGGCTCAAGGCGGGGCGGCCATTGTCGGCTCTCCTCGGTTTCCACAGCCGGCGCGGTGCCATTCCGCACGGCTTCTGACTCCCGGCGCTACGGTGTTTGGGACCGTTCGCAGCAAGGAGATTCAAAGTCGCATTGACGATCGTGCCAGGGCCCCGCAGCAGAAACGAGGCGTCGACGGCAGCGACCAGTGAGAGGGCTGGGGTTTATCATAGCTGGCTGTCTAACAGGCCTCGTGCAGCTGTGCTCCGAGCTGGCCGGGGGATAAACACATTGCCCTATTACGCAGCAGGTGTTTCGGAACCAAGCATAAGCCGCCTCGAAACTCTGAATCAACTTGGGCCGTTAGAATCCGATGGCAGAGGTGATGGCCAGTGGAGATGCTCTGGGAGACGGTTTACAAGATTCATAAGCCCCTGCTGCCCGCCATGGGCCATATATATATATGCCGTTCGGGTCTTCAAACCACTGAGCAAATCTGAACCGAGATACTATCCAATACACCTTGTTGCACCTTTTCAAACCCTCAAACTTGGGCACTTCATCTTGCTTTAACAGGCACATATAACAAATCGGTTTTCCCCAGAGATCCACCCCCATATACCTTCTGAGTGGCAATGTCCCCGTCTGCTATCAGCAACTCCCCAGTGCAGCAACCTGCTACCAACGGTGCCAATCCCGACAACTTTGCCATCCAGCCGCCCGCCGACTTCACCGGCTATGATCACATAACCTGGTGGGTTGGCAACGCCAAGCAGGCGGCCGCCTATTACACCACTCTCTTCGGCTTCGAGACCACCGCCTACCGCGGCCTCGAGACTGGCAGCCGATACTTTGCCTCATATGTCATCTCCAACAATGGCGTTCGCTTCGTCTTCACGTCGCCTATCCGATCGGAGGCCCATCTCCCCGAGGATGAGCCCATCTCTGCATCGGACAGGGCTCTCCTGAAGGCCATGCACGCTCACCTTGAGAGACACGGCGATGCCGTCAAGGACGTCGCCTTTGAAGTCGACAACATCGCGGGCGTATATGACAAGGCCGTGGCCGAGGGCGCCATCGCCGTCCAGGGCCCTACCACCACAAAGGATGACAACGGCGCCGTCACCACGGCCGTCATCTGCACATATGGCGATACCACACACACTCTCATCAACCGCCGAGGCTACACTGGGCCTTTCCTCCCCGGATTCCGCGCTGGTAAAAAGCGCACTTCATCCACCGAGGCGCCCGTCGTGCCCCTTGTCCGCATCGACCACTGCGTCGGCAACCAGTCGTGGAACGAAATGGTCTCTGCCTGTGCCTTTTACGAGCAGTGCCTCTCCTTCCACCGCTTCTGGTCTGTGGATGACTCCCAGATCTGCACCGAGTTCTCCGCCCTGAGCTCCATCGTCATGGCCTCCCCCAACAACATTGTCAAGATGCCCATCAACGAGCCCGCCCCAGGCAAGAAGATGTCCCAGATCGAGGAGTACGTCATCTTCAACTCCGGCCCGGGCGTCCAGCACATTGCCCTGCTCACGTCGGACATCATCGCCTCCGTCTCGGCCCTGCGCGCGCGCGGCGTCGACTTCATCAACGTCCCCTCCACCTACTACGACACCATGCGCCAGCGCCTCAAGACGGAGAAGCGCAGCTGGCAGCTCAAGGAAGACTTGGACACGATCCAGCGCCTCAGCATCCTCATCGACTATGACGAGGGCGGCTATCTGCTGCAAATCTTCACCAAGCCCCTCATGGACCGCCCTACCGTCTTCATTGAGATTATTCAGCGAGACAACTTTGAGGGCTTTGGAGCTGGTAACTTTAAGAGCTTGTTCGAGGCCATTGAGCGCGAGCAGGCCGAGCGAGGAAACTTGTAATTTGTATATAATTGACCTTTAGCGTGATTCATGTTTAGGAGTTTGATCAAAACTTTTGGGGCATTTTTATAAATGTGATAGGAGCTTTAAGAGCTTTTTTGGATTAAGTAGGTAGTTTGAGGAGCATAGTAACTACGATTACGAATCAAGCTGAAATGAAATAAAAATGTTAAATTTATTTCAAATAACTATTCTTATATGTATTGTGTGATGTTCTTGTTTTCCTTTGTCCAAAGCTATGATAATGAAAACCATCCACCTTTTATAGATGGCTTGAAAGAAAAAGATATCTCCCCTCTTAAACAGGGCGCCAACCGTGTACTCCGTACATGCTCATACCTAGGCGCTATAAATAACTACCTACCTAAGCAGATAGTAAACCAAAAAAAAAAAAAAAGGGGGCTGTATCTGTAATAATGTCCAGATCACAAACTCAAACAGACATCCTCATAGCACTCTCCTCGAAGCCGTTTTCAGATTGGATCCTCCTCCTGCTCCTCTGAGAGTTCCATAAAACTACCCGTCTATAACCATGACTCCATCACCATTCGTATGCCCATTCCCATTTGCTTCCACCGGCACGCCATCAACACCAGCAGGTGCAGCAGCTTGCGACTGGCTCTGGCATCCAGGACAATTATGTATCACCATGTGAGCAAAGACATCGCAGTCAATGCAGAAGTGGTTGCCGCACACCTGGCACTTGTACCTCCCGCTCTCACTCACGCCTTTTGCCAGCGCCTTTGCCGGCGCTTCATCCTTTCCCTTGTCCTTGATTGATTTGGGTGGTTCTGGAAAGAAAGTCTGGCAGGAAAAACAGGCTATGGATTGCGTGGCTTCGGCCCAAGGTACTTCCACCCAGTTTCGCAAAGGGAAAAGATGATGATAGGATCGAGCAAGATGTGTAGACAGAATAAGCGTCAGTCCGCAGGCGGGACATTCTGAAGGTAGTCTGCAGACCTTGGCGCTGCATCGAGTGCAGAGATAGCCCTCTCGGCAAGGCTTGCTGTGGCAGGCGCAGTAGCTGGTGGTTCCCCCAGGAGCAAGCGTCCGAGATGGGAAGCCCATCATCAGGAGACTGGATGTGCTCTGCTCTTTTGTTCGGTTCACCGGCGGTGTGGTTGCCGCGAGGAAGAGCTCTCTGTAGTGTGTTTCGTCCATGGCGACATTGTATTGTGATTCGTCGCCCGCGTTCGTCCGTGAGCAGAGCTCTGCGCAAATGGCGACCTGGGCGGACAGTCCGACGACAGATACCCGTATTCTGTCGGCGATGAGGTTGCCGATGGTGTCGTGGATGTCGCCCGGGTCGCTCGATAGCAGGGCGCCGTATATGATGAGCACCTCGCGTGTGCCGTGTGAAGGAGCATGGCTATTCATCTCGAGTTAGCTCTGCACGTCCAGAGAAAGAAGAAAAAAAACAACGTGGTTCCATGGTAAGCAACTCACAACAGCGCTCCGCGACACATCTCCAGCGCATTCTGCAAACTCGGATTCCCCTGCGGGTCCTGGCCCTCCAGATCCCGCAGCCGCTCCAGATGCTCGGCCGGATTCCCTCCCATGTCGCTGATGCGAACGGCCACTCCATCCCTCATGCCCACAATGCCCAGCTGCGAAATCGGGTTCTGCTCAAAGTACTCGCGCACAAAGGCCGCCGCGTAGCTCAGCGTCAGCCGGTGCCGCGTGGGCAGCAGGTCCTTCTCGGCCATGGCAAACGACATGTCCAGCACCAGCACCAGGTGCCGGATGATGCCTCGCTGCAGCGGCGTCGTGTCGCGCAGCAGCCGCCGCCGGCGCTCGGCCTCGTAGCCCGCCAGGTTGAGCATGCCGTCGTCCTCCTCGGGGAGGTCCGTCTCCCACGTCCGCTTGGACTGTTCCCATGCCTTGGAGCCGTTGCGGTCGCGCTTCTTCTTGGATGCTTTGGCGCCCTTGGGTCGGGCTGCGCTCGGGTCGCCGTCGGTCACGGTGTGGTCCATGATGTCGTCGTCCGACATGTCGGCGACGTACTCGCCATCGGAGTCGGCCATTGTGAATTGGGTGGTGCCAGTAGCTGAAGAGTGCCTAGGGTGTGTGATTGACAGGGGGTTTTATCTTGGAGATGAGAGGACAAATAAGTGTGGTTTGGTGGGAAGAATTGGATGGTGGTCAAGCTGGAGAGTTGAAGCAGTAATAATTGATAAGGCTGCCGAGATCATTATCTCAGCCTTGTTAGCGCATCGGACCTACATAAGTAGCTCCCCACTAAACGCCAACCATGAGCCTGCCATGATTCTTGATTCCAAACTACATGCTGCATAATTATATAGCATTAAACTCTGTTTCATTCTGCGATCGAGAGGTGAAATACTTTCAAACTCAATCTAAAACTCTTAATTATTATAGGTGAACACCACTCGCTTCACCTGGGGTATACTATAAAGTCTTAGCTAGACCACTGTACAAGCTATCCGACTATAAAGCCAATAGCATGCATCCACCTGGAACCAGTTACGCATATTTTTCTTCCAACATATTGTCTCCAACTCACAAGATGCCCTGAACCAAAGACGCACCAGTACGCAAAAACAGTGCTATGGAAGAAACTTCAAAAAACTTGGCCGGATGAGGATAAGTCACGCCAACAAAAACAACTTCAGCTCCAACATAATGCGACTGGTCGTCCTGCTACCCCTTCGTTCGGATCAAAAATAAGCAAGGAAAAAAGAAATGAGAAAAATCCATCACAACTACTATATTCTAGCAGTTCTCATATGTGGTGCGTGAGCGCGTCGTTCGACTCGTCGTAAACTCGTCGAGGAAAAAAAGCGTATATATGATAAGAAGCAGAGAAGAAAAAAAAAAGGAGAGGAAATGAAGCCATCAATGCTACCGCCTATAAACGCCGAATTTTAGGAAACCCAGAATGTTGCAAGATTATCTCAGTTGTAAGGCTGAGTATTGTACGATTGAGATGAGTAGCCCTGGGCGTAGGACTGGCCGGCATATGACTGGCCAGCATATCCAGCATTGGCAGTATAGCCCGGGGCTGTGTAAGATTCTGTTGCAGGCATCGGCCAGTCGTCCTCAGTAATGCTTGACCAGAAGACAAAAAGCATGCCTACGGCCAGAAGCGTGAAAAACGTTTCAAAGAGGGCTCCGTCCACTTTGCCGCTGCTCCCATCGCAGATGTACTTGCTGATCACGTAATTGAAGATCTGACCGATGGCGAAAAGTAGCGCTGCTCCGGTCAAATATATCATCGGGCGGAGCTCTCCCAGGACTCGAAGCACAAGGATAGTCTCGAGAACATAAAAGGCAACGAGGAATATCAGCGGGATAAGCTGGTACAGGACGTAGAGGGCGATGTTGCGGTTCGGGAGTTTGTAGCTGCTGTCCCAAAAGCCGCTCCAGCTGTAGCCCGTGTCGAGAGCAATATAGCCGGTACCAACAAAGAGCGCGCCAGAGGAAATCGCCAGCAGGCTTAGGGACAATGGGGTTCCGTCGTCCAACAGCTGGTATCCGACAACAGCGTTCAACATGAGAATCCAAGTAGTTGCAATAATGGCGCCAATGTGAATACCACTAAAAGCCTAGGTTGAGAAAACGTTAGTAAATAATGAAACCAGCACCACGGCGACCAGGATAATGGGGCAGGTCGAATCAAAGCACGGCAGGCAGACGTACTATTCGCACGGTATCGTTGAGAGGGAATTCGCCAACAGAGAAAATCTCGCATATGCTGATGAGAATATAGCCGATGAGGAACAGCTGAATTTCGCTATCGGGTCATGTTAGTTATGGTGTCCGAAAGCTGTGTGTATGTGGCAACGTACCGACGGCCCACGGCAGCTTTTTTCTTGTCCGCCTTGAGAATCAAAAAGGTCGCCATGACAATCCCAAGGCCACACAGGATGATTGATCCAATGTTGCCCAGGTGTCGGCCATGGCTCAGCGAAATTCCTGTGAGCTCACATCCTCCCCATGGACCGGTTTGGTTGTGGAATTGTTGAGATAGAAGCTACATAGTAAAGAGCGGGCAGTTAGTTTCGAACATCATTTGCCGTTTATGCTCGTCATCGTCTCCTCCTTCTCTCAGCAAACTTACATTGCAGACTGGCAAAGTCGAGTCTTTGCAAAAGTCCTATATACAGAATCCAGTCAGTCACGCTTCGTTGCACAGCACCACGCGGGAGGTGAGACGAAATGAGATGCGGTTTGGGCGACGGCGTACATCAAAGTTTCCAAAAGCCGTGGACCCCATTGTGACTGCGGATGCTTAGCAGATTGATCAGCACACGATCAGCATCCAGCGATGCAATCACAATTGGGGCGGCAGAATCGACGAGAATGGCGATGGGGGGAAAAGGTCGACTGTCGGGATACAGCAAGTCGGTGTCTGGTTGCAGGAGGCGCTAAAGCAGCTGCAGAAGCTGGTCGAGAGATGCGTAGGTATTAGGGCGGAGATGCACAAGCGACACAGGCCCTTGCTCTATTCGTTTGTCTGTACTTGGTGCTGTTCGTTTCCTTCGCTACGAGAGTCCGTCCCAGTCGGATCGAAGCGTGGAGGAGTACGCGAGGCTGTGAAATCGGCTGTCGACGTGTTTGCGCTGGCCTGGCGCTGTGGTTGCGACAGCGGTGGTGATGAAATGCTCAACAAGTACTGGTGGCCCAAGGGGGCAAAAGGCTGTCGTCGGCGGTGTAATGTGCGCGATGTCGTGGCTCGACTAGAAACGGCGTTCAATGCGTCGCCCCCGTCGTCGTCCGTGCCTTGATCAGACTCCAACCCGATCAGAGACGAGGCCTTCTCGCTTCCTGGTGGATTATGCTGGCTGCAGTGGAGGAGGAGAGTGGGAGAGGAGGACGCCCGGGCAGTTCTAGGTGCCGTAGGTAGGTACCTGTGCAGTAGGCAAGGGAGACTCCAATGGCGGAAAAACGGGGGTGTTTGGCGCACCTGCAGCGTCTGGGGGCGCTTGACGATGCTTGGACCGTCGCCGTTGCTGCGGAGTAACCAGTACCGCGGCGCAGTGTGCTCTGAAGACGCAGCGCTCGGGTATCTTTGACACGGCATGGCCTGGGCAGCAGAAACAGCTGCGACGCTGCGAGGCCTGCAGGGGCCTTTTGGGTCGCCAAGGCTCTGCTCATAACAGCCTGCGCTGCGAGTGGTTGGGTCGCGCTGCTAAACGAGCCACATTGTCTTCCCCTAAAGCCCCGTCAAGGCCCCGGGGCCTTAGCACTGGCCTAGCGCTGGCACCGAGCTCTAGCGCACCTGGCGGCTGCCCTTTAGGCCAGGTCCTGGCGCTGCTGGACCCAACTTGGCAGCTAAAGCAGGAACGGGCTTGCTGAGTGGACGAGGTGGGACTTCGGGTGATCCCACGCTAGGATTTAGCGTCGCGTGATTGGTGGTTGGGCGGCTTTTGACAGGGGATCTCCCTGTTTGGGCAAGCTGACGATGACTGAGACAAATACAAGTACAGCAGTAGAACAAACCCGTTGCTGCGACATCAGTCTTGCTCGCATGCCCTGGCTAGTCTCACGTCTTTTTTCTAGCAACTGGTATGGAATACAGGAGCAGTATGATTACACAAAAATTCTCCGTCTGATTGCCTGGTAACGGAGGCGGCACTACTGTAACTCTGCAATGTTCAGTGCATATAGCCAGCATTGCGTAGACGACTACCACTGCCAGTAGTGCTCGCGCTGAAGAAAAACTTTGCCACAGGAATGCAGTAAGCACCTTGCGATGCGCTATAGAATTCTATAATTGTTCAATATTCGTATACGTGCATCTGCTAACGAAGCGGCGTCGCATGGCTGATGCCACCGGTAGCGCGGCCAATCGATGCGTCCCTCAGACATCCCCAGTAGCAGATCGGTTGGGTGGCTACGTGGCGCTGCATAGCAACGTGTGGCTCGTAAAAGCCCCAAGTCCAACAGCTGCATCGATACATGTACATCTTGCAGGTGATCCTCATGCACGCTGATGTCTTCTTTCTGTCCTTCTTTCATTCTTCTCTATTATTTCCTTTTTTTTTCTTTCTCATGAAGCAGTTCCATCTTGAAACAGAAATCAGGCCACTTTAGCGAACCAATGGGACCTTCAGAGCATCCTGCCCTGTGGTCAGATTCTGCGTGAGTATCCCGGTCCTCCTTCAAATCCGAGGCCTAAAAGCACAGGGCATGTTCATGCGCATCGCATCGCGGCATCCACAGTAGCTCCATGCTAGCACTAACATGCATTGAATGTACTTAGTAAGTAGCTCGTCATCCATAATCGGTGGCTCTGCAAAGATTCCTACAACTCTAAAAATGGCAATCTGATTCGCAGCCTGCGCATGTGATGTGCGCTCAGTTGTATATTGAAATGAAATGAAGCAGCGCCGTCTGCAGTGCATACAAGTAATTATCAGGAATACGGTAACAACGGCCTCCGATACGCTGCGCAAGTAAAAGTGCCCTCAAACTCCACCACCCTATGAGAGGCGGTCGAAAGGTTTATTAGTGTGAGTCTTGCGTTACGGTTAAATTACTTCAAAATTTCAAGCGGGTCTCTCCCGTACCCGTCCGACAGGGAACAAAGTTGGTGGCCTTGATTTTTTAAAATTGCGCTCTCGCTTTCCGTGTGCTACTGTATACTCGTGCTTGATCGATGACCGGTACATGGGATCGTCGGAACAAATTGCTCTGTTTGTTTTACGCGTTCCCAACAGCCGCCGCCGGCACGCCAAGTCTTGTATGAGTGGTAGATGCAAGCCAAGGTACCGATACGCTGGCGGAGCACAAACAAGTGCGGTATCACCAACAGAGGGAGGGATGCTGCCCTGCTTCGTTCCATACGTGCAGTTGAAAAGACAATTGTGCCCTGTAGCAAACAGGTCAATCTGATCCACCGTGAAAATATTTTCATAGGGTCCATCGCATCTCATCTCATCGATCCAGCATCGGAGTTTGCCTGGTCGTATGCAAGAGGAAGGCTGGTTGTCACACTGCATGCATGCTACAACGCCATCCGGAACTCATCTTCCGTCTTGCTATGTGCTTAGTACAGCATCGACAAATGTCTTGCCAGATATGCAGCATCTACCAAGATATACGATCTCGACATGCAAAAAGACAGCAGCTGGCTTCAACAAAAAGAAAACGCTTGCTCACGGCAGGGCTTGAACCTGCGGCCTCCGCATTACCAAGATTTCACCACAAGGCAAAGTATTAGTACGAAGCTCTAACCAACTGAGCTACGCGAGCCGTCTAGATCCACTTTTATGAGGAACCTCATAGGCTGGAATCGTTGCTTCAGACGTAGCGAAGTCTTGATTAAGAGTCTTTTCTCCTCGCCAGTGAAGCGCAAATTGAACTTGTCGCAAAAAGTAGCTCAGCCAGCTACGGATGTGTACAAGCTTCTTATCTTGACCAAGATCAACTGAGAAATGAAGAGAAAAAAGGGCAAAAAGGGCCAAAAAAGGCAAAAGAAGAGATAGGAAAAAAAAAGCACCTCTATCGAGGCGTGGCGGATCTCTCCCGCCGGGAATTGAACCCGGGTCTCAAGCGTGACAAGCTTGCATACTGACCACTATACTACGGAAGATGTACCAGGCGTTGAGCACCTGGGGTAGCGGATCACGTGTTGGAATCTGTTGACTTAATGTTGACTATGAAGGTTCTTGCCATTCATTTGATCACTTCACGCTAGCAAAATAGAGGATTAAGTAAACCAAAGCGAGCAAGATGTGAGGAAGAAAAGATAATCGAACAGCCTCCCTTATGTAACCCATTATTCCTAATAAATCGAATTACAACAGCTGCCACCATCAATTGGACTTATTCTCAAAACTAATCTTTTCGTTCTATTATGCATCACATCTTATTTCATAGACATACATCTGGTTTTGTTTTCCAATAGTAAATAGCTACAGGGTAGTCCAGCTGGATCTACAGAGCCCGAATACACCACCACGTTAATAGATCGAGTCAATTGCAATAAAATGGGGAAATAATACGGCATTTGTGCTTGTTATATTAGGTAATTTTGTAAGGATAGAAGGCGTTGACGTGAATAAGCAAGTTTTTTTTTTTTTCTGGTTAATGGCGTCACAGTGCATATCTACATTTTTTCATAAAGCAAAACAGCCAAGGTGTACTCGTATTCACATTTTGCGGCTATGTATGCTTCTTGATGATATCTGAAACGACCCTATGCCATGTATATTACGAAACTGAGCAAAGAAGCAGATCACTGGTTTGTACCAGAAGGGTTTACTTCATTCAATACATAGTGTTTGTCACCATTACTACTAGTATCGCCTGTATGGACCAGCGATCTGGCGAGATATGACCAAGGCTAATGGCTGAGCTGACCAACAAGATGAGGTGCGGATTGTTGAAGCAGCTGTCCAAGAGAATTTAAACTTGTATAGCGCTTCCGATTTTGAGAAAAAATGTGATGGTATTAATTCTGTCAGCTACATTCTACGAAGCAAGCTGAAAAGCATACGGTTGAAGGTTGAAGAGTACATGTAGTATTGAAGCTCTTAGTCACACACAAGAGAACATTTTCACTATAGAAGAGGAGATTTGTCTTGAAATATGAGAGTTACGGATCCCCGTGATGTTAAATGTTAAATTGGAAGAATTAATAAAGGCTTGCTACAAGGCGCTTACGATTGGATTATGACACACGATGACTTTGTTAGTTGGCAAAATGACCTAGATAGCAGGCTATTGTAGATTAAAGGCGATCATGGAAAAAGGCACGACGATGCTCATATGTGGAATCATCGACAGCCTGCAATTGAAGTCGGACAAATAGCCCGTGATTTGTCTTTTGTCGGGCTCAACGACTTGTTTCCTGAAACAGCCAGGATGTGGGATCCCGCTGCGGGCTCATGTTTGACACGGCTGAAGCTTGACGAAGACATGTAGGTAACAGCCAGACTAACGGCAAGCTCCCCAAATTGTTCATTATTAGCCATGACATGAGGTTAGAAACAAATAAACGAACATTCGGGATATAGCCACAAGCACCTCTCTCCAAGCGCGCAGAGTCCATAATGAACAAGCCCGCGCTGTGATGTTCTTGCAAACGACAGATAGTTTTCACTGATGTCAAGCTCTAATAGATTCGTTACAACTCGAGATCAAACAACTGGTGCTCTGTTAAAGCAGATTATCCACTTACGAACCAAGTATTTCTGACTGGCGTTCTTCCCAGATGACAAATGGTTGGTAGGAGAGACACACAACATGATTCAACTTTAAAGTGTCTCTTCAAGTATGTACTATAGGAGATCGATGTAAGAAGTAAACTTGTCTTTCATTATTATTTCATCAAAAAGTGATCTCAGAGCGGCTGAAATTGGGTTCAAAGAAAGTATTTAGATTTGAGATTTGGTCACAACAACGAAGCTACATTGCAAGATGCCATTCTCATTTACGACATACATATAGGCATCATTGACAACTTTTATGACTCGGGGTAAGGATTGAATGCTGCATGATAACAAATCGATCCGAGAATATTGATGCGTAACCAGTTGAAAAGAGAGATTCAAGATCCAAACCATAGTCTGAAGCTATGTAGACTTGATAGACTTACCTGAGACAAGATTTGGATTCTCCACGGGCAGGATCGGGTTTTATGGCTCCTCTAGAGTACCGCTCTATCGCGAAGGCAGTGTAGGATGAAACTTATGTTATTTGGATTGGATGGTGTGGAATATTATATCTCTGGCTTGGTGATGGGGAGATGGACAAGGAGCTGGCAGGGAATGCGGTTACCATGCCATGACGGCTATCGTCGTTTACAAGCAATGCGAAAGCGTTTTCTCAGTTGGAAAGTGGAGGAACGAATTATAGAGGGAAAATAAATTATTAATAAAGAATATCGTATTGTAGTTATCTCCCCCCCCCTTTTTTTTGTTCACGTCATGGCTGTTATGGTGCCCGAGCCATCAGCCCCGGACCTCTTCCGGGATTGTGAATCGGACCCGGCCCGGAGTCGGGATCGTGAACTACGGCACTCTGACCTCCGCTAAGAAGCTTGGACCGGGACCAACGCCTAGAAGTGTACACAGATAACGGCTCGATGTATTCCACTATACGGCCCGAAGCGAGCGGTATACGAGACGATTAGATGTGTGTACACGTATGTGCTGGATGCGTTTGATGTCCTTTTATGGCTGTTGTACAGTTGCTTGGAGCAGCGCCCTTGGAGCTCTTGTACTAGACCGAGCGGCTACTGAAGTAAAGTTCACATAACAATACCGACTTCATAGCTCTTGTAACCGAGTAACATCAGGGTCCCGTGTTCCCCCGCACTGGACTACCTTGCCGCCATTGTTGCCATTGGGCGGTCTGATGCCATTGAGGATATGCGGAGGTCAATCTTCTTACAAACCTGCTGAGGGCTGCGCTTCGCTCGCCTAATCTGAGAAGATCTGCGCAGGAACCTTGGCCAGGGCCGTCGTCTGACGTCGGGGTCCCCCCACAGCTGAGATTGGACAGATTTGGTGGTTCAAATGTTTGCATGTGAGTTGCTTGCCTACCTAACCTAGTAGAGGGCTGGTGTGGCTCAGGCGCCGTTGGGAGCTGACGATCTCTGGGGGCGGCATGATATTTAGAGCGCCAAGCATACGAAGCGCGGGCAAATAGGGAGACGGGCACAATGGCAGGTGATGAAGCCGTGGGCTGTGAAACGTGTAGCCGTGGGTGTGCCCTGCGTGCCATCTAGCAGCTGCATGCATCTAGATTTCTCGACTGCATGCTTCAATTTGGACATGTCAAAATGCAGATTCATGTACACGTACGGATAGTTTAGCCGTCAATGTTTACAGCAGGCGTCGTGGCGCGGTGGTGAGACGCGGCATCCCCTGAGAGGCGCATTATCTGCGGATCTAACGGGTGCGAGGGCGCTGTAGATTAGGGAGGTCGCCATCTCGGGGCTTCCCTGAGCCAGCCGCAATCAATGGAGCTGGACTTGGCGATCTGTCCATCCATCAGCTTCCAGTTTCTTTCTCCTAATTGTTCTTCTCTCTCTTTCAACCTCCCACTTTCTTTCTCCCTCCAAAACGACACTCAATCCGCCGTCTTTTCGTCTTTCGCTCTTTTCGTGTCATCTGCCAGTGATCGCCTCTTATTCAGCAGCAACCCACGCCACGCTGCACGCGCGCCACCACTTTGACGGGCTTGCATCCAAGTTTTCCCTCTCTTTTCCCCATCTCCACCTTTTTCGCTGTCTTCGTCTTGCTAGGCCCCCTTTGGTCGTGTCTCTCTCGCCCTCTGTGCTGAGACTTGTAGCAAGACCTTATCTTTCTTTCTTTATATCCTTCTTCCGACCATCCAATCCAATCCGCTCCAGGCCCCTTGCTTGCTCGCCAAAAAATACTTGCAGGTCCTGCCGGCTCCAAGCAGAAAAGGCACCCCTCCCTCTGCAGAAGCCCTCGCATCGCTCCATCGTGGTGCATTCACTCGCAACTCCACCCGCACTACTGCCGTCCAGCCGGCCTAAAACGGCCCCCCAGTGACGTATCGTGAGGCTCGTGGATCACGGCCTTGGTCATCTGTGTTGTCCCAGGCTGGACGCACTGCCGCATCGCCGGACCGGACCTGTACATGCACCGAGACATTGTCGCGCCTCGTTCTCTGCCGCCCTTTTGGCCGTACCGCTGCTGCGCTGCTCTTGTACCTCTGCCGGTCTCTCCAGCGCCGAGCTGCCAAGGCCTTCCAAGCAGTTTCACGCCGCTCGACTCGGCCCCAGCAAAGGCCTAAGCCGCCCATCTTTGTCACCCGACCAGCGACAACCTCATCTGCTCCCTGCTCCCTGCGAGGTTGCGTCTCACGTCTCTCTCTCCGCCTGTGAGATCCGTCTTCAATCCAAGCACAGAGTCTGCAGGCGGGTGCTGCTGCTGATCAGCCCCCATAACCACCCAACATTCCTCCCCAAAAGTCAACTCGCCTCCCTTCCAACATCCCTCTGCGGACGCTGCCCTCGCGCTCACACGTCGACCAAGACCTCGACCAAGACTCACCATCGGCGTCCCTCCTCTCTGCCAGGGGATACGGCGCCCCTCACCAGCTTCGCCCGTCGTCCGAGTCCGAGACATCGTCCTGGACCGACACTGGCGACATTGGCGACCAGTTCGGCGACGAGCACGACCCGGTCCGCATCCAGCTGCCCGAGGACATTGAGAACGAGCTGCTCGCCGGAGTCCAGCGCCGGCAGCTGAACAACCCGCTTTACAAGTCGCCCGGCAAAAAGGTCCGCATCCACGACCCGTCGCCGCATCGCCGCAACCACTCCTTCTCGCCGTCTCCCGGCATCGACAAAGAGGCCATTGAGCCCCCCGACGCCCGGCCTCGACCGCCAAATCGAGCAGAACGCTGCATCGGCGCCATCATGGCGGGATCCTCGGGCTCTATCCATGGCCTTACAGGCAAGGCCTTGCTGTACGACTTTTCTACATCCCTTGTCTTGGCTACGCCTTCACAATGAGAGTTGAAACATTCTAACATTTTCTTACAATAGGTATTTTACAAGTATATTCGTCTCACTCGGCGTTTTCCTTTTCGGATATGATCAGGGTGTCATGTCGGGCATTATCACGTAAGTTTTAAGCCTTCAGTCTCCTTCGCAGCAGATTGTTGCACAGGATTTAACATGCTCTCTACCAGCGGCCCGTATTTCATCGACTACTTTAACCACCCGTCCAAGGCCGAGGTCGGGACAATGGTTGCTATTCTCGAAATAGGAGCCTTCATCTCGTCCCTTGTTGTTGGCCGTGTTGGTGACATCATCGGCCGGCGACGAACCATCTTGTATGGTTCCTGCATCTTCTTCGTCGGAGGAGCGTTGCAGACGCTCGCCACGTCCATGTCGATGATGATGGTTGGGCGAATAGTCGCTGGTCTCGGCGTCGGCATGCTTTCTACCATTGTCCCTGTCTACCAGTCCGAGATTTCCCCCCCTCACAACCGCGGCAAACTTGCTTGTATCGAGTTTTCTGGCAATATCATCGGATACACGACTTCCGTATGGGTCGACTACGGCTGCGGGTTCATCGAGAGCAACTTGTCATGGCGCATTCCTCTCATGATGCAATGTATCATGGGAGCACTTTTGGGGTTGGGAAGCTTGATCATTGTGGAATCACCCAGGTATGGAGCCGCAAATCCTTGTTCATGCATGTCCATCAGGTACTAATTGTTGTGTTTTTCAGATGGCTCCTGGACAATGACCATGATGAAGAAGGCATGGTTGTCATTGCTAACCTTTATGGCGGCGGCGATATTCATAATGCCAAGGCGCGCGACGAGTATCGCGAGATCAAAATGGATGTCCTTCTTCAGCGTCAAGAAGGTGAGAGATCGTATACTGACATGTTTCGCCGATATCGCACTCGAGTTTTCATCGCAATGTCTGCGCAGGGTCTTGCGCAGCTCAACGGAATCAACGTCATTTCATACTACGCTCCATACGTCTTTGAATCTGCTGGTTGGGTTGGCCACGATGCCGTTCTCATGACTGGTTTCAACGGCATCACTTACTTCCTTTCTACCATTCCGCCCTGGTATCTTGTGGATCGATGGGGTCGACGAATGATTCTTCTCACTGGCGCCGTCTTCATGGCCATCTCACTGTCTCTCATCTCGTACTTCCTCTATCTTGACATCAAATGGACCCCTAGGCTGGTCGTTCTGTTTGTCATGATATACAATGCTGCCTTTGGCTACTCATGGGGACCTATCCCCTGGCTCTACCCCCCCGAAATCCTGCCTCTTAGCATTCGCTCCAAGGGTGCCAGCTTGTCGACTGCAACGAACTGGGCCTTCAACTGGCTCGTTGGAGAAATGACACCGATTCTGCAAGAGTGGATTAAATGGCGCTTGTATCTCGTCCATGCCTTCTTTTGTGTTGCTAGTTTTATAATTGGTAAGTCACTCGCGTTGATTATGACTTCCATGTCCCTCCTTAAGCCTCTTAACTGGTTGCTAACCTCATCTGTTTAGTCTACTTTGTCTACCCAGAGACTTGTGGTGTCCGTCTCGAAGAGATGGACTCGCTATTCGGGGACGCCAGCACTGTGGCTACCCCGTCTATTCGTGCAGAAACCGGGTCACTCATCCGAGGAGGATCGCCTATTGGATCCAGCCGTACGCCATTTCGCTCAACTACACCCATCCCAGGGCTCACCCTTGACCCTCCCGATGGCAATGATAGCAAACCCAACCAGAGTGGTGGTGGCGACGACCGAAGCATTAGTGGATGGTTATCAAGGGTCGTTAATCGCGGCCGTTCAGGCAGTTCGAGTAGCGGCCAAGGGCGGTATGCTCCAATCGGCCAAGAAGACGAGGGTCGCAATGACAACTAACGTGGGGTCGCCGTTCTCATTTCTCTTGGAGTACCTCTATAGATCTTTTCTTTTTATTTGAATTTTCTTTCTTGGGCACATAGATAGCGGAGCGAAGCATGTATGCCATGCTTGGCGTTCTATTAGGTATAGAACTCGAGCCTAGACTCCTTGCCAACATAAGACGACTGGTTTTGGTATATAAGACGGACATTAGCTGCATAGACTGCACCTATGCTGAGGAAGAGAAGAATAAGCGTAACAGTTTGCAAGATAAAGGGCAGTATCGGCCTTTGGGAATCCCCTACGCCGATTCGAAGAGGTTTTGAGCGCTGGTTTAGGCAAGACGTGGTTTCAACGAGCCTCTGTTCTGAAACTACACTGTAATTGGAACACAAAAAACTTATCTGTATTAATGATGGATAGTTGGTAATAGCGATGTTGTGGGCATTATCCAAGCGACTGCTTCTTTTGTTTAAATGTCTTTGTCTTGTAAGTTGGAGCATGTGTACTATTTAAGTGGTGTCAGACGAGGTGCTCCGTGCATGAAGCGTTGAAAATGCACAGTGTGAAATATAGCATGGCGTTCAATTTTATCGACGTTAATTCGCATCATATAGTTCATACACCCTCTTTTATACACCCGCCAAGCTCTTTGTACCAAGCCTCATACTAGAGCCATGAGGACTGGAATCATCACAAAACCAATTCACACGCCATGACAACCGCAGCACCCTCCAAGCTGGACATAACCCACGCTTACCGGCACCTCTACCGGGGCCTCCTCCGCGCCGTGCAGTACTCGGCGCCGGCGCGATACGTGGCGCGGGACCAGCTCCGGGCGGCGTTCCGGGAGCGCAATGCGGCGCTGGATCACGAGGGCGTGAAGAGGACGGTGTGGTTCTTGGAGGCGGCGGCCAAGGAGAGGGGCCTGGAGCATAAGATTCTGAAGAACTTGATCCGGGTGCGGCTGGATCGGGCGTGGGGGACGAGGGCTTGGAAGAGGGCTTTGAATGAGACGAAGATGAAGTGAGTTTTTAGCCCCCGCCTTTTTTTTTTTTCCATTTTAATCTACTTTGGTTTCGCTTTGACTTATTTGCCTTTTTTTTCGTTGTTTCATGAGGAGTGAAGAGCTTTGAGGTGAGAGTTGATGTTGATGAGATTATAGGCCTGATGCGAGACAACTACGAGATGATGCGATGCAGCACTATAATATGACTGTTGCGATGCTGAATAAGAGCATGGGGCTTTGTTTACGATGAGCAGCGTTGGGAGATCAAGACTCTTCGTTGAGAGACAGGAAAGAAGGGTCGTGGCCTTAGGCCGAATAACACATGAACCAGTAAATCCTGCTTGGTCCATTAACGAAGCATTAAAAAGAAAAGGCCGCTTGGCCATTTGAATATTTGCTTATATATAGTATTCCAGAGTGGAAAAGATCACTTGCTCTCCTTTATGGCTGGGCCATCCTCTATTGTCGCCTTCTCTGTCCCACATGCCCCGTTAACTCCATGCCAAACATTGCCAATGCCAGCCCTTTCAGCCCTCTTCAGCTTTCCGGCTCACAAATCCACTTCAATCTCCTTGTGTATAAGATCGTCCAAGCTCGATCCATCCCGTGAGTATATCCACGTCCCCAGTCCCGTGCCCTCCTTGTCTCCCTGCCCCTCGCTGGCAACGCAGAAGTCGTATCGTTTGGGGCCGGACAGAGGCGATGAGAGCCAGATCTGCTTGTTGGGGGGCTGCTTGTTGATCACGTAGGTGCCCTTGTTGGCTACGGTAATGGTCATGACGCCGGACTTGATGTTGAAAAAAAAAAATGGTTAGCAAAAGGTAATTTGGATAAGAGTAAAAGGAAAGATGTGACTAAACTGAATATTCCACATCAATTGGAGAGCCGTTGTCCTGGAGAGTCTCAAATTTCTCCAGCAGGTCGTTTAGGTATTCGTTGGAGAGGTCGTGGTACTCCTCGTCGGAGAGCTCAGCGGCAACAAACGTGATCTGATTTCCGGTTGGCGCCTTGTCGGGGTTGGAAGTATCCGGCATGATGCCCTTGTGCAGCATCACTTGCGCCGAGAATTGCCGTCGCTGCGAAGAAACTGAGGGAGTGGCTGCGCGGCAGATGCTGGGAAGAGCGCGGAAGCTTGAGGCCGCCATCCTGGGATTGCGCATTGCTCGGCCGAGCAGGCGAGGGGCCTGTCTTGAGATGCTTGATGATGCCATGTTGGTGGTTGGTGGGGTGGGAGAGAGCAAGGTCGTGAATGTTGAGGTATCAAACGCGCATTCGGAGTTTGAAAAGCTGCAATGAGGCGTGGGATGCAAAATATGCTCTAGCTGGTCAATTGCTTCGAAAGTGTGGCAGAATATGCGAAGGAGAAAAAAAAGAGAGAGGTGCTGAAGAAGCTTTGAGCTCTAAGATGCTGGAAGCCAATTGGAACAAGCTGAAAAGGCTCGTCATAGCATGTACCCCATACTTGGGGCTCGGCATCTGCTCAGCAGCCAGGACTTGAAGGTACTTTATTGACCCCTCTAGTCGTATTAACTTCTAAGTAGAGCCAAGTTCCTTTTGCTTAGTCACATTCTTTCGGCAACGTCACTTGCAGCTCGCAGAACCTCGTCACCTGCATCGGCCCCACCAAGCACGCTCTTCCATCACCATCTCGCCAACAGGTCTCTGGGCGATGATGCGACTCGTTCCGCGGCCATGATTAACGCATTTTTGGTCTTCAATGGCCAGGGCCAGCCTCGGCTCACCAAGTTCTACACCCAGCTGGTGCGTTGCGGCCACATCAACTCATGCAAAGCGCGAAACAAACCACTGACTCAGCACCTTTCTCATCACAGGACACCAGCATCCAGCAGCGCCTGATATCGGAGATATTCACGCTCGTGTCGAATCGACCGTCGGGCTCTTGCAACTTTCTGCCTCTGCCTCCTCTTCTCGCCGCCTCCGGCACATCGCACAGCTCGACCGAAGAGCAGAATGATGTCCCCTCGCTGGTGACATACCGCAACTACGCCACTCTCTACTTCATCATCATCTCTACCGCCACAGAATCGCCCCTTGCGTTGATCGACTTGATACAGGTGTACGTCGAGGCGCTCGATAAGTTGTTTGAGAACGTCTGCGAGCTTGATCTCATCTTCAACTTTGAATCGCTACATGCGACCTTGTCGGAAATGATTATAGGAGGTGTTGTGATAGAGACGAGTCTTGATCGCATTGTTTCTGGTGTCAGAGCCCAGGGAACAGTCGCCAAACGGCCGGTGAATGAGGGACGAGGCACTATTGGGTCAGGAATGGGTCTTGGAGGCAACTTTGCATGGACAGGAAGGGTATAATAATGGCTTGCAGTCTTGAACTGAGCTTGAAGAGACGGGTCGGATAGAACTATAAACTATAACTAGCATATGCATACATTTCTTCGTTTTCTCCTTTGCCCAATACGGGTATCACACCAAAACGCCTTGGCTATATACAAAATACTATATTACACATACCCAGCGGCAGATATCATTATCCTACAATTTATTTGGAATCCGAGCCTCGCGATGGGTTTACTTCCGGCGCATCTTTCCGGCGCTCATATCTCTTTTCGGGATCTAGCACACCAAAGAGATTGATGGCGTGTTTCCGTAGCTAAGGATTCGTGTAAGTGGCCTGAAAAGTAATTCTGTGTAATTAGAATTTTTTTTTTGACAAACCTCTTCTGATGGCTTATACTTTTGTCCCCACCACTCAAACTCAGAGAAAAATACAAGCCATATCATCGCCGCTGTTAAAAGAGTCAGCCTCAAGCATATAATGCACCATACACTCATTATGGGCAAACCATGGACTGACCAGCCATTGTGGCAAGCTGCGCATACTTGACGCCCTTGTCCCATCTCGGCGAACGGCTTGCGAGGGCGACGCGACGCTTGTACTTCTTCTCAAATCGGAGTTGTTGCTGATGAGTCAACTCTTTGAAGTCAGGTGGCCATACTTTTCGAGCCTTGTGAGGATTGTTCGTGAGACTGAACGGAACTTGTTTGGGTAGAGACTCCTTTGCTGATTGAGCCACTCGTCTGAGAAGAGTTGGAAACATTGTCAAATGATATGCTTGAGCAAAGATGATTCTCTTTGCCAATCAATATCGGAGGTGTTTTGATATATCAGATCAATGAATGACGCTGTTTTGGAGCTAGCAAAAGCTGCGTACTAAACAGCGAAATGCCTACAAAAGCCGGGGCAGCCACTGCAGCTGCACCGCCACACGGCACCCGCCACAGTTCCGGCCGAAAAAAAAAGTTGCCCCGCGATAGGTCCTTTTTCACCCCTCCGAAACTGAACCCCCCCCGCCAAATAATCCTGACCTGCTGCAAGTGAGTCAAACCCACGGAGAAAATACCAAATCGTATCTTCTCTGTGCGAGTGAGTCAACAACAAGGGGGCTGAGTCGCGGAAGAAACATAAAGATAGCCAATCCTCACAAGGCTATAACACTTGGATCTTTCCATCTTGACACCAAGAGGAATTGCAATATGGCGGCGGCTTCTGTGTCAAAGGCCATGGAGGGCCTGGCAGTCTCCAAGACCAAGGAATTGAAAGGAGTACGTGGTTATATAACGCCCATACTCTCCTTCTGATCGCATCTACTGACCACTACCAGACCGAGAAGCGCGACACCCTCATTGTCGTCGAGAAGAAGTATCAGAAGCAATGGGCCGAGGACGGCGTTTTCGAGACGAATGCCCCGACAACGACCGAGGTGCCTTTCCACTCCATCTCTCCAGCCGAGCTGCGAGAACAGCAACCCAAATTCTTCGGCACCATGGCTTATCCTTACATGAACGGTACTCTCCACGCCGGCCACACCTTCTCAGCCACAAAGGTCGAGTTTGCCGCGGGCACGGCGAGAATGCAGGGCAAGCGTGCGCTGTTCCCCATGGGCTTCCACTGCACTGGTATGCCCATCAAGGCTTGCGCCGATAAGCTGGTCAACGAGATCAAGCTGTTCGGTGAGGACTTCTCTGGCTACAAGGAGGAAGAGGCTGTTGTCGAGGAGCAGCCAAAGCCCGCAGCCAAGCAGACCAAGGAGGATGTTACCAAGTTCACCACCAACAAGAGCAAGGCCAACGCCAAGACCGTCAAGATGAAGTATCAGTTCCAGATCATGCAGGCCATTGGAATTCCTACCGAGGATATTCATCTGTTTGCTGATTCTCAGTACTGGCTGAAGTACTTCCCTCCCCTGGCCATCAGAGATTTAACAAGCTTCGGCTCAAGAATCGACTGGCGACGATCATTCGTCACAACCGACGCCAACCCTTACTACGACGCCTTCATTCGATGGCAGATGAACCGCCTAAAGGAGCTGAACAAGATCAAGTTTGGCAAGCGATATACAATCTACTCTATCAAGGACGGCCAGCCGTGTATGGACCACGACCGCTCGGAGGGTGAAGCTGTTAACCCTCAAGAATACACTGCTCTGAAGCTCAAGGTTTTGGAGTGGGCGCCCAAGGCTGCCGAGGCCATCAAGGGCAAGATCCCTGATGGCGCCAACGTCTTCTTGGTGCCTGCTACTCTGAGACCCGAGACCATGTACGGACAAACCTGCTGTTTCGTCGGCCCCAAGTTGAACTACGGTCTGTTCAAGGTTGATGACAACAACTACTTTGTCATCACTGAGCGAGCCGCTCGTAACATGGCTTACCAGGGCATTTTCTCCAAGGAGGGCTCCATCGAGAAGGCTGCTGACCTTGTGGGCTCTGACATTGTTGGAACTCTGGTCAACGCCCCTCTATCGCTGCACAAGGAGGGTGTCAGAGTTCTGCCCATGGAAACCGTCCTGCCCACCAAGGGTACCGGTGTCGTCACCTCTGTCCCGTCAGACAGCCCTGATGATTTCGCAACCGTTACCGAGCTGGCAAAGAAGGCTGATTACTACGGAATCAAGAAGGAGTGGGCCGAGCTGGAGATTTACCCCATCATTGAAACTCCATCCTACGGAGACCTGTGCGCGCCCTTCTTGGTCAAGAAGCTGAAGATTGCTTCACCCAAGGATACCAAGCAGCTGGAAGAGGCCAAAGAGCTGGCATACAAGGAAGGTTTCTACCAGGGTATCATCAAGGTTGGTGACTTCAAGGGCGAGAAGGTCGAGACGGCCAAGCCCAAGGTCAGGGCTCAGCTATTCGAGGCTGGCGAGGCTTTTGCCTACTCAGAACCCGAGCGCAAGGTTGTCAGCCGATCTGGCGATGACTGTATCGTCGCACTGATGGACCAGTGGTACCTAGACTACGGCGAGCAGTCCTGGAGGGAGACTGCCCTGAAATGGGTTGACAATGCCGATGGAAAGGGCTTGGAGACTTGGGCTCCTGAGACCAAGAACGGCTTCGAGGGTGTGCTGAACTGGCTGAACCAGTGGGCTTGCGCCCGATCATTCGGCCTGGGATCAAAACTGCCTTGGGACAAGCAATTCCTGGTTGAGAGTCTGAGTGACTCGACCATCTACATGGCTTACTATACCGTTGCCCACTTCCTGCACAAGGACTTGTTCGGCCGTACCAAGGGCATTGGCAACGTTGGTGCCGAGCAAATGACTGATGAGGTCTGGGACGCCATTTTCTGCCGCCGCGACATCACAGATGATGTTGTTTCCAGCTCCAACATCCCCCGTGAGACTTTGGAGAGCATGCGACGAGAATTCGAATACTTCTACCCTCTGGATCTGCGCAGTTCCGGAAAGGACTTGATCCCCAATCACTTGACATTCTTCCTGTACATCCACTTGGCTATCTTCCCGCCGGAATACTGGCCCCGTGGTGTCCGAGCCAACGGCCATCTGATGCTGAACGGCGAGAAGATGGCCAAGAGCACTGGCAACTTCATGACTTTGAAAGAAATGGTGGAGAAATACGGCGCTGATGCTTCTCGTATTGCTCTGGCCGATGCTGGTGATGGTGTCAGCGATGCCAACTTTGAGGAAGATGTTGCCGACAACAACATTCTGCGTCTGTTCACTCTGCGTGAGTGGTGCGAGGAGATGGTCAAGGATCAGAACGAGCTGCGTACCGGCGAGATCAACAATTTCCAGGACGGCCTGTTCAACAATGAGCTGAACGCTTGCGCCAAGGAAGCCATTGAGCAATACGGCCTGACCAACTACAAGCTGGCCCTGAAGGCATCTCTATATGAGCTGACCAGTGCTCGTGACTTTTACCGCGAGGCTTGTGCGGCCGGCGGTATCAAGATGCACAAGGACCTGGTATTCCGGTACATTGAGCTACAAGCCCTGCTGATGGCTGTCATCGCCCCTCATTGGTCCGAATACATCTGGTTGGAAGTCTTGAAGAAGGACTCCACTATCCATAATGCCAGGTTCCCTGACGTGCCGGCCGTTGACGCTGCCCTGTCAGCTAAGCGAGAGTACGTCCGAAGCACCGCTTCTAACATCAACTCTGCTGAGGGCCAGCAGCTGAAGAAGAAGGCTAAGGGCAAGGAAGTTTCCTTTGACCCCAAGAGGCCCAAGAAGTTGACCATTTACATGGCTGCCCGATTCCCAGCCTGGCAGGCCAAGTACATTGATCTGCTGAAGGAGATGTGGAACCCCGCGACCAAGTCTGTTGACGATAAGGCATTGAACGGCAAGATTGGCAAGTTGGGCGAGATGAAGAAGGCCATGCCCTTTGTTCAGGGTCTGAAGAAGCGCCTGCAGGCTGGTGAGCCTGCCAGCGTCGTCCTGGAGCAGAAGCTGGCTTTCGATGAGAAGGAGACGTTGATCCAGATGATGCCCGGCCTGAAGCGAACGTCTGGCCTGTCAGTCGCTGAGATCCTGGTGGTTGAGGAAGGCGGTAAGAAGGGCGTTAGACTGGAGGACGGTAAGGAGGTGGAAATCTCAGTCCCTGTTGCCGAGAATGCGGTCCCTGGTCAGCCTACTTTCTTCTTTGAGAATGTGGAGGCTTAAAAAGCTTGAGTCGCAAGGATGCTGCTCTTGTAAGATTTTTTTTTTTTTTTCAATGTTGCTACGAAAAGAAAGAATAAAGTTAAAAAGTGATCTAGAAAGAGAGAGAGAGAGACAGTCTAGAGAGAATACAATGAATATTCAGTAAACTTGTTTTTTTGATACCATCTACATGCTGTTTTACGTGCTTACGGCTTTTTGCGGTGTAAACATGCTCGGCTTAATCACTCACTTGTATATGATAACCGCCGATCACTAATAATTAGGAGACTCCATCAAGGTTGATACTAATGCTACAGCACAGCAGACTGACTGTTCAACGTTTGATAAGAGATAACGAGAACCCTTACAGTTCACCGTACATGGTTCACCGTCTTTACAGTTGTTCATACAGTGTATGGACTACTAATCCAGCGATGGGATGGCAAAAACCCCCAAAACGCCATCTTTCTAGAAACGCCGAACAAATTTAGATAGTTCCTGGGCAGCAACGATGGGTATTTCTCCATCCCCCCCAAAAAACGCCGTCGGCAATTGACCGCGCGTGTCGTGTGGAGAGAGAGAGAGACGAAGCGTGTTCCTCAGGAGGTGCCGCTTCTTGTTTAAGCGACGCCACCCCTTTCTAACCCCCTTCTTCCCTAGTCAAAAAGCTTGTGCTTTTCGTCTTAACGAAAGAGGGAATAAAGTGTAAAAAAGAAAAGAAAAAAGCGGTACATTTCGCATTAATATTTCGGAAAATGGATTTCCCCAAAAGCCAGTGGCCAGTAACAAACTGGTAGTTGCACGAGGGCAAACGCACTAGGAGCCTCGGTCTGTCTATGCGTAGGTACAGGAGCCGTACTGGTACATTGTCGGTACTCTCCGTGAGCCGTTACAGTGTTGCTGTGCCTGCATTGTGGGTTAGCCATTTTTACTAGTAATCCCATGCATATATTGTGACGGCGTTGTAGAGGAACGTGTTCATCATATACCGTCTTCGTTTAATAAGCTTAAAAATGCGATCGGCAGCAAATCAAAGGGCTGTTATTATTTGACATGTCTTCGTGGTGATTCGGTGCCATTCGGCAATTTTGCTCTTCAGAGCACACAACACTGTGTGTTCAACCCAGCCGAAGCCTCGAGCGGGCAACGCTTGAGTCGTCACCTCTCCATTGTGGGCTGCACAGCGCAGAGGAGGCTCCACAGCCGCGCAAAGCAGTGGTACGGCAGCCGATGCCTGTGCTCACGTCTCGATGTGTGATGAATCCTTACTGTACCGTACAGTACAGAGCATGCTACTGCCTTGTCTGGGAGGGTGCCCCCGTGTAGCCCCCTCTGAGAAACGGATCCCATCACATTGTCCTAGGCCTTTCTGAGCATCTCGGGCGGGCATGGGCTAAAGCATGCTTGCCCAAGCCTGTTTTGGCGTGGAAGCAGAGAAACATCTCCCCACGGGCCTGTAGCTATTCTGCATTGACACAGCTCCGGCGGCGGCTCGAGAAGAACATTGCGGCTCGCTTGCCTGGCAAGCGAAGTGGTTGCAAATTCCATGGCCCGCAACGAAGGTGGTTCTTTTGCCGGCTCAGGGGCTAAGTCCAAGCGTCTCTCGATGTGGACCAGTTATAGATAGCACTAGTTTTTTTTCTCTTCTCATTTTTTTCCGCGTTGCCTTTCGCTAGATCTGTTGGGCTAGTCCTCCGTAGTGAGAGATTGGCTCTGCTCTGCTAGTAGGTATACCGCTTGTTGGTGGCAAGACGATGTCGGTGTCGGTGTGTCCTTGCGCCAAGCTGGTTTGTTCATTTACACGGCGAGCCCTTTTGTGTGGCGGCATAGTTCATAGTCCCTCCCACGCAGTAAAACCGTCGTGGCACTAATGCTGAGGCGGCAGTCGATCTTTTGTGTGTGCTCCATCGACTTTTATGACGCAACGAAATTGAAGCTGCGCAGCCTCCTGCACTCCCATTTGCGAATGGCCCAACCTGGAGGCCATTTCATGACAAGGCCTTGGACGCCATTCGTCCACGCTGTCAGCTGGCCGCTCCTGGATGGATCGTCGATGGGTCGTCGACGCGCAACTAGCATGAAGCATCCTGGCCCCTGCGACATTAAGCAGCTAGACCAAGCCACTTTTGGCGGCCAAATTGGAGCCTCGCTGGTCGCAATTCGCGGGTCTGGGTGTAATTAGATTGTGGTAGCTCCTTGTCGCAATACCTGCAGAGCACAAGGTGGCTCTGTTATATGTCGCCTTGTCCGCGACGACCAAGAAGCAGCCTTCTCTCCACGATGCGCGAACCCTCGTCCCGTTTCTTCTAGTTAAAAGAGCGCGAGCCGCAGCCGCAGTTGTCTCTTGTCACAGTTTCCTGGTTGAGCAAATCGCTTCGCCCTTGTCTTGTATGGCTCTGTCGGCGTTATAGTCCTTGCTTCACCTTTTCTTTACCATCAGCCTGGTGCTGTCATTTGCGATCTCGGATCCATTTTGTATCTCCGCATACCTGTACATTTTGCCAAGATTCGGCGTCCCTCCCCGAAAATCGATAGCGATGCGCTCCTCACAACTCTTTGTCCTTGCTAGTGCTATAGCAACAGCAGCAGCAACCATCTTCCCCGAAGGCGTGACAACTATTGCCGGTGTATCGACAACCCAACATGTCTTGGTCGGGACCGAGAGCGGACTTGCACACACAGAGGATGTTGCCATTCCCACCGTGTCAGCATCTATAACACCGTCGTCAGGCTGGACGAGCTCAGAAGCGCAGACGGCAACAGAGAGCGGCTCTGACGAGTCTTCTGCTTCCACCACCAGCATTACGCGGCCTGCCGACTTTCCAAATGCAACCAGTAAGCAACAATCCTTGTCTTGTCCGGTTGAGCTTTCTCATGCTAACGTCGATGAAGCTACTTTGGCAAGCAGTCGGGTTCCTACAAAGTCTCAGAACACCACAACACCTACCAGCCACGTAACCGGTGGCGCTATTCCGCAACAGATGCAGAGCTCCATGGCTGGGCTGATAGGATTCTGCATAATGGGATTGATCATGTTATAGAAGAGGGCGAGAAGGCTGTTATGAATAATGACGCTGGACGAGATGCGCGCCACATATAGATTTGTGTCCCAGGTAGGACACTGGCGTTGAAGAAAAACCAACAAAGATACCACGGACCATAGAGTCCACCCACCTTTAGACGGACAGGAGTATATACCGATAATAGAGTAATTGTAATTAACAATTTCACACATGTTGATACACGCCTATTTAAGCGGTGGTCTTGCTCTTGCTGCATAGCACTTCATTCGTCGACTGTTGAGGTGACTGGTAAGAAAAGCTTTGTTTAAAAAAAAGCTGTAGTGATTATGCTTATAAAGTCTGCCGAAATATATATTCATGCTTGCAATAAAAAATATGAGGTCAGATTTCAAGTGGGATGACCGGCCACTGATTCATCTAACGTCCATTTGGAAAAGCTTAGAGTCATGAACCGCAGTTCGTATAAGCCGAACTCGTTCATATTGCTCATTGAATCTATGTCTCTGAGCGACCCATGATTGTTGGAAAAGCTCGTCCAAAAGACACATATTCTTTCGCTTATAGGTGGAAAGCTTGAGCCGACGTCACGGCGTCTCGAAAGATCGTCGTCTATGTTGTAGACGTTGCCGTGTTCGACGTGGGGTGGTCTGTCGATCTAAAGACCCTCGCTAGGGCGACTATAACGGCGCCGGAGACGGCTGGGCACTGATCTCGCTTCCCGTGGCAGAAGAATTCAACTCTTGCCTAGGAGAATTTGCTTATATAGCGATGACTCTAAGCAGCGACGGGAATCTGGCCTCCAGAGTTGCCGGTAGGAGGAGGCTTGGGTAGGTCGTCCTGGTATCGCGTTAGCAGGTGGCTCATCCGGAGAGAGATTCTATTGCAGATTTCTAACGAGGTCAAAGATGACTCTGATCATCAGGCTGCAGCTTGGGCACACGGCAATATCTTGTTCGTCGCGCAGGTCGTCGATGCCAATCGAGAAACGGTCGCCGCAAGGGCATGGGTAGTGGTAGATTTGAAGAGCCTCGTCAAAGGTCATGTCTTCGATTTCGATCTCATCGTAAATGGTGTATTCTTCGTCGGCCATCTTTGCGATTTGGTGTAGAGTCTCAGATAATAGCGGTGTCTGTCGTGGTACCGGTCTGTCTTTGGATTTATCGTGAAAGGAACGAGTTTATCAGTTATGACACCCGTCGCCACCCCGCGATAAAGAGCGAAGAGAAAAAAAAAGTTGAGACCCCACGAGTGTGGCTGATGCTTTGCTCGCTCAGTACTCAGTACTTCTGCGGTGGCTGGTGTCTACAATCACATGCCGGGGCTCTTCGCTTAGCTAGAGCTGTGGCGCACGAGTCTGGGGAAGCAGTGCCGCTTCTGCTCTTGCTAGGCCGAGGCCAGTGGACGCAACTCCACTCTCAGGCGCCTCGTCGTTATTTACAGGTCGTAATACAGCTTTTGACATTTGATGTCATGACCAGGCTGGGAATCGAATCCCTGCTGTGACGGTTGAAGCAGAGACAGCAGCCCGCCTGGACCACGCAGAGTATCCAACGAGCTTCTACGGCCTCAGAAAGCATAGCGACCGCACAAGCCTGAGCATAATAGCATACCTCGCCCGCCATAACCGAGGCCGTGACGATTCAAGGCAATTCGAGGCCGACCGATGCGCTGCACCCTCGACTCGAGGTGATACGCTGGGCTCGAGCTCTTCCTGGCCGGCGTCGACGAGAAAAGAACAGTACTCGGCGCTGAATCTTCATAGCCATGGCCTGGCAGTCGAAACTCGCCCTGTCCAAGGACCGGTCTCTTCGCGGCATCATCGCCCACCTCACCGGGCTGTACGTCAAGCACCGAACGCGCATTTCGCGTGCCATCTGGATCTCCCTCTTTGTCGCCCTCGCCAATCGCATTCGCCATGCCATCTCGGAGCAAAAGGCCGCCTCTGCGCGCGAGGCCGCTCAGCGGGCGGCTCGCCAAGCGACCGTAACCGCCGGGACCGAGGAAACACCCAGGAAGAAGGTCGCTCTGAACCGCGAGTTCTTCAAGTCCTTGATGCGCCTGAGCAAGATCGTGGTGCCCGGCTGGCGCAGCAAAGAGGCGAGGATGCTGGCCAGCCACAGCTTCTTCTTGGTCCTGAGGACTTTGATCAGCGTTCGGGTTGCAGAAATGGACGGAGCCATTGTCAAGGCCTTGGTCAAGGGAAACGGCAAGGAATTCTTGAAGCGCATTGTCTGGTGGATGCTGATCGCTGTCCCCGCAACCTTTACAAACTCGATGGTAATGAACTGCCCTTTTCTTGCCTGCCTTGCCATCGAATCCAGAGCTAACCAGAATCTCTCTTTGCAGCTTTCCTACCATCAAGCCGAGCTCTCTCTGCAATACCGGACGAGACTGACACAGCATATACACGACAAATACCTATCCAAATTGACCTTTTATGGCATCTCGGCACTCGATGATCGGATAAAGAATCCAGACCAACTCATCGCCGTCGATGTATCGAAATTCTCCAATAGTCTGGCAGAGCTTTACAGCAATCTTGCCAAACCAGCTCTTGACATGGTTTGTCAAATCCTTTCTCTTCGTCCTGATGATCTTGAACGAGCGATTGCACATGACTAATACCTCTTCTCTGTTAGACCATCTACACATATACTTTATCAAAGAGCGTTGGAAGCGAGGGTGTCATCTTCATGACGCTACTAGTTCAGCTCTCAGCAAACCTGATGCGCGTCTTGACGCCACCCTTTGGCAAGTATGTCGCCGACGAAGCTCGCTTAGAGGGAGAATTCCGCTTCCAGCACTCTCGCTTGATCGATTACAGCGAAGAAATTGCCCTGTATGGCGGCCATACCGCGGAAAAGGACACATTGGACAAGGGTTACTTTACTCTTATCAAGCACGTGAATTACATCCTTCGACGACGCTTCTACCATGGCTTTATGGAAGATTTCGTCATCAAATATTTCTGGGGTGCTTTGGGTCTGCTGCTTTGCAGTGTCCCCGTCTTTGTCAAGCTTCCCGGCCAGATTGTCATGAACGTGGGAGATAGAACAGAGGCTTTCGTGACGAATCGCCGTATGCTCCTCTCTGCATCTGATGCCTTTGGCAGAATCATGTTCTCGTACAGAGAAATCATGGAGCTGGCTGGATATACCTCCAGAGTTGCCACCCTGCTCAACGTCATGGATGACATTCAGATGGGTCACTTCGAGAAGAAGCTTGTCTCTTCTTCTGGGACAGAGGACAACGAGGCTGTTCTCAAGGGCCGCGGTACGGTCCATGAAAGCAAGGACTATATTAGGTTTGAGGATGTGTAAGTCTGAAATATGTTTGCCTCTTATCTTGACTGCAAAGACTGACAGAATGTACAACAGGCCCATCATCTCGCCCAACGGCGATGTTCTCGTCAAAGCGCTCTCATTCTCCCTCTCTCATGGTGACCACCTACTCGTCGTTGGACCCAATGGCTGTGGAAAATCCTCATTGTTCCGTATCCTTGGAGGCTTATGGCCTGTCTACGGAGGCACTGTTTACAAGCCCCCCTTTACCTCCATCTTCTATCTTCCCCAGCGCCCCTACCTGTCCCGTGGCTCCCTTCGTCAGCAAATTATCTATCCCGACTCCCTACGCCAGATGCGTTCCAAGGGTGTCAATGACTCCGACCTTCTCTCCATCCTCAACACCCTTGGCCTGGAGCATCTCGTCGAGCTCTACCCCGAAGGTTGGGATGCCGAGGCCGAGTGGCGCGATGTTCTTTCCGGCGGCCTCCAGCAGCGTGTCGCCATGGCGCGCCTGTTCTACCACCGACCGCAGTACGCCATCCTCGACGAGTGCACGAGCAGCGTGACGCTCGAAACCGAAAAGGTCATGTACGAGAATGCAAAGTCTCTCGGCATCACGCTCCTGACTGTCAGCCACCGCCGCAGCTTGTGGAAATACCACACGCATATCCTGCAGTTCGACGGCCAGGGCAACTACGTCTTTACGAAGCTCGATGCTGAGAGGCGTCTGAGACTGGAGGATGAGAAGGAGGAGCTGGAGATGAAGTTGAGACAGGTGCCCGAGATGGAAAGGAGACTAGAGGAGCTGACTTCTCTTTGAAAGCGTGAGATTTTTGTCTTTTTTGATTTGATGTTGGCTATACCATACAATATGTGCTATTTTGAAGGAGGGATGTTTGCTATATGCTATGTACGTGAGATGTGTGTATGACTAGAAATTCGTGCAAGCAGACTGTTTGGGCCATTTATACAATTGAAAGCCTGTTTTTGCTTTATAATTCGCAATGAATGCTGTTTAATGTTTGGCATGGACAGACACAATGCAGCAGATATGATGTGTAATGTTTAAATGCTGGGGTATAGATTTCTACTTGCTGTATCCAAGATTGAACAAACAAATGCTAATAACCAACTCCAAAAAAAGCAATCCTGCTATCCACAGTGCCCTCTTCTTCGCCATCAGATTCAAGCAATGCCAAATATACGTACGTACACATTGACAGGGCGTCGGGCTCCTCCTTTTTTTGACAACTATTTTGCTTCGTCATTTCCATCGCTCTCCTTTTCTTCAATACCATCCAAGTCTTCTAGTTGGTTTGGGTGAAATTTACAGTCATCTTTATGAATAGTGTTATCGTTCTCGAGAATCCGCTTATGGTCAGCACCGCATTCATAGCAAAATTGATGTTTGCATTTGGCGCCTAGGACGTCAACCAGTCAGCTCTCAACTATTTATCCTTGGCAGTAGATGCTATGGGTATTGCTCCAAGTGGAGGTACAGCCCCAGCAAAATTCGAAGCGACATTTGATGCCTGCGGTCATCTTTGATTAGTGGACTTCTTCTTCAGACGTTCATACAGCAGGTATTGATTAGAGTAAGAGAAAAAAGTGGTGAGCTTCGATACCGAGGGGTGTGAGTGTTGCAAGTACGCACCCTAAAATTTAAAACAAAGGAAAAAGAAAGAAAAGGGGGTAAAAAAAGGAGGAGAAGAAAACCAAGGGGCATCACTTACAAGTCATGTGTGAACTGTATCAAAAAAATTAGCAAATCTTTCTTTTTATTCTCACATTGCAACGGCAAGGTTTGAATCAGTGTACGTACCATCCATCGTTCTTTTCAATCGCCCAACCGCATCCAGGGCAAGGCTTCGTCGTTCTCCCGACTGTTTCTCTGCTCATTTCTTCCTCGGCCTTTCTTCTTGTGGCAATTTGTCTCGCCAAATCGACTGCTTTCTGTGCCCTCTCCCTTTCTTCGCGATCTCTCCTCTCTCTCCTCTCTCTAGCCCTTCTTTCTTCTTCCAACAGGCCTTGGGCCATAGCTCTGTCGGCTTCAAGCTGTTCTTTTTGCGAAGCTGCCCACGCTTCGTTATCAAGTTCAAGCTTGGAACGAAAGTTGTCCGGGTCGGCAAGCAACTGTTCGTACTCTTCGCAAGTCAAACCCTGATGCCAGGCGACGTTGTGACGAAAGCAGGATCGGTGGCTGCAGTGAAGGCAAATGACAATGGGGTGGTCGTGGCCGGTGTCATGTATCTGACCAGAGCCACAGCCAGATGTGCACCAAAAGAAGTTTTCAGCTTCAGCCATGGCGGCTCGGAGGGCAAGCGTTTCGTATCTATAGGTTTGTCAGACCAGATGTGCTCCATCGTGGAAGAGAGGTGGAAGTGAAATTATGATATATACCTCTTAAATGTCTCTTCATCAGCGTAACGCTGGATGTCTGTATATTCTAGTAGTTGTCGACACTCGGGGCATCTGATATCTGTCCAAATCTTGCCTGTCAGATCAGATCGGATAGATCTTTCCAGACACTCGAGGCATGTGTTTGGGGAATGTGTGCAAGACGCCGTTGGAGAAAACCGAGGAAAGAGGATTTCCTCTTTGGTGTCGGCACAAATCAAGCAATCGCGGTCATCATTGTTCTCACGATCTGACGGAATACGTTGATGCGTAACTAGCACAGACGATGTTCCTGGATCGCTTTGATATCGTTGCCCGAAACTAACAGATAGTAATATCAGCAAACTGGACGTTATATATTGAGGCTACTTGAAGATTAATGGTTGAAAAAGAAATGCATGTATGTGGACTGAAGAAACATGTAAGAATCGGGAAGAAGACTTGAAGAATATTACATGATAGCATAGTCGTAACAGCATCCCGTCTGTACTCATCTATAGCGCAAAGGGGTTGGACGTAGGGAAAGCCGTCGAAAGAGGCTATATTTCAGGAAACCTACCTGAAATCATCAGCTTTGTCATCTCCACGCCTGCCAGACAGATCTAGACGGCGTTGATACGCTTCTGTCATGGCAGAGTCTTGCTGCTCGAGGAGTTCGACATACGGGTTGCCTATGGCAGGAGTAGAAGAGCCGCTAGAGGCAGCCATATTCCTTCCTCTGCGATATGTGGTAGGAACTGGGTCTTTGTCTTCTTCCGGGGTCGCAAAGTCGTCGTCCAATAAAGCAAGGTTGATGCGATATCTGAACCCGGTTTGTGCATTGGCTATTGGGGCTGTCTCGGGCTCGCTGTGTACTGAGGGAGGTTGAGATTGATTCGTTCTTGGCAAAGAGACACTTGTGCTGGCCTCTTCTGCTTCCTCCTCGTCTTCTTCTACCTCGTCATCGTCTTCTTCCACTTGCACTTCCTCTTCTTCCACTTCATCATCTTCTTCTTCTTCCTCATCTTCTTCCCGTTCCTCCATATCAAACTCTTCGCTTCCTTCTTCTTCGTAGTCTTCTTCGTCTAGTTGCACAACTTCCTCCCCTTCATCATCCGCCTCAGGCGTCTGTGCACTTTCAGCCTCTGGATCCGTCTCTTCATCATCCACTAGCCAGATCGAGTCGTCGTCTTCATCCCCGAAGCCGCTCATGATGGCGGGGTTCACCATGCCGTAATGCGAAGAGGCAGGATGCACAAACATGTTGTTCCTCATTGCTGACGCTTCCACGAATGGGACAAACTTCTTTGGAGTGTAGGAATCCATTTTGGGCTCCTCTTCAGCAACTTGGACTTCTTCTTGCGCGGGCGCTTCAATTGGAGCCTCTGCCAGCGCTACAGCCGGTGTGTCAACAGTAGTAGAATTAACTGCTGGTGTAATAACCACGGGTATCTCAACTGCCGGCGTATCAACTGTTGGTATATGAACAGCAGTAGTGTGAGAAGCAGACGGGTCAGTGACAGTGACAAGAATATCAACAATAGTGTTATTGCTTTCTTGCACCTCCGACAGCTGCTCTTGTGCTTGTTTTCGTTCCTCTTCCACCAACGCTGCAGTATGAAACGTAGTATCAACCGTCGCCTCCGTTTGTTCTCCCGTAGCAATCGACGGTGGGTATGAATCGTTTGGGAGCGGCCAGCTAATGCTGGGAACCGAAGCCACTGAGGGAACAGAGCTCTTGTCCTTTCGTTTGCGAAAAACAGATCCCGTCTTTTTCCTGAGGGAGCGAAACATGCTCATGTCGAAAGGTGTGAGTGTGCGAGAGTGTGAGAGCAGGTCTGTAACTCCGGTTTTACCCCCCCTTGGGCCGGCCTATATTGCGGACATGTGCTGCAGGGGACTGGATGGAGGAGTGTGGCTGCTGCTGGGCGCTTATACCGGCGATGGCACACAGAATCGATCTAGAGGTGTTGGAAAGAAGACGGGAGGATATTAATGTTCGTAGATGTGGCGGAAGAGGAGGTTGAATAGGTTAAAAGATGGGAGAAGAGAAGATTGAGAGAAGAAAAGAAGAAGCACATGCATGATTCTGATTTGCAGCGGTGCGAAGGAACAAAGGACGGAAGGGACGAGAAAGATGGAGGCTGCAGGCCAGGCCGTTTGGCGGAGCTCGTCGCAGCCGCTTCCAGGTGCCTCTGCCTCTGCCTCAGTGGGCAGACCAGCTGAGGCCGGGAGACGCCTCGCGATGCACAGCGGAGACGGGCAAGCCCCAGCACTTTGAACGGGCCTAGCTGCCTGCCATGGCGCTTCCCCAGGGGCCGCCAGCAGTGCCAGCAGTGCATCTAGCCAGCGAGCAGCGCCAAAGCGGCCTAGTGCGTGCCGCCATCAGTGAGTGGCCTGCGCCCTGCAACCCTGAAGCTTCCAGTGTGCCTTGCTACGTACAGGGGGTCCGGTGCAATGGAGTGTGCCTAAGAAGACCTGGAGGCAACATTGAGCTCTAGAACTACTTCATCGAACTAGACACACCCTCCCCAGCGCCATCGGCAGAGGCATCGCAGGGCTGTCGCGGATCATATGATTTGCGCTGTGGATGCGAGCCGTATTCAACGTGGCAGGCCAAGCACCATCCAGCGGTCGAGATGCGTGCGTGGGAGCACCAATAAACGGGACACCTACATGTAGGTAGTAAGCAGTGATATCAACTGTAATCTACATGTAGCCGAATCAGATCAATACGTGTCTCTACAGCTATCCTATCACTAGATGCTGATTGTTTGGTTTGATAATAGGCGAGAAAAGATGTAGTAAGGCTAGGAAAAAAATACAGAGCAAAGGGAAAAGAAAACCCAAAAGACAGGGCGAGTCACTCAATGAGGGAGAAGAGACCCTGCAAACGCCCAAAAGGATCGCCTCCCATACGATACGATGCGTGGTTTCACAGCATCCATGTTGAGAATCATTCATTTGTTCCAAACGTCCCATACGTCAGCAAACCTGCTCCAACGTAAACACATGCATCGCATCCCATCAGCTTAACCAACCCTCTGATTTCTTCCGAGGCTTTGAGAGGCAGAGCATATGGACCAGCGACTCGTCGCCCTCCTCGGTGAATTTGTCCTTCTTTTCATCAGAACCCCAGGCTACTAGCATCTGCTGCTTGCGTACAATCGACGGCGCCTTGATGGCATCGCGCTGGCCGATCTGGCGGATGTAAAGGGCGGGGACCACGGTACACACGTTGAGTAGATTGCGGTGGATATCGGCCTTTGTAGGTCGAGGGTCCATCTTGTTCATGTTGAAGGCCTTTCTGTTATGCAGGATGTTTCTGCAGTCAAGATCCTCGACGCACTCGTGGAATTCTTGTGAATGGGCAATGTGGTTGCTGCCGCTCCATGAGATGTAGGGCTGGATATCGAGATAGAAGTGGTGTGTAGCAACCTGAAGCTTTTCGTAGAGCGCCATAGCGGGCTTGATGCAGCGCTCTTCCGTGTTTTGGTAAAACCAGGCGTGTTTGTCCTTTTTGCAAAATATGCGAAGCACTTCTGCCAGGCCTATAGTCAAATCTCTGCTGCGCCGAGTGCGAACACTTCTGAACTGTGGAGCGCTCATCAAGGCATTATAACTCTCGGCGGTCCATGTGCGAACAGCAAACAAGTCTAGTTTGAGTCATTGTTGTTAGATTCATCTCATTGTGAGTTTTGGGAAGTTGAAAGGCACATTACCTCTCTTGGGCTCAACGGCGGTCTGCATCTGTGTCTCGATAAAGCTCACCATATCGGTGTAGCCGGACGCAGAGCCGTAGAGGACTTTTTGGAAGATGTGGTCGTTGAGAAATCGCATAATAACAGCGACGATGATGTCTTCATCCGTCTCTGGAAACATGCAGCCGTGGATCAGATCCGGATGCTTGTGCACAACCTTCTTAAGCTTTGCAGCTTCTTGGGCATTCTTCCGCGCGTAGGAGGCGAGAGCCTCAACGCCAGTCTCATAGTCATCTAGCCAAAAGCCCATGAATTTCTGAACCCAGTCTTGAACTGACTCAACTAGATCATCATATTGCTGTTGCAAATGTGTTTATATATTAGCATTCATCGTACTCGGCAAGAAACATCGTCCCCGCTCATCAAGATATGGGACAACTTACCCGTCCTACTTCCTCTGGGGTGAGGTCCTTACGATACGGCTGCAGGCTGAAGATGTGCGACTGCGCATCGTTGAGCTCTTCTCTCAAGAGATTGTTCTCTTCTTTGAGCCTCTTCATTTCTGCGCCAAGAGACTCCGTGTCCTTGGCGATTTCCTCCATGTCGGAATTTAGTAGATGCTTCAAGTCTTCAATTTGCTGTCTGGCCTTGATCGCTTCTCTCTCGGCGCTCTCCTTTTCGAGGGTGAGTCTCGTGATGGCATCTTGGAGCTGTCTGAGCTGCGCCTGTTCTCTCAGCTCGTCTCGCGCTCCATCGCCGTCAGAAAGGCGTCGCCGAGGCATGAAATCGTCGCTGTCCATGCCGGAGAATCCCTCGGCCGCTGCGTACATGGAACTAGTCATTTCAGCCAATTCAAAGTCGTCGTCGTCGGATTGAGCTCCGTCGGGAAATGGAACTGGCACGTTCAGGTTATATCGCCTCGCAGGAACAAGCTCTGGAGAAATGGACGTCTCGGTGACTTCGTCTTTTGCAAAGTCGGCGGCATCCACTTCGACGGGAGCCTCTTCGTGCTGCTCTCCGTCCAACATGGCCTGGTCGTCATTCACATCCGTCTCTTTCTTGTGGTCTTGGACCTTTGCCTCGGTCTCAGCCTTGTCAGCGGTTTTGGTCGATTTTCTCTCCTTGCGCAGCACTGCATGGCCGTTGGGTTGGCGCGCTCGCATGTCATCGAGGGGAATTGTTCCTTGGCCTTTGTCGGGAGACATGGTGAGATGCAGCGTAAAAGAGGGCATGTACAAAGCACTACCGTTTAATAGCCCAACTAAACACACGGGGCAGCGAGAGGGAATCAGAATACGTCCAAACCGGCCGCAAAGAGGTGTATGGGCTTCATACAAATAAGAGAATATCCCTAGAGCTCAGAATTCGATGCCAGGTCTGCTCTGCCAGCCTGAACCAGAGCCTTGAGCCTGTGACTGTGGCGCTGGCAGCGTCAATATCCACTCGCTGAATGGCACGGCTCACAGCCTGGGGCTGAAGCGAGGGAGTCTCTTCCACGGCGGACACATCTGGCCTTGCCATTGCTGCTTGTACAGGCAGGGCACTGACATGGCACGGCATGGCCTGGAGACAAACGACTGTCAATTCCACGCCCCCTCCCTCACGATGATGTTTGCTAGGGTCTGTAACTACTAGTGGATTCAGCCTCAGTAGCTTGCCGTGGGAGAAAGAGGGGACATGACTGTTCACGGCCCGTTTCGGAGGCTTTTGGCTTTTGGCTTCTGAACTTGATTTTGGCTTCGGAAGTACATGTACTGCTGCTGCAAGTCGATCCTATCTGCAGTAAAACGTCTGGCAGATAAAAACATGTAGCTAATCTCTCGTGTTTAGTCGTGTAACAGATGGATATTTGGACAAGGCAGAGGCATCCCGATGCAAGACGGCAAGCTCTAGTGGGAATTTGGAGAGGCACATGTATGCTCATTTCTAGTGGTCAAACTGTACGGAAAGCGACATATTTGGGCAGCAAATCCGGATACACTCAGCAGGTCCATTGGGTAGCTGCCTCTACAAATGCAGACTGTACAGTGATACAATGACAGCTCAGCACTTTTGATTGAGTGTACTTGATACGCCGTATCTGGAGCCTGTTTGAGCCTTTTCACAGCCTCAGGGAAATAGGTACTAGGCGCTGCTTTGGCGCTGCACTCCACTGCTTTGGGTACTAGTAATTTCGCCTCATTTCAACTGATGTTCAACGTCACTTTTGATGTTGTTTCCTTTCAATTCTTAGACGCTGCCAGTAGTGGTGAGTAATTCGTGCCAATGCAGCTTTCCAGGCGCGTATCAACACTTGTTGGTCCATCGCTTGAGAGCTTCCACCTCGTCTTTCGGCCCCCATTCAATTCAGTGACCGATAGCGGTTATCGACCTGTCAGGCCATCCTGCCGAGTATTTATAGAGCTGGAGCTCAAAGCTCAAGCTCGAACCCACTAAATCCTCCGCCGCAGCCACTGACAGCACCATTCAAGGCACCCTGCAGCGCTTCATCCAGTGAATGGCCTCGCTGGACGGCGCCATCTCGCGGGCTAGCGGTCACTATCTGCAAGCCCCTCACTTGCCGTCTACAAGCACACCCCTCCATCCCCGCTTCAACACGACTTGCTTGTACTTGTTGAATCCTCCTTACTTCAAGACAAGGCAGACTCTCGCCTCACTTTGTCTGATTCGCGCCATGCCAGCACGTCTTTTGGCGCCACGCAGATCCAGAGGCTGGCCGCGGGCCAGTGCCGCTCCAGCGTCTGCGGCGACACGAGACTTTGCCAGGCATCAGTCCCCGCCCAGCTGAAAGTCTGTTTGCCAATGCATCAAGCCAGGCCTCTTCAACTTGTTTGGGTCGGACAAGAGGGCCGTGGAGCAGCCCTTCTGAACAGTCCTAGGACGCGGGCTTTTCAGTCCCGGCTTAACTTTGACCATCACCTAACAGTGACTGTCCGCAACTGCGCCCCGTTGAAGACGCCTAGTATCTGTTTTTCCGACATCATCTTCACTTATATGTTGGATGCTTTCTTCCTCTGTGGCTCAAAGCTGTGTCTTTTTCCCACCTCCCCGGTACTTCAATCGATTGGCGCTCGGTAGATACAGTTATAGTGGCCCAGCAGGCCAGCTTATCGTTTGATCCCAACAACTCTCATCCGTCCCTCTCTGTGCACTTTCCTTCGCCTTCTCTTCCATTCTATACGCCGCCATCATCGCCATCAGCATGGATTTTGATAAGCTCTCCATCACTGATCGCAAGATCATCGTCGGCATCGATTTTGGCACCACCTACTCCGGTGTCGCTTGGGCAGAGACACAGCGGCCAGACAGACGGACAGCCATCACCACATGGCCCATCAACAAGACAACCCGCGAGGGCGAGTCTTCAGACAAGGTGCCTACTAAGCTTCGTTATGCCCCGGATGGTACTCAGTGGGGGTTTTCCATCCCCATCACCGCTCCTCAGGATGAAGTGATCGAATGGTTCAAGCTGTAAGTCATCATCGTCCCGTCCGATCCATGGCCATGATCAGCCCTAGTCACACAGGATCAACTGACCAACATCGTGCCAATAGCGACTTGGATCCGTCTCTGAAAAACATTGGTGTGGCCGTTGCCAATGATGGTGCTCGTGGAGGCAGAGATGCCGAGAAGCTTGTTGCTGACTATCTGAATGCTCTCACCGAGCATCTCCTCTACACGCTGCGCGAGAAGCTCGGCGAGAGCGTCGTCAAGAACACTCCACTCGAGTTTGTTGTCACGGTACCAGCCATCTGGAGCGATCTTGCCAAGGATAAAACCAAAAAGGCATGTCAACAGGCCGTTCAAAACCTCCCCTTAGCGGCCGGCTCGTCCAAGACCCATATCCACCTCGTCTCCGAGCCCGAAGCTGCTGCCATCTACGCCCTTCATGGACTGGATCCTCATGGCCTCAAGGTTGGCGAGACTGTGGTTGTTGTTGATGCCGGTGGTGGCACGGTTGATCTCATTTCCTACACCATTACCGGGCTGAGGCCTATTCTTCAGGTCCAGGAGGCTGCCCCTGGCTCTGGCGCCCTTTGCGGCTCGACTTTCCTCAACATGCGCTTTGCCAAATTTCTCAAGGCCAAGCTGGGCAAGGAAGATGGCTTCGACGATGAAATTCTCGCCGAAGCCATGGAAGTCTTTGAAAAGAAGGTCAAGCGTCAGTTTACCCTCGCCGCTCCTCCAGATGAGACGTACACCATCCCCGTTGGCGGCCTAGCCAACAACAGGGCCCTCGGAATCAACCGCGGACGATATGCGCTCAAGGCCTCTGACCTGAACACGATATTTGAGCCTGTCGTCCTCGAGGTCATCAAGCTAGTCAAGGATCAGATCACTGTTAGCAACGTGCCTATCCGCGCTGTGCTTTTGGTTGGTGGTTTTGGCGCCTCCAATTATCTCAAGGAGCGTCTGAGAAATGCTGTGGACAAATCCATCCAGATCATGCAGCCTCCCAATGCCTGGCAAGCCGTTGTTCAGGGTGCTGTGATGAAGGGCCTCGCTAACAGCGCGCCCGAGTCTCTCACATTGGTCAAGGTGCAGAACCGCAAGGCGAGGAAGCACTATGGCACGGAGTGGCGCACCAAGTTCGACGACAGGGTTCATGGTCATATAGCTGACAAGAAGAGCTGGAGCGGCATGGAAGGGTATTACAAGGTAAACGCCATGGAGTGGTTTATCCGCAAGGTACGTTATTTTGATTTTTTCTCCCTGATCAACCCATTCTCTCTCTCGCTGCTACTGTATCCTTACACGACTAGCTAACACTATACACCAGGGCGATGCCGTCTCCGAGAACGAGCCTTACGTCACATCCTTTGTCTGGACAGGCCTCGTGGCACACGGCCGTATCCGCAAGATGCGTATGACCATCTACTGCGACCAAACCTCCGAGGAAGCCCCCATCGACAGAAACGCAAATGTTCAAGTCTTGGCACATGTCGAGGCCGATGTGAGCCACATCCCTGAGCATCTGCTCAATCGTCGACAGGGTAAAGATGGCCAGATGTACTATGACCTCAGCTGCAAAATTGAGGCGGTGTATCTCTCTGCCTCGACTACGTACACGCTCTTGTACAATAGTATGTGACATTTCTTTTATTCCACGTCCCTTTTATTTAATGCTAAATAGTTGGCTAACTCTGAGATCTAGATCAGCGATACGATACAGTTACTTGCGAATATGTCTAAGCTACTTGGCTAGAATAGAGCAGCTCCTTTTTTCTTTTAACGATATCATGTGTGCTTTTTTGTTATTTAGGGAGGGGAGTAAAGGATCTTTCGTGATTATTTGGCAAGACAGTCTGTACATAGAACAATCCCCAAATAAGACGGGACGAGACCACCTGAAACGCTCGGCAGGTGTCAAACTTGATTTCCTAGTACAAGGATAAAATTATATTCAATGCATGCGATGTGTCTACACTCTCGCGAGGAATAAAAAAAAATAAACAACTTTATATGCTCCTCACTCCCTCCTATCTTTTTTCCACTAGACACAAATACAGAGAGAGGGCAAAGACTGAGCTAACATACAAAAACAGAGATATCATCAAGATTACAAAAAAGAAAGAAAGCTAGTAACACAGAAAGACCATGGAGGGGAAAAAAAAAAGAAGTATGCAAAGCCAAATGTAGCCAAGATTACCGAGAGAGAAAAAAATCCAATGCCGAGAGATATATGAAAGAACCACAAAAAAGACGTTTTGTAAGGAAAGATGTGGTGGCGGCGGGCCAATTCGCAGAGCGGCCAAAAAATGGTGATATCCAGAACACCAAGGGCCATATACAGTAGGAAATCAAAAGGCAGGAAACTTTTTCTGAGAACAAAGCAGTATTAAAAGAGAGAGAGAGAGAGATGCGTGTAAATATAGCCAGATGGCAGAGGGCGGCGAAAATTCAGAGTGCTCTTCAAATAACAAAGGGGGGAAATAATTTGTAAGTCAACAAAGAGAGGTATCATCCCCTGAACCGGAGATATTCAAGATGGTGTTATAAACGACTGAAAAAAGAAAAGATCTAGGCCATCGTTGTATATTGTGTGTCGCTACCGCCCTTCGTCTTGTATATGTTGTGTATGTATATCGCTACTAATCAATGAAGAGATGTTGGAAGCGAGCGACGTTCAGCATTCATTCGGTGATCAATCGCCGCGTTCCGTCGTGATATTAACGGCAAGTTGTATGTGCGTGTGATAAATATCCAGAGCGAAAAGTCGTGAATCGCGATTATTCTTCGTCTAGGCTCCCCATCATAGCTCCAGTCTTGCTGTGCTTCATGCCAAGCTTAAGAAGGCTGAACCTCTTCCGAACGCTTTTGTTTTTCTTTGCCTCAGCCTCATCACCATTTCTAGAGAGCAGGTCCAGGCTGACACCTCGCTTGTCCCCAGCAGCCTCTTGGTCCACAACCGGGGATCGAGACATGTTGTGTAGAGCACTGTCCTTACTGAGGCCGCGCGTGTGGGCTTTAACGTCGCCTCCGTTGCCGTTGACTTGATCAGCCCCCTCCTGGCCGGGGCTGAATTCTTTCTTCTTTCCGCCGAGGAAGCTCAGTCGCGCGGCACCGCGTTGTCGAGGGGTGATTTGTCGAATGACCGTTGCCTCTTCAGCTTTCACTCCATTCACGGGGACGGCAATGCTTGTCCACTGCGGGCCCTTGTCGCCTCCTGGCGTTGATCCTCGCCAGGTGGGAGACGGTGTTGGAACGGGTTCTCGGACTGGTTGCGGCGGGGCAAACAGAGCAATCTCTGGTGCAAACGTCGCCTCGAAATCTAACCTGGGTGTTAGCTGTCTATTCCACTATGCAACTCGTTTGGGCAAAGGATTCAACACTTACAGCCTTGAAGCTCTGAATATTTACGGGAAATGGCTTCGTTCTTGTTTCGAGCAAAGAGAGTTAAGCATCTCTTGAGCATCATGGCATGATCCACCAGGGTCATCTTGATTGCGGTTTCTTGGGGATCGAGCTCAACCTCGTCGTCGTCGTCTTCTTCCTCGTCATCGTCATCGTCATCGTCTCCATCCGCTCCCTCTTCGGCACTCTGTGGCTCAGGAAGCAGCTTGCGATACTGCACAACGCTATTCTCTGAAACTGGGCTAACTGAAACGCTAACAGCATCTGCGAGCTGCTGCGCAACCTTGTCATCGCCATCCGCCAGTCGTCGTTCCAAGAGAGTCATCTCGTGCGTCTTCCTAGAAATGCGCTCCAAGGCGGTTTCATGAGCAGTAAGCCTGACTTCACGAGTTTCGACAATCTCACTCCGGCGTAAGAGTGTGGGGAATGGCTCAGAAGCCGTGAAAACCAGCTTCTCTGCGTAATGCTCCTGTACCGGCCCAGAAGTGTTCCTCTTGGTAGTAACAGAGAAAGTCTGAGGGTGAGAAGATAATAAAAAGTCGCGAATAATGTGCGGCACGCGGAGTCGCTGGTATAGTTGATGTGAAAGGTCCCGATGCGGTGTGAGAGCAGAAACAACCAAAAATTGACCTTCCATCTCATCAACATCACCACCCGTGATGATCTGAGCTGATGGGTACTGCTCTTGCATACGGTCTGTAAAGGCTGAGGCTCGTTCAGAGGGTGATCCCTCATAAACGAACTCTTTATCTCGTATTGAAGTAGGAAAACCGAGTCCCTTGAAGACCACTTTATAATATTTTGGAGTAATCTTCTCACTCTTGGAAATGCTCTCATATATCGTTGCAATCGCTCGCCCTGTTCTGGCTAGCTTGGCAAAATCGTATATGTTGGTTTCGTATTGGACTTGGAGCTCCTTGTATGCGGTCAGGGCATTGCTCCAAGATTCTCCGTCCTCAAAATGTTTGATCATGTCAAAATAGATTTTTTCTTTGCGTTCGAATGGAGACTGCGCCGGAAATTCTGGTTCAGCCAGTGCTGGGACCTGCCCAATCGGATCCCATTCATACAAATCAGCGTGAAGACGTAGGGCTAGACCAGCCTCTGTATGGTTCCTAGACTCGGCCTGTAGCTTTGCCAATTGGTGGACATAGCGGATGAAGATGTCTTCCTTCTGCATATCGCGCAGGAACTCCATTAGTCGAAGCCGGTTGATAATGTTAGAGGCCTCTCCGCTGCCATCGCCGCCGCTATGCACAGCCACTAGTAGATCCAAGAACTCGTCTAGGGTGCCAATAAGGTCTCGCAGAGCTGCGTAGAGAGGCTCATCCTCAATTTCTGAGAGAGGTTGGAATCGTTCCAGAAGTTCAGTTATGAATAGTTTCTGGAGAATGCTCTCTGTAAGAGGATTTGATTTGAAGTAAGCATCCAGCGAGTCGATGAGTTCTGTCTGAATCACAGATAAGTCTTCACTCAACGTCCACTCGCTTACAATCATAGTCTGTAAGACTTCAACGGCCATTGTACGGAGACCTTCATGGACACTGAGACAGAGACCCACGATTGGGCCAACCAGAGTTGGCACATACTGCACTTGGTATCCGCCAATGTTGCTAAGTCCGTACCTCTCACGTTCATCCGGTGTGGTTTCCCACCCGATGGCCTCCCACATCCTCCGTAAGAGGTCAGCTCCATGTTCCCGCACATCGCCGGCAATCTTCCACACCGCTCTCCTTTTCTGCTCAGGAAAAGTCTCCAGAGCAAGTGACGAGCTTCCTACAAGCTTCAGCAAAGTTGTGAAGAAGAGCTTCCAGAGCTCGGTGTTGAATGATTCTGCCTCGTCAGGGTCAGGCAGGCAAGAATCCAAGAGGATGCCAGCCAAGTATTGCAATATTCGCATCGTTGATTTGTGATGATAGATGTGCACACTTAGCCATCCACTTGGGAACGCTTCGCCTGTCAAAATGCTCATCTGCACCTTGAGAAGGTTCTCCAAAATGGTTGTCAAGTCGTCTTCAGAGGCCAGCTCAAGCTGCATGCCCAATGGAGAATTCGACAAGGCAGCAAGAATAGCAGATAGCTCAGTTAGAGCTTCGTCAAAGGAGAGGTCTTCATCTATTGCTTTTGTGGGGAAAGGGTAGGATGAGGGGAATAGAAGCGAGAGCTTATTCCTAGGCTTTTGCGGCGAGGCAAGAATCGATAGATATGAATCGACAATATTAGGTACGTGGTCGGGGATTTCTGGGCCCAGGTAGTCAATCTGGCTGGCAAGAATAGAACAGCACAGGCGAATCTGCTCTCGCCATTGGTCATTGACCTCTTCAGCGTGTCCCCAATGAGGAGAGATCCATCGTACGGTATTGGTGCTGAGGGCTGATTTCTGCTCTGGATGAGCAAATATATCTAGCTTCGAGTAGTTGATGATGAGGCAAAGTTTGTAAATGATGAGCTTGCCCTTGACGTCTTTGCATGAGTCCATAAAATCAATGGCAATGTGCAGGATCTCTTCTGTTGTCAAGAGGCCAGTGAGCTCTGGTAGCCAAGTGTGGAAGTGCTGCACAGCCAGCGTCTGACTACCCACCAATGCAGGTGCCGAGTTTCGCATCATGGCGTCAAGCGCCTTGAAGATACTTCGAAGGCTCCTAGTAAATCCTTGAGCGGAGGAATTGATTCCTATTCCAGCTTCCTTCGCCTTTTGCTGCCCGCGAGATTGAGTGATGAATTTCAGAATGTGTCTCATGACTTTGAAAGTCGCACGCAGCTTACGGGCTGTCTCGGGTTCCGTGGGGCGTTTGAGGAGTCGAGTGAATGATCGTATCAGACAAGGAGTAGCAAAGGGGTAATTGAATTGAGTTTCCGCATAATGGTCAACCAAGGGGCTCAGATTGAATCGCCGATCGTGCACGATTCCAAGCACCCTGACCATTGCAGTGAAAACCAGGTCTTCATACTCGTCATTCCCAGTATGCTCCACCAGGATTCCAAAGAGCCCATCCAGAACGTCGCTGAGAAGCTTCACGACCTCAATTTCCGAGACAAAGATCAGCTGTCTCAGAATGGAAGGGATTTCATCCTTTGGTAGGTCTTTCCACTTGAGAAGTCCAAGGATAACTCTATCCTGAGAAAATCGCGTGCTGCAGAGGTAGGTATCAACAAACATCACGGCGAGCGGCCCCGTAACGTCAACTGATCGGTCATCTTTGCCTCGCGGCGCCCAAGGGGTAGAGAGATATCCGCCCTTCCCAGTTGGTCCTGCCTGTGCGGTCGAGGTAAATTCGTCTATTTTATAGAGCAGCAGGCCATGGGGCCCATCGCGAATGAAGGCTTGGTCCTCCCAAAGCGGCATGTGCGCAACTGCAAATGGAGGGTTTGGCATGTCTGACAAAAACATGACCACATGAGCATTCATTACATCGCTCGGCTGGAGTGATAGGCGGAGCGTCTGATTCCAGGCTTCACCTCTTTCCACAGAACAAGATTTAAAAGTGGTGAGCGCTTCGGTGTTAGAAGATGTGAAGATGCATCGCTCGAATCGTTCGCCGGTAGACTGACGGACTTCCAGGGTGACTTGCAGGTTCGCTCCGCTAACCGTGCTGGGGAGGTTGATTGCGCTGCCTGCATATCTTGATATGAGATGTTGCTTCGCCAAAGCGGCGATATTGAGCGTGAGGTAGATGTCCGATCTTGACTTGGTCGGCGCGGCAGCAAAGCCAATCCTGTTCGTCTTCGATACGCCAGACAGAATCGTAGGCGTAGCTTTGATTAGTTCATCCGCATCAGGGTGGTGGAATTTCCTCAGAGAGACTTGCAGTCGCTCGCCGCTTCTCGATTTCTCGTATTGCCCGGAAGCACTGGTAATCAGCTCTCGAATCAAGGAATCAAACTCCTCAGCCGCTTCCCTATCGTTTGAGTATCCAAGCGATGGCGACCAAATGTTAACAACCTGCTCGACTTCTTCTGCTTGTTTCATAATGGAGTTGAGTTTCAAAACCCCTACACCAATCGTACGCTCAACACGCTGTCCAGACTCATGAACGCTTGCAACAGTACTTTTAGATCCAGCAGTGCTTGGTGGGTGACTATTCCCGTCTTGACTATCCAAGCGAGTCGTAGACGATCTCCCCTCCTGTACCTCTGACACAGAATCCATCTTCATCGTATGCCCTCGGGAAAAGGCAGATCGTGAAGTTTTGCTTCCCCACATCATACTTCTCCTAGAAGCTTTCCCTGAACTCGCCGGAGGGGTCTTTACATTGTCTCGTGTAAAGCTGCTGTCAGTGCCGGAACGGGACAATGGTTGGGGAATAAAGATTTGCTGTGATCCCAACACCTTGACAACGAGGTATAGCTCGGAATCAGCGGACGGTGCATCGCCAATATCATGGGCTGAGAGATCTGTGAATAGCGTCTTTGTGCTGGTGTTTTGTGCAAGACCACTGATCGAGCCGCCTGCCGGGATCTCAATGCTGAAACATTCGGACAGGTTGACCCCCTTTCCATACTGAGGTTTGCTAACAAGGTAAGCTACAAGCGTCGTCTCCTCAGTGGAACTTCCAGCAAAGCCTTTCAAGTCTAGCAATAAGTGGTTCAAGCTCGTCAGCTCGACTGTGGCCTGGGGAGGCTCGTCCAGCAAGCTCATAACCGACTGAAGCTTGGTAACATCAACAATCGAGTCATCGGCCGTCAAGACTCTGCCGCGAGATGCCGGATCTCGTACAACCACCTCCCCACCACAAAGCTTATTGACTGCGACGAGGTCCCAGACGGTTTGCTCTCGCAATCTGTCGTATTCGTGCGCGGTAAGAACATTATAGAGAAATTGTTGGCGATGGAGATTGAGAGAGGTAACAAGTTGTGACAGCTTGTCAAGTTTTGCATACTGTCGAGAAAGGAGCAGCTCGTGTAAATATTTCGAGTGCCACTCTCGCAGGCACGACGCGATTTCGTCGACAAGCGGCTCGTCCGCCGAGGTGGGCGTCTCATCGCCAATCTTGAGCATCGGAACGGGCGCCGGTGGTCGAGGTGCATTAGGATCTCGGCGCACAGGGACAGACAGATTCTTGGCGGCATCAGCTGTGAAGCTTTGCAATGATCTCTTCCAATGGTTTGAATCAGGGGCCTTGTCCTCGCTCAGCTTTGTGATTGGCTCTATGCCATTAGTGATGCCACTCTTGGCAGAGTCGCTGCCCGGACGATCATCAATGCCGCTATCACTGGCAGAGTCTTCATCGTGTCTCTCATCCGACTCGCCGAGCAGCTCTCGAACTTCCACACAGCTTCTCGGGAAGATGCCACTGAAGACGCGAGCTTCCAACGTCTGTCCTTTGACGGAAGTCAGGCCGGCAAGCAGACTCGGCGGCGCCACCAGGTAGCCGCGCAGCCAGTTGCCATCTGGCGTCTCTTCGATTATGTAAAGCTCATCGCCAATTTCGAGAGGGAGGTCGGCCGGGCTCGCGGCTTCGAATGGATAGGTCGCGACGGCGAAGGCGATCCGGGGAAGAGGCTGCCAGGGCATTGAAGCTCGGGATATTGGCCTCGTGCAAAAAGATGGTGTTGGTTGGAGTCGGGGGCAGCGATAATTATTCCGTCAGACGCAGCAGCTTGCTGATTGGCAAGGCTTGACGAAACAATGCGCTGGAGGACGAAAGTTGCGACCGCATCAAGCTTCGACGTTCGGCGCGAGAGAGCGGATATATCGTGGGATCTAGGTTGAGAGGGCTCAGTAAACAACGAGGCTCTGGGGCCAGCGGCGCGACCTACAGCAAGGGAAGGAAAAGTGAAGCAGACGGAAAGGTTCTAGAAGGCCAACGATTGTGTGCAGTTTGTTGCAAAACGCCGGTTGATGGGCGGCTGCCCGTTCGAGAACCCCTGAGCAAACACGAAGAAATTATGCACGCCGGCGGGAAAGATAGCGATTCGATAGCGCAAATAAAGCATCCGCCCAACGCTGATCAGAATGCAAGATGCGAATTCTATTACCAGGATGTCTCGTGCCGTCCAAGGCTTGCCAAAATGAACAAAAACGAAGGTGTAACCCAAACTCTCAAACAAGAAAAAAAAATGTGACAGACGGCTCAGCGAGGGGAAATTTCAAGGCCCTGCTTTGATGTCGTGTCTCTAGATTCGACAGAGGCGCATGGGCTCGTCTGGGCCGCCGCTATCAGGTACCAGAGGTCGGTCGTTGTAGCGGTGGTGGATGCCGGAGCCCCGCTGGCGAGGCCGCTAGGAGGCAGTGGTGGGCTCGTTGTACGGGGGGCTTGGGGGAGCTGGTACGGGGGTCTCTCCAGTGGATGCCCCCCAAGGGCGCGGACAAGGTTTTGGCTGCCAGGCACGTTTGTTCCTACATGCTTAGCTCGCGCGGCGAACGCGCCGCTGCTGCACAATGAACTCCATGGAGCTGCAGTCTTGGCCGCAGCCTCCTGTCGGTGCAAACTATAAACGGCCTGTGCCGCCAATCAGGCAGTGGTTGAGGCCATGGATCGGTTAAAAGCACGATAACACCGGGAGGAAAGTCTGGCCGTTGCGCAGCAGCAACATTTTAACTCCTTATTGCGCCACTCTTTTTATCAAATTGCATTCATGTATACATGTACCTACTCTCAGCACGTCCTTGTACAGACTTCAATCTCATCAACAATCTGTCGGTGCCGCTTTGTGCGAGCCCCGAGTTACGTGGATACACATGGCACAAGGGAGACGAGTACATTCGACATGTGGCATCTGAGTTGTTTCATATGTTCAGGTCTGCAGCTCATCGCTATAGCATAGCTAGCCTCAGTCTTGCAAGTGCATCTCTTTCTCACCAGGCCCATCACCCTGGGCATTTGGCGTTGGGATCCCCATCGAGCCAGCCCGCCGGGAGCACTCGTCTCCTTTCTGTTCTCCATATTGTAATCTCTCTAGGCACTCCGTATTCCGCAGTCGATCTTTTGATCTCTTACCCCTGACCCTTGCTGGCAATCAAACCCATCGCTTATCGATTATGTACTCCATGCAATGCACGTTCACATTGTACAGTAGCATTATACATTAGCAGTGTTTCGTATGAGTGCAAGTCTGTACGTGTAATGTTAATTGATCGAACCAGGTGTGCTCAGACCTCTATTAGGCTAAAGTGTTATAATTCCAAGGTCGTGCTACCCGTGAGCCTAAAGACGGTCTTTTTATAGCGAATCTTTAAATAAGTTTCGAGCGAAAACGGTCCTTGATGATGCCTAGATAATAATACAGAGTATTCAATGGTAATGTGGCATATTTTACCTGTCGCAATGAAACATTTACATTCAGGTAACCGTTGTTGCTTCAGTGTTATGTAGACATGTAATTAGTATCACAAATTCCATATCACAGGCCTCCACAATTTCAGCAAAAGTCCACAGCCAATGGGCAGAGTAGTAAACCGCCAAAACAGGGAGAAAAAGATGAGATAACACCCGATCCACAACATCAAAATGCTAGAATTTGGGTTGCTTTGTCGACAAACGTACCACATTCTGTGTTTGTAACAGACAGATGTGAGTAACAGCAAAGCTCGAAAATGCCATATGCACGCACTACATGTAAGCGCAGAAGACTGCATGAAAATCGATACACGTGTGATGACAGAATGAATACTGCGTGACGTCATAAGCATGAGTCAGTAAATGGGGACCGTGGTTTTATATCAACGTGTTGCTCAAATATGCTTGTATCTTTTGCTCTCATTGGAGCTGAGCATTAGCTTGGTTGCTTGGATATAGAGCTTCAAGTAAACATAACATCTACCCTCTGGCGCAAACCCCGAATCAAAGGGCTTGGAACCAGTTTATAGGGACAATAGGACTTTGCCTCTCTGAATCGAAATAGCCCTACGCACAAATTTAGATACACGTTCTTCCATGCGCAAAGCATCCCAGTGAACTGATACAGCGTCGCTTGGCTGTTTTAGTTCAAACGACGTGAAGCTCTAAATTGGCTAGTGGACTGATCGACAATGCGCCTACGTTTTAGGCCTATCACATTCACTTCACTCCAGCACCGGGTGACTGCGCTGTTGTCACCTCTCGCTCCAATATGAATTCACCTTTTTGCTGTCTATTATGACTCAAATAGAGATAAAAAGCCACGTGCATTGTGGCGGCACGTAGCATAAATTCCTAAGATTCCAAGAGCTTCCTATAGACCCACACTTCAGAAACACCAGCCTGTAACTTTGTTCTTTCCTCCTTTTTAAACCAGTGTCCTCCATCAAAGACAGGTTTGAAGAGCTGCATTCTGCATGATAAACGCCAAAGCCTAGTCATCCGTCTCTTCATCTTCACCACTCAAGGAATTCAAATCATCAACCCCCAAGCAACTCGCAATGGGAACGCCTTTCATTAGCCTCCTCGAGCCTAGCAATCTCGAAGGGTTCCGGCTAGGCATTCCCCGAGAGTCGCTTCCATCCACAATCCCAAAGACGTTCCTCGACGCCATGGAAGTTCGCGAAGAGGTCTTCGTCAAAGAGCAAGACGTCCCCAAAGACAACGAATTCGATGCTGATGACCCGCGATCGTGCCACTGGGTCATTTATGTCAGCGTCAATAAGACCGAAGTGCCAGAGATCAGAAATGAGCAAGGTGACATTGTGCGGCCGCGCAAGAGTTCCACTCGAAGCACTCCCGTAGGAACCATCCGCATGGTTCCTTTTCCCCATGAGCCTCATCCAAAGGCGGGTGGAGATTACTGGAATGGAGTATTGAAAGGCGAGGAAGAGAAAACTACCAACAACAGCGCACCGTCAGCTCGCCAGTTCGTTCATGATCGGCCAACGACATTTCACGATGGCAAAGAGCCGTACATTAAGCTGGGAAGATTGGCCGTTATAAAAGATTACCGTGGTTACCGCTTCGCAGGCCAGCTTGTGAAGAACGCCCTCGACTGGATCAAGAAGAATCCATCCTTTTTCGACCCGAGTATCAGGGAACTAGGCCTTGAGCAAATGGGGGCGTCTACAGAAACCGAGGCGCCGCAGTGGCGAGGTCTCATTTGCGTTCATGCGCAGGAGGAGGTGGCCAGTGCATGGGCAAGATGGGGATTCGAGGTTGACGAGGGCATGGGCAGATGGTGGGAAGAAGGCATCCCTCATGTGGGCATGTTTTTGCGTTTAGAGATTGGTCCCAAAGACATCCAACTCTTGGCGTAGTCGCCGCCAGCAGCAGCAATATACCTACTACGTAATAGCAGGGGGATAAAGGACGAAAGGAAACATGAGATGGCTGTGTATTAGAATAGAAATCACACTTCACAGACAGATAAAGAGCTCCCGCTCACAATTAACGAAAAAAAATTGATATTCCCTTTATTTGATGCCGTATGTTGCATTTTTGTTTTGGTCTCTCTCTTATAATCACAGATAAGAAAAGATATGGTAAATTAGAGACACAAAAGGCATGATTCATAACAGCCCCATTTTTGAGCCCAGATGTTTTTTTTGTATTCAGACTCTAGGAGCCATCTGAAATAAATCCATGTCCGCGTTCCCAGACCCGAACGCAAAATGCAATTCTGAAAAATGCCTGATCCACGCCAAAAGCCACACACTCCATCCAGCCAGGTACCCACCGCACAACCTTTATCGGTTGGACTTGGCGACACGCTCCAGCTCGTCCTTCTTCTTGATAGCGTATGAGTTGCTGCTGCCCTTGGCGGCGTTGATCAGCTCCTCAGCCAAGCACTCAGCAATGGACTTGACGTTTCGGAAAGCAGCCTCACGGGCACCGGTGGTGAGCAGGGCAATGGCCTGGTTGACTCTCCTCAGGGGGGAGACATCGACGGCCTGACGACGGACGGTACCGGCAGAGCCAATTCGGGTGGAGTCTTCACGGGGACCGCAGTTGACAATGGCGTCAACGGCAACCTGGATGGGGTTCTGGTCGGTCATGAGGTGAATCTGTAATGAGGCTTGTTATTAGTATCATGTTGTAAGAACCAGAGTAGAAATTGACAATCTTGTGTCATTCTTCCACACGGTTGCTGGAGGCGCGTAAGAGTACGTACGATCTCGAAGGCGTGGGCGACAATGCGGACAGCCATCAGCTTCTTTCCGTTGTTGCGGCCGTGCATCATCAGAGAGTTGGTCAATCGCTCAATGATAGGGCAGTTGGCCTTGCGGAATCGCTTGACGGCATATCGGCCGGCAGAGTGGGTGACGTAGACGGGGTTTCGCAGGGAAATGTAGTCGCTATTTGATCAATCCATCAGCACAAACTTGTTCTCCTCGAAGGGGTGGTTTTGGCGAAATATTCGGATTTTTTTTTCTGTCTTCCTATTTCGCCTCAATTTCGCAATGTATCGAAAACGTACGTCAGAGAGATGTCGCGGACCTCGACATCGTAGTCCCACTTGTTGAACAGCTTGACGTTGCCGACCTCCTTGACAACATCCTTGGGGAGGACGTCGGTCACGACAGAGTTTTCGATCTCGATTTCACCGCCGTCAGACATCTTGGCTAATTTGCAGTCGAGTGTTCCGGTGCTGGGGCGGGACTGGTTGTCGAGATGTGATTTTTCAAGAGGTTAAAGGCGGGCTTGGGCTGGCGTGGAATGGGAAATTTTGGTGGTGGGTGCGCCGGGCGAATCAGAGCGCGCGAAAAGTTAGGTACGTACCCTGCACCCACGTTCGGTTAGGGCTCGGCTGCCCTGGTGCATTCGGAAGTGGGCAAACCGTTGAAGCGGGAGGGCTACTCTAAGTCTTTGGCAAAAATTCCCATTTTCCTCTACCACTCCTCTGTCACCAAGCTAAGCACATCACAGACAAAATGGTATGCCATCACCACCATCGCCGCCGTCGCCGACCATGATTGAGACGGGATCGCTATGCAGAGATGCTGATGTTGTGAAACTCATAGGCGCCCGCTGCTGGAGCAAAGAAGCAAAAGAAGAAGTGGTCTAAGGGCAAGGTCAAGGACAAGGCCCAGCACGCCGTCATCCTCGACAAGACCATCTCCGAGAAGCTGTACAAGGATGTCCAGTCTTACCGCCTCGTCACCGTCGCTGTCTTGGTCGACCGAATGAAGATCAACGGCTCCCTCGCCCGCCAGTGCATCACAGACCTCGAGGAGAAGGGCATGATCAAGCCGGTCATCACCCACAGCAAGATGAAGATCTACAGTACGATTCACCCAAGCTACCTGCCTCTTTGTCGCGCACAATAAAAGGATAACAGAATACTAACAATTGCGCAGCCCGTGCCATCGGCGAGTAAATTTACCACCATATTTTAAAGTTAAAGCATTGAGATTTGGGCGCCTGGTTGGTCTGCAAAGAAGGAAAAAGGGCCATGTGAGAAGAGGATGATATGAGGTACATACAAGCCTTAGTTGGGACGCTTTTTTCATGCTCGGTGTAGCATTTCATGGGATCGGAAACGCTTTAGCATATGGCTACGGAATGAAGAACTTCAAAAAATGACCAAACTGACGCAACCTGCCCAACAACCGTGTGACGCACATAACTTGGTTGCGAAATTAATGTGACGAGTCTGTATTAGAATACTATCAGTTCATTACTGCTACCAAGTTAGAAATCCGTGTTATCAATCACATGGACGAATGCGTCTCATCTGTCATTAGAATGTACTCAGTACCGCATGTCAAAATGCGCTGCATGCCATGCGATATGTCTTGAAATATGCCCCAAGTATGTGACATTTCACCTTGGCTCTCTTCACTTTTTTGCTATACTATATACTACAACTTGCCATGTAAGAAACGCCATTCAGAGAATACTCTCAGCTTATAAGCAATTGTAATCATTTGAAGCACTTTAATCGTTGTTCCGGTAGTTTATAGTGCCTTTACAGATTACACTCATTACATTCATTATTTCACGAATGTGGTGTTCTCGTAGTAGCGCTGGATCTTGGCGCTGTCAACCAGCTCTCATTGGGTGTTGACCAATTGGACCTACCAGTCTGCAAGTCACGCCCTTAGCCCTTCTCCGCCCTCTTTTCCCTTCTAGAGGCTGAAGCACGTGAAACTTCAAGGTTGTTCACAATGGTAGACTTAATGTATCTGCTTCATATTGACGGCCAAAGTGCCAACAACAAACACAGCACTCGTATTGTAGTGTATGTTCTCCATGTCACCGAGTTTTACATGTCAAGAATTTGAATTCGCTTAAGCAAGCAACATGAAGTCTGCAAGTCCCATGCCAGCCAACTCCTGTTAGCAAAGCTGGTTGTTTTCCACCTGATGCGGCACCACTATCAAGGTCCACATCCTGAGGCAGTTATGCGAGGCCACGTCTGCTCAAGAACGAATGCGGACTTGAAGCACGAGTCTCATTACGGAATGGGGAAGACTTGCATTCTATTCTTTTTTATTTTCCACACGCATGGCGTATTTATTTTTTAGCAGAGGTGGATGTGCAAGAAGTGATAGTTTCGAGAGAGGTTTCTTCGCCCCGGTGCCCCTGATAAGGGTCTCTTGTAGATACTACGCACCGGCAATGCTGGAACTAAGGCCGATAGTGCCCATGTCTGCTGCTATCAAGGCTGGAGTCTTCGGCCTCCCTGAATCGGTGGAGCCGGAGTATGCGGGATGGCTTCCCACGGCCGGTCAGATCGGCGTCAACGGTGTGGCAATACACGAGAGAAGAACGTCTACGGGATGGCAGCGTTCTTTGCCTCAGACCTCAGACCTCGGACTGTAGAGCACCAGCCCGGCATGTCCGCTAAGCCCTGTCCTTCAAATCCTGTAAGATAAGTTTTTCTTCTTATGACCACTTATGACCACCTTGGAGATTTAGGGCGCGTTGGCTTGTGACCTAAGCATTGGTGCCATATGATGGCTGCAAGGCCCAAGACTGTGCGGCTAAAACGACGAGCTATATTTGTACGTCTCGCATTTCCACTCTCCCTTGCCAGCTGGACTTGCAGGTCAGTATGGAGTGGCTGCTCCTGCCACACGAGAGTCCATTGTAAGGCGGTGACGACCACTGTTACGCTCCATGTCCCTAACATACGGAGCACGGGGCAAGCTGATAGACACTGCCATCGTTTTAAGGGTGCCTCGGCGACGCCAGGAATAGGCAGGTTGGACATTTGCACTGGCGGGTGGCTTCGGCGGCACCAAAGATCGGGGCGAATCGGGTATGTGTAAACAGGGCAGTCGCGCTGTGGCACAGCACAGTGCAGCCCAAAAGGGAGTCGAGAGAAAAAATTCTAGCAAAAAATTGGCGCAGATCTCCTGGGCGCCTGAACGTGCCAACTCCGGGGGCGTTAGGCTGCTGGCACGGCCCCTACGCGATCGTTTTGCCTGAGGCTGCAAGAGGCTGCCACCTGCTGTAGCGCTGCGCTTCGTTGCCGTGGAAGGCAAAAGCAGCGCGGCCCAGCCTGCAGCGCTAGTGCGGCCGGAAAGATTCGCTCTGAAAAAAAAAAAGTGTCCCCTTGGAGACCCGCCGCAATTTTTTTTCCCTCCCCCGAAAAGCCATTCGCCCGTCGGTGCAGAATTTATTTCGCTCGACTCCCCCCATCATTCTCCTCTTCTTCCTTTCATCTCCATCTCCCCTCAATTCTTTCTTTTTTTCCGGGAAAGCGTGTATACCTCAGTCACAATGTCTGGCGAGAAGCAAAAGGTCCTGGGCATGCCGGTAAGTCGACTCTGCCTCAATCGTCCCCTCCAGAAAAAGCGCGCTCTTTGAGATTCCGAGACGACTCCGAGAGATAGTTGGCCAGCATCGTCAATTGAACCATCTGGATGACATTGAAAATGTTGCCTATCGATGGCTATCTGGGCCTCACTCTCAGTCTCGAGCGATTTTCCAGAGCGTGTTTGGGATGGAAAATTTTTTCTCGCCCAGATCTATCCATGTGTATCCTGACCGCTAACTCCTTGCCTCACAGCCCTTCGTTGCGGACTTCCTGAGTAAGTCATTCTTCGATGCCTAAGCGGCTTAGCATAATAGATACTCGCGTTCGTGTGAGATTTCAAGAGATGGGACTGACATACTGTGAACAGTGGGTGGTGTTTCCGCTGCCGTCTCTAAGACCGCCGCTGCCCCCATCGAGCGTGTCAAGCTTCTCATCCAGAACCAGGTTTGTCTCCCCATACATGATCAATTGATTCCTGGAAACCCTTTTCTCTAATTATTGCAATAGGATGAGATGATCAAGGCTGGCCGTCTTGACCGCCGCTACACTGGCATTGGCGAGTGCTTCAAGCGCACTGCTGCCGATGAGGGTGTCATGGCCCTGTGGCGTGGTAACACTGCCAACGTCATCCGATACTTCCCTACCCAGGCCCTGAACTTCGCTTTCCGTGACAAGTTCAAGAAGATGTTCGGCTTCAAGAAGGAGCGTGATGGCTACGGCATGTGGATGCTTGGTAACCTTGCCTCCGGTGGTGTAAGTTTTTTCCTCTTTGATCCTGGCAAATAACCCCTCAATTTCACATGCTCAGTTGCTGACGCCCTCCACCAGGCTGCTGGTGCCACTTCTATGCTTTTCGTCTACTCTCTCGACTACGCCCGTACCCGTCTCGCCAACGACGCCAAGTCCGCCAAGAAGGGCGGTGAGCGTCAGTTCAACGGTCTCGTTGATGTCTACCGCAAGACCCTCGCCTCTGACGGTATTGCCGGTCTCTACCGTGGTTTCATGCCCTCCGTCGCTGGTATCATCGTCTACCGTGGTCTTTACTTCGGCATGTACGACTCCATCAAGCCTGTTCTCCTCGTCGGTAACCTCGCCAACAACTTCCTTGCCTCTTTCGCTCTCGGATGGTGCGTCACCACTGGTGCCGGTATCGCTGCCTACCCTCTGGACACTATCCGACGACGAATGATGATGACTTCCGGTGAGGCCGTCAAGTACAAGAACTCCTTTGATGCCGCCCGCCAGATCATTGCCAAGAACGGTGTCAAGTCCCTGTTCAACGGTGCTGGTGCCAACATTCTCCGTGGTGTTGCCGGTGCTGGTGTCCTGTCCATCTACGATCAGCTCCAGGTCCTCCTCTTCGGCAAGGCCTTCAGCGGTGGCTCTGGTTAAATTGCTTTTTCTACGTTATGTATAGACATTCTTCGTGCGTTTTACCTCGGAGATGGGTTTAATTGGCCAGGTGGGTGTAATGCGGCGTCCACTGGTTGATAAAAAAGGAGACCGGAATGGAAGGTATTGAGGGAAGTTGGGCCAGATATCCCGACCTGTGTAACAGTTGCTCTTTGCGGGTAAGACTGGCATCGGCACGGCGTATTACTAGTCGTTTTTGACTCTGCCGTGCTTTCTAGGTCACTGTAATTATACACCAATGCAAGTTCCCTTGATTTAGAGATTTTCAAACAACAAGGCTTCGATACAATCGCAATGTGACTCGTGCAATGTCTGTGAAATAGTTTTTTTTTTCTACTGCAGCGGTGATATTCTGGGCTTCGCAGTTTGCGCGTGTGTTGCTGACTAAGATTGCCTGAGGTACCTACATTCTTCGTGCTTGCAGTGGGATGGAAGCATGCTGAACTCTTACCTCTCAAGCGGCTTCTCTGTTATCTGTTTGTGCCTATATTTCCTCCAACCACGGCGGCTCGGTTTGCTTGTATTCGAGCGGCCTTTGCGAACTGTAGCGAAGCAACACCCTGAGTGTGCCAATGCCGCCCAAACAAACAACTGGGGCTGGTCGTGGCAGGCCAGCCAAAGCCAGCAAAGCTCGACCGCCTGCTCGCGATGCCTCGGAGTCTAGCAACCCATTCGAGTCTTCCGATGATCAGGCAGAAGAAGCGAACCAAACAATCAACGTGGAAGAAGAGCCAGAGCCAGAAAAGCTAATCCCGAAAGCCCTCCTGACACGGATTCTCCACGAGCTGTTCGCCAAGGAGGCTACAAGAATGTCGAGAGACGCCAATGCAGCGGTAGGCAAGTACGTGGATGTGTTCGTCCGAGAGGCGATTGCGCGAGCGGCTGTGGAAAAGCGAGGCGGGTTTCTAGAGGTAAGCTTATGCCGAATGATTTATACCATGATCATCACTCTAGTGAGAACAGACAATGCTGACTGCTTCCTTTAAAGGTCGAGGATCTGGAAAAGGTCGCGCCCCAGCTGCTGTTAGATCTCTAAGGGGGTATATAAAACGATCTAATTTTGCCACGAGCCAACTGTCATTACCCAGATTGTGGGAAACAACATATACGTACATACATACCTACTTGTCTCGTTACCATCATTACGCCGTTCCTGCGAGCGACTTAGTGTGTGTATGTGTGTGTTCTGGACCCTGCTCCTCTTCTCCCCTTCCCCGGGGTATCATCTCGGCTATGACAAGATCCATGAGCCTACACGTGTTGCGCATTGTCTTTTTATTTCGGCAGACATAGTCCCCCGCAACCATTTCACGCTGCAACCGGATATCGAGGCCAAATTACTGCCGGTTGGATGCCTCTAGCTTCCTTTCCTCTGAAGGGGGGCCCTGCGAGGGAAGACGTCCTGCATGAAACGCAATGTTTCCGGTGTTAGTTTGATGCATAATCGTCTGTCTAAAAAGATGCATACGTTGAATACGTAATCTCCGACTCGTATCTTCCTTGGTGTGGACATGTTCTTGATGGATTTTCCACAAAAGAAACGATCGTCCTCTAAGCTGGGAATGGACGCTCAACGTGATATATCTCGGCTTATATGAGAGAGAGAAATGAAAAGAAAAGGCCCTGGAACTCTTCATTTTCAGGCGATTTTATATACAATGTCAATGCCACTACACGAGACCTCAAACTTACGACTGCATATTGGCAACCAAATACCTAGCTCGATCAAAAACCGCTGCAATTCAGCTGAAGCGCAGACTTTTCCATCTTTGTCTTTTTTTCAAAACGGATCTCGAGAAATGTTTTAATTTCAAGCGCAGTGAGTTGCTGTCTGCCCTGGCTGTTTTGGCAGAGCGCGGATAGTGGCTTGTCCGGGTGGATGGCGGTCGGTTACTAGACCGTTTCACCAGGGTGCGGGTAGCTTGGATTTCTGCGGATTCGATGTATACAGCAGGGGTTTTGTGGCGTCTACAACTCTACCTGGCCAATTGACGATGGCACTTTGACGCCAACGACATCGGGTCAAAAAAGAAGGAAAAAACTAATTACGTACGGGTCTATTCTCGATAACAGATGGAAGATTGTTTCAAAGCTGTTGGAAACATCCAGCTATCGACATGGAATTGGGCAGCGAGGCCATGCGGCTCCTTTGGCTGAACTGAAACCACCCACGTCTCGCTTGTGTCGGAGACGCTCGACATGAAGCAGCTTCAACGCCAGACCCCGGCCCTGGCCCCCCCAAATTAGGTGTGGCGCGACCTGCCTGCAACGAACGCAATTCCGGGAGCAGCTCTGCCCGGCGCATGACAGCTAGGCAGCCTGAGAGATTGATCTCATTAGGCCTCTCAGGGCTATTGCCAGTGCCCCATGGCGAGGAGCGCTGCTATCCGAAGCTGGCGAGCCACCTGGCTGGCTTCAGGGTCCGTCTGCGGGCCAAGTTGAGGTTAGCAAAGATGCTTACAGCTGGGATGGATCGAAGTGGACGGCATGCCTTGGTACTTGTATGGATTGTTCCTGGGGCACGGCGTTTCGCGTTCCCGATTGAGCTGCGCCCATGCGTCTGGACCCAAGCCCCGAGTCCAGCGTCTATGGCCAAACGACTCTCATACACGCTATGGGCGGCGCTCAACTGAAGCCATGCCCCGTGGTTTGAGGAGTTGTGATGGGCGCCTCCTAGCCCACGACCACGATCCCCGTCGCCAAGGTGCCTGGACGCTAATGCCGACGGCGAGAGAGACGAGCCTGGAGATTAAAAGCCTTCATGTTTCCGTTTCTTTTGTTTCTTGCTTCTTGCAACCATCGTTCTTCTGTTTGTCCGTGGGGTTCCTTTTGTCTCCTTACTTTCTCTTCTCTTCTCTTCTATCCAGTTTACATTTGCACAATTCAGAGGCTAGTCCTTTGCTGGTTCTATCGCTTTTCAACTTTTCCTTCTTTAACCTATTCAAAAAAACACTAATCTTGTTTTTTTCAATTCCTTTCCCTTTTATCTCTCGCTCTCTTTGGTTTTATTTGGGAAGTCTGGTACTTTCTCTCTTTAAGGCCGGCCTATTCTTCAGAACAAAACAAAAACCAAAAATTCAAAAAACCTTTTTTCAAGATGCAATTCAAGTCTCTCCTCGTTGCGGCTTTGGCTGCTGTCACTCAGGGTAAGCCGACTTATAGCAAGCAGCATTGATACTGCTTAGACCATCAAGCTAACATTTCCCTCGTTTTAGCCGTTGACGTCCAGGTCGTCTCCGTTGGTCAGAACCCCATGGCTGGTATGGCTGGTCAGCCTGCCACCAAGTACTACCCGGACAACATCAAGGCTGCTCCCGGTTCCATGGTCCAGTTCCAGTTCTGGGCTGGTAACCACACCGTCACACAGTCCGACTTTGACCACCCTTGCACGCCCATTTCCCAGGTCAACAGCTCTGTTGCCGGCATCTGGTCCAGCTTCATGCCCGTTGCTGCTGGCGCCGCCAAGAAGGAAATCCCCGTCTTCACCGTCCAGATCAACGACACCAAGCCTATCTGGATCTTCTGCAGCCAGGGCAAGCACTGCTCAGCCGGCATGTCCATGGTGATCAACGAGAAGTGAGTGTCCTTTGGTGTAATCGCAATCAAACCAAAATACTAACAACAAGCTTGCAGCACTTCTGCCAACTCCACTCGTTCTCTTGCCAACTACAGGACTGCTGCTTCCACTGCTCAGGGCGGCTCTTCTGGCTCTGCTCCCAGCTCTGGCTCTGGCTCTGGCTCTGGCTCTGGCTCTGGCTCTGGCTCTAGCTATGGCTCAAGCCCAAGCTCCGGTTCCAGCCCCAGCCCCAGCTCTCCTGCTGGATCTGACGCCAGCTCTGGCTCCGGCTCTACTCCCACTGACGGCGCTCCTGCTGGAGCTGCCCCTACCGACGCTCTCACACCTCCTCCCTCAGTCACCACCGGCGCCTCTTCACCCGCTGGTACTGGCGTTCTTCCCGGCGGTGCTACTGACACTGGTATCCCCAAGAACGCCGCCTCATCTGTCAGCGTTTCCACCAGCTTACTGCTGGTTCTTGGTGCTGCTTTTGCCCTGCTATAAATGGGAATGGAGTGACGACATGACGTGGGGAATGTTCTATAAAAAAAGCGACGACGATCTGTAATACCATTTTTGGGGGGCTTTAATTCGTATATGCATCTTCCTTGCAAGCAAGGGGTTTTTTATATTTTAACTTTTTTTTCTCTGGAGTGGGATGGATGTAATCTGTTCCCTTAGGTTTTTATGAAATGGGGGAGGACAACAAGAGTCCTGGGTTAAAACGCATGCTAGGGACCATGTGTGTAAATGTATCTGGATACCTTTTTAAAATTTTGAAGTTGTTTCTATACTTTCTTTTTTGTGCCTCGTGATCAATTGGTTAAACCGATGCGTCGAAGCCATAGCGATTGTTAAGCATTGCCAGTGTCGTATGACGCACTTCAGGTAAGACATGATAACGTAGAGAGGTTCAGAACGGATACTTTGGATTGATCAAATGAATACTCATAAAAAAAAAGCTTTATGTTCACGCTGTCTCGCTTGTATACCTCTTTTTCAAGTCTAATATTCGCTGTTGCGGTTCTTTCTCTTCGACCTGCCCTGCTGAGCAGCCTCGCATAGTTTCTTCCTGGGCTCCTTCTCCAGCCATTTCTCATCCTTCTTCACATACCCCACCTTGTGATACTTTTTGCTGTTTGCAAAGAATTTCACCCAGTTGGCCAGCGCATCATCAACCTTCTTCAGCGCATCAGCCATCTCCTTGTCCTTCATCGCCTTCATCTCGGCCGTGGTCCATTGGGCGTCCACCTCGGGGTCGTCCAGCGGCAGGAACATATCCTCCACGCCTCGCATGTCCGGGGTGCGGTCCTCGGCGAAGCAGCCCGTGACGAAGCCGCGGGCGGCGTCACAGCCCGCAAAGTAGCTGTATGGGCCTCCCGGGCCGTACATTTTGCGGCCGTTGGAGACGTCGTAGATTGTGCCGTTGAGAGCAACGTAGACAGGCTTGGAGGCGTCTTGGCCGTCATAGCCGGCGAGCTGCTCGGGCGTCAGATAGAGCGGACCTTGCTATATAAAGGTAGTTGGTTAGCAACGGTTTATACGTCTCTTTCGAAGTAAGACCATATATAGGTACCATCTGAGCTTTCCACCAGTCTACCCGCATGTAGTTGGGCTTGTTCTTCATGCCCCAGAAGAAGCTCTCGCCATTGCTGATCCAGTAGCTCAGTGCACATGATGCCACGAACAGGAAGCTGATTACGCGCAAGACGTCGACCCATGGAGACTCGGCGTCTGTCTCGCGGATCTTTGACTTTGTGCTCTTCTTGGCCTTGGGTGCTTGGACAGGTTCTTCAGCATCCTGCGGCTTCCGCTGGCGCAGTTCCGAGTCCGCCATGATTGACAGAGTGTATTATTGTTGGCCTCGGGATTGAACAAGTACGGCAGCAGTTGATGCTTTTAAGTAAGAACAATGTCAAATCGTGGCCGAATCCCACTGTTGGCGGGATCGGGACAAGCAAGCTCCCGCTGCTGACGCTTTTAAGGGAGCTGATTGGTCTGTTTTAGACACCCGGGGGGTCGTCTGTAGACTCTTGCAGTTTTGCTTGCAGAGGCGAGAAAACAATGCAAGAGGCTGTGGCTCAACAGCGGCTACAGCCACCCCCAGCGTCAGCAGTGTGCAAAGAGTGCGCAAATTTCCTAATCAGGATTGGGCACTGTTAGACGGGGCGTCGCCACGGCAACGGCGCCCACTTGGCACCATCTTTGTGGTTGGAAATTGGTAAACAGCGTCGGCACCTTATTATTACCAAGCCCACAACCGCATGACCCTGTCCTGCACGGAGTAAGGCCCCAGCATTTTTCGGCTCGACACATCACCACAGCCAGCCTGCACAAGCACAAAAACTTGCCTGTGACACGCCGGATCCCGTGGAGGGACCAGGACGCAGCGCTATATAATTCGACGCCGCCACACCACACTCGCACCCACCGCCTGCCGTACGGCATCAACCGGCAAATGGAAGAGCTTTCGTCTCAACCCAACTCCCCCGCGTCCGCTGGTGGACCCCTCCAGATGGCATCGCCCGACCGCGTGAACCAGCGCCGCGACATCTTTGCCAGCGTTCGCCCGGTAGCCGGAGACGGAGGCCGCGACAGCACGGTGCACGACAAGATCAGCCAGTTTAACAGCCTCAGCATGAGCATGCAGTCCCGGCAGCTGGAGCGCAAGAGCGCCGATGCGGCGCTTAAGCGAGCCATGTTGGGGCGCGAAGAGGCCGAGGCCGAGATGAAGCGCCTGAAGGAGGAGGCGCGAGTCTTGCGGCAGGAAATCGAGGAGGGCAAGGAGCGGGAGAGGAGAGTTGGCGAGCGATTGGAAACCATCATGGTAAGCAAATAAGTCCACTACTACTAATCAGCATCATCGCGACACTACGTCACCGTGCAGCATACCTATCATGTGTATGTTTCTCTGTCATGATGGCTAGCTAATCGCGCCGTGTCAATCAGGAAAACTATGGACGCGCCAAGGAGACACATGCACACACCGAGGCTCTCTGGGAAAAGGAAATCAGACGTGCGAGAAAAGAAAATTTCAAAGCCCAGTCGACCATTGTCAAACTCCAGGAGGATCTCAAAAACACCCGCGCCGCAACCAAATTGGTCGAAGAATCGCTACAACATGAAAAGGATCGCTGCCATGCTCAAGAGCAAGAGACTAAAAAAGCTCAGGCTACCATTGCCCAGCTGCAGGAGGAGATGATCACTCACAGCGCCGAGACCAACTCCATCGAAGAATCGCTACAGTACGAAAAGGATAGGTGCCAGGCTCAGGAGCAAGAAACTCTAAAGGCGCAGGCCACCATTGCCAAACTTGAAGAGGAGATCAAGGCCCATAGCGCCGAGAACAACTCCATTGAAGAATCGCTGCAGTATGAAAAAGATAGGAGCCAGACCCGAGACCAGGAGCTCTTCAAGGCCCGATCTACCATTACTAAGCTCCATGAAGACCTCAAAACTGCCCGCGGTGCCACAAAGACTGCTCAAGAGTCACTGCTTAAGGAGAAGGAAAAGACTCGCGCTCAAGAGCATGAAATTTTCGAAGCGAAATACCAAGTTAGCAGCTTACAAGATCAGCTCGAGCAAGCACTTGAGCGGATGAAGCTGGTGGAACAGGAGCGAGATGCCTACAAGACTGCCGCCAAGAACGAGGAAGTTGCGCGTCTTGCTGCAGAGGGACGCATTCCTCTGCCTGCGGAGGAATCCGATAACGAGTTTGCGTCTCCCCCAAGAAAGAGAAGAATTGGATCGACAATTAGGTGCAAAGACCCCCGCGTCTCTCTCTCCACCATGGAAGTCGTCTCGTCGGCTTCTCTTGAGCTAGAGCTCGAGGACCTTAGTGAGCAGGTGCAGTGGGAAAGGCAGAGAGCCGACCGAGCTCAAGAAATGATTGAGTTTATGCAGGCCGAGTGCCAGATGCACTGCTGCCCTGCCTCCAAGTCTAAACGCCGAACTAGCATGTTGGCCATGCAGCTCCCTCGCGCTTCTCCTCAAAAGTCGAGGCTTTCTTTGGAGGCCACCATCCAGGAAGAGAGGAGCGCACCTCCTGAACATGCCCCCTCGCCCGCCCAGCAGCAGGAGTTGAAGCCGGCAAAGGTGAGGAAGGGCGCAAGGCGGAGCACCGTCTTTTTGCCCCAGGAGGGCGTCTTCCGCACGGTATCCGAGCAAGAGGCCATTGAGCTAGAAGCTCAGCGCAAGGCGGAGATTGTGATTGAGGCTCACGAAGAGACTGAGCCGGAGTTGTCTCCCTCCAAAGGAAAACAAGAGGCACATCAACGTACGTTTGCGAGAACACCACCTGTCGAGCCTTCAGCCTATGATTTTGCCCCAAGCAGAGCATCCCTGATGTCGCTCATCGACACTCCGCGAATGAACGCTCAAGCTGACTCTCTGCCAAATTTGCATAGCATCCCGACGGTTTCTGACCACAACTCCGCACAAGAGGGGTTAAAGCGATACTTGGCAGCGGTAGCAGAAGACGAGATGGATGTGAAGCCCGAGGTGGTGCCAGAACCAGAACCATTCAGCTTGCCTCAGAAACGTCCATCTGCTGGCTCGTCTCGGTCTTCTTCAAAAGCCGTCTATACTGTGACGACTACAGTCCCACTTCAAGACGAACGATCCTCCAGCTCAACTTTCAGCCAGAGAATGCGAACGGCATCCAGCAGCAGCAGCGCGAGCTTCGACACGACTGATCCGGCAATGGACCCCACTATGACTCGCGAAGAAGCCCTGGCCAAGATCCAGGAGAGGAGAGGACGTGCTAGGAGTGTGACCAGAGGCACGGCTCCATCGCAGAGCCGGCCAGCGTCTGCTATGAGCCGACCAACGTCTGCTATGAGTCGGCCAGCATCTGTTATGAGTCGGCCAACCTCTGCCATGAGCCGAAGAGACCAGAGCAGGATGGGCAGAGTTGGAAGCAGGTCCAGGTCCAGAAACTCATGAAGCTTTGCCTCTTCTTCTTCTTTTCATTTTACATTTTTTTCCTCTTTGGGTTTACATATTGAAAGGTACATAAAGGATGGTTCATAGGCCGGTATGGGTTGGCTTTGGATGGAGTTTTTACGATATCAGGAGGAAGAGTCGTCACCACCACTCACTCACCAGTTTCTGTTTTTTTGTTTTTCTTTCATTTACTGTTCTTGATTGAGTCTTTCTCTCCTTCTTCTCTCTTGTCGTTCTTATTTCCACTTTTTCCACTTTTTTCCTTGTACATTCTCTCTCATTATTGCATCATACTGTTTATAACAGGAAAAAGGGGTGGATGGATGGGACCAAATTTGAGCGCTGGCGAAGAAGGTGTTTTTGGATGTCGTTTTTGTTGTTGTATTGGTTTTCTAGGTTTTGCATTTCTTTTTTGCATGTCTTTGATAGGTTGTTCTTGACATGAAAACAATAGGATGAAGGCTTTTCGCTCCTATTCTACGTATTTCAGTAGATTTCTTTGACTGGCTTTCTCTCTGCATGTATGGCGTTATGATGTTCTTGATGTCGATTCCTAAATTGCATGTTTAGGCGTTTATTATTCGTTGTATTAAACTCTGTTCGTTCATGTCGAGCCAGTACGAACGTGTCAAACTTGACGTATATGCTTCAAAAAATCCCATGGGGTTCGATTTTACCATTGAAGAAAAACTCCTTATCCTATCCATTGCTCATACTCATCAACGCGCTATATATACAACGAAGAGACTATCCATCTCTCTTCCTAAATTTTCATATTCTAAAAACTAATAAGAAAAGAAAAGATATTTGTTTAATCACCAAGGAACTTTCTCATCTTGTTCCTCCCCCTCTCCGAGCTCACAGCATCAATCTTGACAGCCACAAACACGCACTCAAGCGCACTCTTGCCACCCCTGCTCTCCTGAATCCGCAGCCTGAACTGGCTCGTCTTGACGGCCCATTCCTGGCCCTCGCTGGGAAGACCGCCGGCGGCGTCCTCGATGCCGTCATCTTCGGTCCGTCGGCGCTTCCTGGGATTTCGGGCGGGTTCAACGTCGGTTGTGGCGGTAGGGGCGTCTTCGGGCGGCGAGTAGTTGCTCAGGTCCTCGCCGTATTCTTCGCCGTCGAGGGTGACTGAGGATTCGGCCTCGAAGATGACTCGGACGAGGTCCTCGCTGAGGGGGGTGTGTCCCGGCGTGGGTGGTTGTGAGCTGGCGCCCCCGGAGGCCATGAGGACGCCCAATGGTTGTGTAGTCAGGGGCAGACTGAGCTTTGTTGCAACCACTTCGAGGAGTTTGGCCACCCTGGTTTTCGTGCGCCCAAAGAATTCTGCCTTGACGCCGCTGGCGGAGAACTTGAGCATCGTTGTCGTCTCTCCAATCTCCAATATCAGCTCGGCCGGTTTGCTGTCTACGTATGGGCGAGCGTAGTTGACGTGTCGACCGCCGTCGCTGACTTCCTCGGCCGGTGGAACACTGACACCGCTCTTTTGTACATTTTCCAACCGCAGGATAATCTCGTCGATGAGGCGCAAGGGATTGAAGCTGATGGCATGGGGGATGAGCTGCTGCTCTATACCCTTGAAGTGGAAATATCGAGCGTCTCGGAGGAGTTCTTGGCGATGGTTTTCGTCGCGGATATTGACGGGATACCCGCGCAGCAGCCGCAGCAGCTCGGCAAAGGTGTCGGCGTTGCGATTAGGCACCGACGGCGGGAGAATAGACGGCGGGCGTATCAGGCCCTCGCGGTCGAGGCCGGGGAAGAGGTCGTTTGGCTGGGAGAAGAAGAGGGCGAAGCCGAGAGAGAAGTAGTTGGGCGAGTTGGCGGGGTCGTTGAGGACGTCGCGAGGGATCTGGAATTCGCGATGGCCGATGGACATGAAGATGCTCTCTTCGTTGAGTTGAGAGATGAGCTTGGGGACTAATCACGGAGTCAGTCAGGCACTAACCTTGCCGTATAAACGTGTGATATTCTGCCGAGGAAAACAATAAACATACGGTTATAGAACTGAGCGTCTGCAAACAAGCGCACAAAGTGCGTCCCGTCTCGTGGTATCACATAGTATCCCTGTAGATGCAGCGCAATGTCTCGAAAGGTCTGCGGGTCGCGATCGATGTAGAGCGTCCGGATCGAGGTACTCGGGTCCTCGCCCTTTTGCTCGGCCGACTGGATCTGGCAAAGAAAGTATTGCGAAAAGTAGGACGGAGCTGTAGTTGTGCAAAACACATCATCAAAAGAGAGTTAGCCATCAAAACAAGCAATAGTTCAAAGCTCGAGGCCTTGGTCGAGGAGCGCAACAACGAACCATCGGATGAGAGAGATGCGCCAGACAGCTTAAACAGCTCCCCGCCAATCTGGATCGGAAAGACGCGCTCCCGCGGCAGGATCTGCGGAATCTTGTGAACGTCGACGCCGTGCAAGGGCAGCGCGGGCGGCGCAGAGTTGGGCGCCTCGCTCGGGCTCGCTGAAAGCATCGCTGCGGCCTCTACTGGCGAAGCAGCGGAGATGGACGAGGCAGAGACCGACATGCTGGCCGCTCCACCAGCCCTCGGGGCTTTTATACGAGCAACCGCCCTTGTTTGCTTATTATTTCCTTTTTTCCTCCTCCTCTCTCTCAGTCTTCTCTCCTCGAAGCTGGGCCCGTGTTCGCGTTTGGCAGCTTACAGCTTGCAGGCGGCAATTGCGGGTGGCAATTGCGGTGCGGTCGAGAGGGATGTGGGGAGTCCCGAAGCTTCTTGGGTATGTGTGCCTGGATCCCGGATCTGTGGAAAATGGTAGAACGATTGGCGATGTGTGTAAGGATGTTTGTTGTTCGCCGGTCCAGGTTGGTAAGACGAAGTTCCTGCTGTGGCTTGGAATGGAATCGTGGAAAATACGACGGCGCTATACCATCACCCAACCACCCCCCCGGCTGTACTTTCAGGTGCCGATTCGATAAGCCTCACCAGGACCGTTCGGGTGGCAGCGCCCCATAGCTGTGCTGGGAATTGACCGATGAGGCAAAAAAGCCGATAAAGAGAGAGCCGACTGGAGTGTATACGGGGAATGGCTTCTCGCAGGTCGTGCGTTGTTACGGAGCCTGGGTACCGTCGCTAAGGTAGCATGGGAAGGCTAAGGGCCTAGTGCCGAAGGGAAAAAAAGACCGTAGCGATTGATTGTTTGATTGCCAATACGCGCGCGTGTTGTGACGTAAGGGACGTAAGGGACCGCAAGATTTCCCAGGGACCTCTCCAGGCGGAAGCCGAGGCGCCACACGACTTACACGGTGAGCATTATCAATCAGCGACTTCAACGCATTGAGTAGCATTCGTGCTATTTATGAAATCTTTCATTCTTCATTAACAGAAACATGCCATTACAGCAACATGACTGAGCCCTTGATCATGCAATCATTGGTATTCACATTCACTTGCTCATCAGCTCCACCCCTCCTCGCACAACGCCCACCACCGCTCCCGTCTGCACCATCTCGCTGGCCCCTCCAGCAACGCGGTGCTCAATCTCCGCCAGCCCTGCCAGCCAGGTGATCATGACCTCTGCATTCACCTCCAGCTTCGTCAGCTGCTCCATCACCGCCGTGATGATGTCGGCCAGCGCCAGCCCCTGCGTCGTCTTCAGCGCGTTGATGGTGTTGAGGCAGCTCGTCACGTCCGGCGTGCTCAGCAGCGTCTCGACAATCTCCTTGACGGCCTCGGGCTGCGGCGCCGCAATGCAGTTGTAAATCGTCTCCGTCGTAATCGTCTCGCGCTTGATCTCGCTCTCCGGCGGCTTGGGCTCGTTCTTTAACCTCAAGGGCGTGCCTGTAACATGATTCCAGTCAGCTTTTCTATCCCCTCGCCCGTATCATGCAATTTCTTGATTGAATGCCAGCAAGACTCACTTGATGCATGGCACGCTTGAAGCACGTTCAGTGCCCGTCGCATGTCGCCCTTGCTCAGCTTCACCAGCGCATCCACAGCCTCGCCCTGAATCTTGACATTCTCCTCCTCCACCACCTTCTCCACCAACACCCTGATATCCCCTTCCTTCAACGGACTGAATCGGAATCTCGTACAGCGAGACAGCAGCGCGGGGCTCAGCTTGTGTGCGTAGTTGGCAATGATGCAGAACCGTGTGTTGGCCGTGTACTTTTCCATGATTCTTCGTAGAGCCATCTGTGCGGTATTGGTCATGGCATCCGCCTCATCTAGAATGATGAGTTTGAAGCCAGCAATGGAATTTGACTTTGACGCGCCGCCACCCATGGAAAAGATCTGCTTGGTGCTGGCAAACGTCTTGATCTGCTCTCGTACCACGTCGATGCCTCTGTCGTCTGAAGCGTTCAGTTCCAGCACCATCTGCCGCATGTTGGAGACGCCGTAGATCCGCCGCGCGAGGGCCAGGATAGTCGATGTTTTGCCCGTGCCGGGCGGGCCGTAGAGAAGCAGGTGAGGGAGGCGGTTCTGTTCGACAAACTTGTTGATGGTGGCCAGGATGTCTTGGTGACCGGAGACATCCTCGAGCGTTACTGGTCGGTACTTTTCAACCCTGCAAGGTAGATTCGTCAGTGACAGTTCTGGCCAAGATGTCTCTCAAAGAGCATTCTGTACGCACCATGGTAAGCTGTCCTCGGCTTCAACTGGTAGATTGGCAGCACTCCTCTTGCCCTTGGCCGCCTCAGCCGAAAAGGTGATGTCGGCAGATGGCGCAGGGCCATCGACGTCCATATCGTCCTCGTAGTCGGACATTTTGGAGGGGGAGAAGCTCGAGATGGCAATTGGATAAGAAATTCAAGTCTTGTTCAAGCGATTGCGCCGAATACCCAACTTCGAAATAAAATTCCCGTTATATGACAGCGTGCATTTGCCGACTTGAATTTTCCCACCATGCTCAAGGCAGAGACGAGCTACAGCGCCGACACGCGCCTAGACGTGTTCTGCCCATTAAAACCCCTGTAACTGTGCCACAACGATTCAGAGCAGCTAAGCCACCCACTGAAAGCAATTAGCCACATTTGATATCCAACGCAAATGGTCCATCAAATAAATGACTACATGTATCATATTGTAGACGATGCACTTGTGATTATTACTTTTTATCCCATCTTGCCCATTATTTCCTCTCAATATATACAAGAAGGCAAAGAGAAAAAAAGAAGAAGAAAGAATAGAAAATAGAAAATAGAAATAATACAACTGGGCAAGACAGAAGCCACCAAAAACAGCACTATTAAGACGCATGCTTTTCCGTTGTATCGCGAGCCAGCTTGTCTTTTAAAGTAACGCGAACCCGTCGCCGTGCCAGAAATGAAAAGAAGTAGAGGTCTATGCCCCATGAATAAAAGAGCAACATTCCCTTCTCCAAATTTGTAGAGGGGGAAAAAAATTAATAAACGCCCCGTGCATCCTTATATTCGTTCGTCAAAAGGAAATAGTATGTGAAGAAACTGAAAAACAAAGAGGAAAAAAAATTTTGCAACCCGCCGTGGACCGATGGACCATTCAATTCGAGGCGAGCAACTTATCCCACGGAACCGCCGTATGGACAACACCGAGGCCAAGGAAATAGAATAACACTGGAATTGCGGCGGCTGTAAACCATGAGATTCCTGTGCGGTTTCATCATGTTAATAGACATTCAATGTTCAACCTAGCAAGTATCAGAAGCTTACCTGAATACACGACGAGTTTTGTGACAACTTCGACGTCGTATCTCACTCGCGGCCTCACCAGCTGCGAAAACATCTCCTTTTCTTCGCGCGCATTTTCCATGGTAAGATAGGCGTCTAGACTCCCATTCTCTGCCCCGCCTTGCATGGCAGGGGCGTCGTTCGGGCCTCTCGACGGCTCATTCTCCTTGTAAGCCGGCTTTTGGACCCCAGAAGTTTGGGCGCCTTTGCCTGACTTGTCTTCGTCCTCCTCGTCAAGATCCAAAAGGTTTGATTTGCCCTTTAGGCTAGAGTTGCTTCCAATGCTGTCTCTTCGTTGCCGCTCTCGGTAAGCCAAGGTTTCGTACGCATCTGCTGCGCTCTGTGGTCCGATGGAGACGGCTCGTCCTCGAGTTGTAGGGTGTCGAATACTCTCAACCATGCGAGGGAAGTCAGAGGCCGTGGGGAAGAGGGTATCCAGCCGTGATCCGGGAGGCACAGATTTGTACTCGCTAGCCGGTGTGAAGAACCTTCGAGGCAGGTCATATCCGGTCGACTCGATAAGGCGGAATACATGGGGCAGCACTTTGAGCAGCGTGGGCTTCATGATTTCGCGCCAAAGAAAGATGACGACGATTCCAACCACCATCCTCGCCGCGACAACCAACCATGTGTACGGCAAAGCGCCCATGCTAGCCTCGGCGTAAGCTAGGAACGATCTTCCAGCGGTCCAGGTTCCAGCCTCCAGGCCGATGACTACGCCGGCAAAGGCCACGCTATCGTCGAAGCAGGGGCAATCGTCTGCTGGTTCGGGATGGATCCGTATAAGGATGACAATGACGATGCCGATCAAGGCGGGAGCCACCCAGGAGCTGGACTGCATAGCGGCATCCAACGGCGGCCCGAGGTAGTATTCCAGCAAGGTGATACCAGCCCCCATTATAGATCCTATGATGACATCCAAGAAACCATGCATGCCGCAGTAGAGGCGCCCAAAGATGATTGATACACCATAAAAGTACGACAGGATCTCGAGGGCCAGCTTCGTCGTCTCAGAAAAGGGATTATCGGGGCTTCGCAAGTGCAGAATGGCATACACGGCAACCGAAACCGCATTGGCGCTGTGGGTGGAGGGGAAGCCATACTCGAGCGCAGCAGATCCAGACATGGTGATACGGTGGAGAGGCGGCGACAGCGGTCGAGGCAGCGAGTAGAAATCCTTGACGAAGCCTGTCCAGAAGACACCCAGCGCCAAGATATGGACCAGCCTGCGCATGTGATGTTAGCATCTCGAGTTTCCTAGCTCAAGAATTGCATAAAACAGCAACGTAAAAAGAAAAGTGGCAAATCTGCCTCGATCGCACACTGATCAAATGAAAAACGTACCCCTTAGCAAAGGCCGCATAGCCACCCCAGAACAGCATCGGCAGGAAGATCATGAAAAACGTATGGGTGCCGAGGTTGGCGGTGATGGCGAAGTAGCTGTCGAGCGCCGGCGTGCGCAGCTTGCTCTGGAGCGCAGCCAGATACGGCGTCTCCCACCGGACAAGAGGAAGTGCCTGTTGTCGCAGATTGTATCTCCATTTTGGCAGCGCTCTCTTATCTGCAGGTTGCCATGTGTCAGCTCGGCGATTCGTCTCAAAGCTTCTAGATGCCAGCTTTCCACTTCAGGTCTCTCCTCGTCCTTCATTTTCTCCATTCAACTTCTAAATCACATCGTAACCGCCACTTTAGAAAAGAAAACTCTTCTTCTTTTATGCGTACTTCCATTCCGCGCTATCCATCTCTAGAGGCCACATTATATCGGCTGGGGGGGCTGCTGCGTTGGAGAAACCTACAGTGATCAAGGCTCCTCAGCCCCGCGTCGGGGACATCGCCATTCTTCTGGTGACGATGCGGCGGGGCATCGCGTCGCGTGCCGTTCATGGTGGAAATCCCAGGCACTCTGCGGTGCTGTCGGGAAACAAGAGCTCAGTGTACCGTCGAGAGACGAGCTCAGGATCCGACATGGAGTGAGAGTGGAGGGAAATGGAAGAGAGGGAAAAAGCAAGGACTGTGTCCCGGTCTGTTAGTGAGGTGGGAGTCGCAGTTTTAGCTCTAGTGAAGTGCGAATGCGACGAGAGAGCCCTGGCAGGAAAAAAAAAAAAACTGGCACTGGCACTGGCACTGGCAACTGACACTGGGGATTGGGGATTATAAAGACATGAGAAGAAGAAAAAAAAAAAAACTGGAAGCCGAATTCAAGCCACCAAGCCTTATAAATGCTGGCGCCGTCACCTAGAACGAATGAACATTGATGCTATGTACTGAATTATGGGAATCATACTTTTCCTCTATACTCGCGTGCAAACGCAAAACCGGTCAATGCCCGTCTTGAGAATTCCACCACATGTACGTCTGGGGCCCTCATTCGAGATTGCCCAGCAACACCTATTTGGCGCTGCCACTGGTAAAACCACAGCACGAGAGAGGCAACCGGCCGCTGCGATAACCCGCTGTCCGGCTGCCTATTGTAGATCCCTCCCAGCGCTACTCCACCCCGAGGTAAGCCAAGCAAGGCGCCAAACAGCCCCTGGACCGGCTATCAGTCCGAGAGTCTCCAATTGAACGAGTTGAGAAGGGTGCCGGTTTGTCTGATGCGACAGCCGCGGTAGGCGCATGCTGAGGATGATAGCACTAAATACCTGCTGCTACGAGACACCGAACAGACCCAATGTTTCGTAGGCCTAGTATGATCAACCTACCTATAGTGCTTCTACATAATGCAGGTACTTGCCAAGTACGATGTTAATGCTCAAATCTAACACAGCGAGTCCTAATGCGGGAATCAGGCGGCGAGTGCAGCGGCCACTGCCGCCGCCCATCTTCACAACTTACGTCAAGACTCATAATGCAAATAGCATAAGACACTCCCATCATGAGCCAGCCTCCCAAGCTCCCACTCCTCACACACCAACTCTTGGCCGTCAGTATCGCGCAGTGCCCGGCACCATGCCGAGCAGAAAAGCAGAAGTCGGCGCCTCTCCCACACCGAACGAGCCCAGTGTCTCCCTCTTCTCCAAGGATTTGACAGAGATTCAGCGAGAGCGGGCTCTAGAAATATGGCACGAGTAAGTTTGATGCGCTGCACAACCTCATTTTTCGTCATCTCATGCTGACACTCCCCTCAGCTACATGTAATAGTACCATAAAGAGTTGACGCAGATTATCTCTGAATCGATCTATACCGGAGCGATGCCGTTGCCGTGCAATACTGCAAGGCTTTCCTTCAGACACATGTCGAGAGAGAACCTGTTGAATCGCCCCAAGTACCCCCCCGGCTCAACCGACAAAGGCCCAGTCGCCCAGATCAGCAACTAGGTTTACCAAGGAGGCGCCGACGAGATGGGACTCAGTACAGCACTCTAACTTGGACGTGTGGGGGGCGGGATGGACGAGGGATGATTATTGCAGAATATCGCATCCTGCCTACCATGGCTTTTAGTATGTGCGAGTGCATAAAGATAGGTTCCGTCGAGTCTAGTTTGTCTAGAGCCGATGGTTAGGAACCACAACACACAACAGGCTTGGCGACAATGCTTCTCAACACCGACCTCTACAGCGATCCAGAGATAATGGGCGAGTTGAAGAGGCGGATATTAGAGCTCCAAAACGACATAGCCGTGGTCGAGGGCTCCCAGCTCGTACAAAGACAGCTCAGTGACCTCAGCCATTCTCCACAGCTGCAACGTCTAGTATCTCATGTCGACAGCAGCCTTCAGTGCCCGATCAGAGACGGGTTCTACGCCCGGCTGATGCAGCTAAGCCTCGACGAGCTTGCCTTTGTGTCCATCAGCTTCCCTGAGAGACGACTCAAGCGTATTCAGGGCAATCACAAGGCCTGCAACGCCCGGATTCATGCGGCTGCAACATTTCGTGCTCGCCATTGCGAATACAAAGAGAAGTCGCTTCTCCAAGACCTGCGGCCACCTGGCTGTTGCATTGTTAGACGCGTCTCTGCAATCATCGGCCTTGCCCACCATTTCCTCCATCCCCGAAGCCCAACACAACAGACCAGCAGCACTGACCCGGACTTTATACAAGACGTCATGCTCCCGCCTTCTCTGCCATACGCTACTGCCTAGCCAGGTCGTGTCGCACCCAACCTCGCCGTTTTTCTCTTGCCGCCATAAGATTCTCGCCCCATAAGATCGGGAACTTACCCGTTCGCACCACAGGGAGTCTGCCTATTCGAAGCAATCAACAGCACAGCACAATACCAGGTTCGCCATGTCCCCTTCTAGCGATGATATTATCGACCGCTTCTTCTTGACCAAGTCCGCGACGAGGGCGGACTGCGACAGCTTTGCCATGAGCACCTTTGGGGGGCCCGTGACGGTTGTCCAGCCGCAGGGCAGGTTCAGCTACACGGTGTCGGCCTGCAACGACACGGTGATTATCCAGTTCTGAGAGCAAGACAGCCCCCTGCTGCTCACGGCCGTTACAGCGCTGCTTTCCAGAGCGCACGGGGAACTAGTTCCATCCTTCAGTCGCGTTGGTACGTTGGGAGGGCAGCAGGAGGGTGGACTCGAGGTGTACAAGATGAACAAGCTCCCTGGAGTCAATTACTTGTACATGGCCGAATCGCTGCCAAGTGACGAAAACACAATGATGAACTTTGTGGACAGCCTGGCAAGGTACGTGTGACAAGACGCAGTATCGCCGGCCGGCCAGCTCCGTTCTTCCCTTCGCTGTCTTTTGTCAGACACCGGTGTGATGACGATGAGCGGACTAGCTGACGAGCTGACCTGGCAACAGCTTCTTTGCTCAGAGCTGGACGCGAGGACGACCAGATAATATGACTTCCCAGGAACACGGCGATCTCGCAGCCACGTGTCGGGCCAGGCTCGATTCGCTTTCCAAATCTCTCCCTGGGCACTTGATACCAGTTGTTGCCCAAGTGCGTGAGAACATGGATGGACTCTTTTCCGGAAGCTACCCTATCGTCCTCACCCACGGCGATCTCAGCGAAATGAACATGCTCGTCGACCCGGATAGCGGCGCTCTGACAGGGGTTGTCGACTGGGCTGAGGCGAGCCTCCTACCCTTCGGCTTTTCCCTCTATGCGCTGGACAGCGTTCTCGGAGACATGTACCTGACTGGTTGGACATGCCATGAAAACGCCGACCAGGCGAGGAGGCGCTTCTGGGATACCTTTTGCTCCATTGCACAGCCGTCCCACGCGGAACGTCAGCAAATGGAAGTGGCGAGGCTGGTCGGTATCCTCTTCCGGTACGGCACGCCGGTCAGCAGTGGATTCCCTGGCATGCTGGGTATCAGGGGCGAGGATGATGGCTCTCTTGCGTTCCTCGAGGCGTTCATTTGACCACGGTTGGGTGGAGTAAACAGCATGGCCGCGTTACGATGGGCTGTGTCTCTATTTGAGAGATTGGCTGGGAATGTTACAAAAGGGAGCAGACGCCGCTGGCCTGCGGCTGGATGCATACATTCAAGAGGCATCTTTTCACTGTGGGAGCTCCAAATTGCAGATTGTACAAAGATGGTCTCTCAACCGCCCTTCCTCTTACCCATTGAAGTGATATGCATGAAATCAAATACTAGTATCCGTACTTTTGATGTATTACTAGTACTTTTGTCTCCCCACTACAGGTACAGTCAGGGGCCAAATGTATACGAACGAACATACAGTACACACTATAACACTAGGTTTTTAAAAAGCTATATGTTTTTTTAAACATTTTATAAAAATATAGATTAGTAATATATATATATTTAAATATAAAGAAAAAATATATATAATTTTTTTATTAATATATATTAAATCTAATAAGTTATTTAAGAAATAAAGTCAAAAGTAAAATATAGTATATATACCTATAGCAGAATTTTTATTAACACTGTATTTACTAGTACAAATTTATACTTATTCTTATTCATTTATAATATTGATATCTTAGCTAATATCTAATAAAATTCTACTAAAACTTTAAAATTATTTAACTGGGTTAATAAATTATATATAATAATTTTCTTAGTGTATATAGAATCTTATTTATATCTTTAATTTAACTTAGTAATAGTAGTCAATTTGCTGATTATAGTGCTATACTGTAAGCCGTTCGTGGATTTTTGGCCCCTGACTGTACTAAGCCAAGTAGTACTGGCGACCGATCTAATCTGCCCGCCATGACATGCATACTAGTACATATGCTTTTCATCCTCCGCCGTAATTGACCAGTTCCGCCGCCGTTAGTGCTCTCGGCAAGCCCCCATTGAATTCCCCAAAGTAGCACCGAAGCAAACATTATCCGTCCATTAGCCACGGAAAATACGACAACACACAAAACATCATGGCCTTGCAATTTGCCGGCAGACACTGCGTCGTCGTCGGCGCCACAGGCGTCATTGGCTCATCCATTGCAAAGGCCTTTGCCCAGCACGGCGCCGTCGTGTCGCTCCTCGGCCGCTCAGCCATCCAGGTTCGCCATACGCTGGAACCGCAGCTTCGTCCGTATAGCCTACCCGAGACTGGCGATGGCACGGGAAACGCTGCTGGTGCTGCTGCGGATAGTAGCATTCCCTCAGCTCACCGGTTTATTCGTCTTGATGCGTCCAATAGGGAAGAAATTAAAGCCTTGTTTAGCTCACGGGCATTGCCATCAAAGGTAAATACATTTACCTCTATTCATAGTTTTGATAGACTGAAGAGAGCCATCTTTACTTTGATACACATTGCAAACTTTAGAAGTCTCTCGTAATCTACTTTGAAGAATGGAATCGTTAACCGAGCCACAAATAGCCTCAAGACGACGCCACCATTGGACCCATTGATATCCTCGTCAACTGTGCCGGCATCTCCCAGACCACCTTTCTAAAGCGAACTCCTGATGAGGAACTCTCACGTATTGTCGACACAAATCTACTTGCCACGATGCTTGTATGCAAGCACGCAAAGATGAGACCCAACGGTGAATCTCTCTAAACCCTTATCAGTGCTTCACATCCCTCATCAGCTAAACTAATCATCCCGTCTTCCTCTCAGGCTGCATCATAAACGTCTCTAGCCTCATGGCAACAAAAGGGGGCCTTGGCGCCACAGCTTATGCTGCATCCAAGGCTGGCGTAGTTGGTAAGAGCGAATCCTATTGCTGCTATATCTCAATTTTTTCTGATATATATTAACATACATTGTTATTTTTTACATTTCATCATGTGGTCGGAAGCTAATCTTCTCCTAGGTTTTACTCGTGCCCTGTGCCGTGAGATGGCGTCTCGATCTATCCGTGTAAATGCTCTGCTGCCCGGTTGGGTCAACAGCTCCATGTGGACTGGTATGCATCTTCCTCCCAGCCGCTTTTTGCTCTTTCATGATTCCTATAGTATAATGCTCTCGTGGCTCCTGTACCCAAGCTAATGTACATCTCATCATTAGATCTCAAGCCAGAACTCCAGCAAGCTTACCTCAAAGATACGCCTCTTAATAGAGTAGCGGATCCTGCAGAGGTTGCCGATGCCGCTCTGTTTCTGGCGTTCAACGGTTTCGCAAACAACTGCATCCTCAACCTAGATGGTGGGCTGAGTGCTGCCTGAAGACAGCGCAGCAAGTTTGTCCGTGAATCTATCATCAGTCATCGATGACGATGGCTCCGCCAGCGTCTTCTACGACGACTACATCATCATCTGCAGAGCTAATCATCTTGGCCTTTTTGGAAGGGGGGCTTTCATCATCAGGAAGAGCCCTCTTGATGCCTTTGGATTCCTCCACCACCATCTCATCATCTAGAGAATGCTTTCCATTTTGTTGGTCATGGCCGTTGCCATTGGTCTCAACTGGCGAAGATTTCTTTGGCTTGTGGGGAATTTCGGGCCGCCCAGCGTGAACCGGACGGAATGATTCTTTTTGGTTATCCAAGATCCTGCCATCGGTTAGCATCTTCCAGGCAAGAACGGATTTCCTGTTTTTCGTTAAATTCATACCCATCCTGAATATCAATCACCACATTGACGAGCGTATCTTCATCATCCTCATCAGTGACTGTGAGGAAACTGCCTCCTTTGATACCTGCAGAGATGTTAGTTTCGATACAATGGGCAAATGAGGATCTTGATGCTGTACCAAGTTCTGTGAGCTTCTTCTCAAGATTATCCGTCTCATCAGGATCATATAACACGCCCACGTCATTGCTCACGGAAAACTCCTTATCTCTATAGCCAAACTGATTCTTCACCAAGCCTTCAACAATATCGTGCAGTGTTGCTCTACTCAGGTCGGCAACAACGCTGGTGTAATAAATGCCGCAGACAGGACAGTCGCGGTTTGGCTCTCGATTTCTATCCGGAGCCAAAAGTCTTGCGTTGGCAAAGGGCGTTAGGAAAACTTCTTTAGCCTGCGCATATTCCCCTTTGAGCACTTTGAAGGATTGCAAAACACAGAGACCTGCGACAATTGCATTTGTTGTAGCAATCGCCGGTATGATGTTGCCGGCCATCTGCTTGATATCGAAGCGAGATTTCAAATCAATGCCGAATACGGTGGAGCGAATATTTGCACTGGATGCTACAAAGTCTAGCGTATCATCGTCATCCTTGTCAAAGGTAATGGTTGGCTCAGGCGACGCAGCGTTCTTTGTCGCTTTCAGCTGAAGCAGTCGCTTGCTAAGCCGGTCGAGGCTGTCATTGAAGACAACAAGACTTTCTTCGAGGGTCCAGACCTTCTGTCCGTCTGCCAGTATGGCGTCTTTTGACTCGAGGCTCTGACTAGCTCGTGCAAGTACATCTTCGTACTTGAGCGCTTCAGGGGCGCGACGCGATTTCCACATGTCTTCTACAGACCGCAAGCGCTCGATATCAGAATTGAAAACCTTATCGAAGAGCAGTTTTGGAAATTCAGGTGTTCCAATTGCGTCTCTAATTTTCTTTAGTGCTTCTGATTCTTTCTTTAACTCCTCGATTTCCTGGGCTACAATCTTTATTTAGCGTGGAATCTCATCTTGCAGCATAGACATTCTAAGTCCTACCATTATCCGCATCTGCTGAGTGATCGAAAGCTGATTCATCTTCGCTGACGCCAAATATTTCACTGAAAAGATGTTAGAAAAGAAGCATGAAGAGGAGAAGTTGACACCATGTATGAAAGGGCGCTTCTTACTTTAGCAGATAACTTTTGCCCCATACTATACAATGGATTGGCTGGCTCGGTGTGCTTCGAATGGTACAGACAGGGAATGATTTGGGCGTCTCTTTGGGAGTGCAGTCATAACAAGCCGTAATGCCCTTTTTGATGACTTGAACCTGGCCATTGAAACCAGTCGTCCCGCTCTCGATGAGCGGAACATCCGCCGCCAGGCACATCTTGTTCACGTGCCGTCTGGCGTCGAGGTTGTCTAAAGCATTGAAAACGATCTTGAAGTCGCGAAACCAGGGAACGCTGAACTCGGAGTCTTTAATATTAGCGTGATGCGCAACAAGCTTGACGTTTGGGTTGAATCTCTGTGCTGCCTCTTTGGCAACCTGCTCCAATAATTAGCATTGCGACAGCCAAGCGACATTGGCGCAACCTCGGTATCCAAACGCACCAATGCTTTTGATTTCTTGATATGTTCATGTCGGAAGAGAAACTGGCGATTGAGGTTGGAAAGATCGATCGTGTCGAGGTCGACAATGTGAATCTCGCCGAAGCCGTTGAGCACGAGGTTTTTCAGAAGCTCGCAGCCGATGCCGCCAGCGCCCACCATGAGCACCCGCGCCTGCGATTGGAATTAGTATATGAACGGTGCATCTGCGAAAAGCAAATAGAAAGAAAAAACAGGCAATTATATCGTAAGAAAGAGGGATATAGTTTGGAACGAGCATCGAGATTAATCTCCAAGGCAGATTATGGTGCGGTGCGGCTGAGAGCTCTCAGGCTCGTCACTAAACGAACGTACATGCTTAACCGAGGAATTTAGAGATGCGCCGAGCGACTGGTGGTTAAATCTATCGCGTGTAATCATTGGGTTTCGCTGAGGGGGCGCAGGATGCGACGCGACAATTCTTTGCGGCTGATGAGATTCCTGGACGGCGGTAGGAGGAGGAGCAGAGGTTGGCACGCTGTCGCCAGCCGCATCCGCGAGAGCTTCTTTGGGAGCCTCCATCGCCGCTATCAGAGCGGGAGCTTGAGTGTAGCTAATCGTAGATTGTGGCGATGAAGATGGTTTGGAGATGCAATCTGGAGATGGAGATCGAAGGTGATCGGTTGCAAGCGAGAGAGGGGCGTCGAATTGGTTGCGCCAAAACGCCGTCGCTTTTCAGCTGCTGGTCTGGCGATGCTCGGCGCGGGCAGCTGCAGGGCGTTGAAGTACAGCGGACGAGGCAGTCGAAAAGCTGAGTTGCGACCAATTGCATGAGGTCAGAGGCCCGGGGGAATAGAGCCGAGGGGTCCGTGCGCTGAGCAGCAACTGATAGGGAGCGCTAAGATAAGAAAGAGGGCGCTGAGCGGGAAGCGGTGCGACTGCGACTTGAGACGAGGCTGTGTGTGCCTGAACGGGACGGAAGTTTTTTTCTGGTTCTGAGACGTGCTTTGGTGATACCATGTAGTTTTTTATGTATATAAGTAGATGGGAGTTAATTACAGAAAAGAGGCATAATTATGATAAGACGGGAGGTCCGATTGTGCAGTGGAATAGATGATGTGCAAATGCCAGGGCTATATAATAGCAAATTCCCATTTCCCAGCTGCAAGCCCTGATTAGGCCTTGATTCTAAGCACCAGTCCTCCACTCAGCGGGGTGCTATTCACAGCGACGCCCGCAACTGAGAAACTCATTCAACATCTCTAGTTGGGAACTTCTAAGTCGAATAAAACTGGATCAACTCTCAAAGTACAACATCATCATTCACAGCACTCCCTTTCTCCTGAAATGTCCGACGACGAGGTAGATCTCGAGCTCCTCGCCATTCTGCGGCAGCATCTCCAAGGCGTCTCCATCAAAGACGAAGAGCCCGAAACAGGCGTCCTAGCTGATGCCGAATATGTCTACGACCATGGAATCGACGTAGCCATTGACATGCGCTCAACAAAGCGTGCCGCAGAGACCATTTATGCCCAGATGCAAGAGAAGAGCTATTCTACTTCCACCTGGTCATCACACGAGCTGCACCCCAAGGCCAAGGATGAAGCCACGGCCGCTTTCATCTTCACCATGGACCTGCTCAACTTTTCGTTCTGGTCTGAGCTGCCTGACGACGAGAGATTTGCTATTGAGTACAAGGGGAAGAGATGGACGGGTTACTGGAGTCTTGTAGCCGCAATTCAGAGAGCCCTTGAAGAAGGTTAGTGACCACTTGATTATACTACACATCCAAATAAGATTATCGTCTGACCATGTTGCTTTGCAGATATCCCCATTACGGATCCTCACTACTGGCAAAATGAGGATGAGTGTAACTTGGAATCACTGAGACACGTATTCAGATCCTGCACAGAGGAAGAAATGCCTCTGCTTCAGGAGCGTCTTGACTGCCTTAGAGAGAGCGGGAATGTGCTTTATAACGTATGTTCCATTTTCCTCGTTTTCTAAATGAAGACATGTACCAACTAAAAGCACCAAAAGAAATACGAATGCTCCGTCGTTAATCTCATTTCCGCCGCCAAGGGCTCCGCGGCCCAGCTCGTCAATATCCTCGCCCGGGACTTTGACTGCTTCAGAGACGAGCACCCATTCGAAGGCAGAAAAGCCCCTGTCCGCATCATGAAACGTGCCCAAATCTTCGTTGCAGACATATGGGCCTGTTTTGAGGGCAAGTCATATGGCGAGTTTCGTGATATTGACAAGATCACCATGTTTGCCGATTATCGTGTGCCACAGATTCTGTCTACCTTGGGCGCCTTGTATATCGGTCCACAGATTGACGCGGCCATTCGCGACAAGAAGCTTATTGAAAGCGGGAGCCGGTGGGAGATACAGCTAAGAGGTAAGAGTGTGCATTATTCAAAGTATGTGTTTAGACTCTGCTAACAAAGGTGGAAACAGCTTGCAGTATCTGGTGCGTTGAGTTAATACGGAGAGAGATTCAGAGTGCGCACCCAGATACCCATGTTAATGCTATTTTGATCGACTTTTTCCTTTACGATACAATGAAGGAAATGGAAGCAGCAGGAAAGGAATCTATTCCCCACCACCGAACGCGAAGCATCTGGTATTAATGTTGTATCGTGGCTTGGGTTAGGTGTTGGTCAACAGCACCTTGTATGAATAAAGCCAAACGCGGCATACCATATCATAGAATTAACGTTTACATATCCGTGTACATCTGCAAAGATAAAACTATCTACCTACAGTAGTATGCAGCTATCATACCCTCCATAACGCAAAACAAATGAAGAAGAAAAGAAAAAAGAAAAGAAAAAAGGCCAGTAAAGCATCATCTGTTGCACCCAACGCCGCCACCCGACATTCGAAAATTAATACCTCCTCGTACTTTCATCCTATGTGAACAGGGCCGTAGCATTCATTATCCGATCCATGTGGGCGGTTTCCACCTCATCGTTGTTCCTATTTTCCTCTTTTACAAGCACTGCCAAAACTTCAATCGGAGGATTCAGACCCAGTCGCTCAGCCCGCTGCCACCTCTTCAAGCGAGTCGTTCCAATACAAGGCTTCAAAACAATGTGTTAATAATTGCCCCAATCCACACACGTCATAACATCAAAGCAGAGGAAAGGAAAGAGACGTATCTACTTACTCCGTACTGCGAGCTCACGTCAAAGTATCTAAGCACTTTCTCGCCCAAGTCGAGATCTTGCTGGTGGACTCGAGGTGCCTTGCGCTGCTTCTCAATCCCTTTCCAGTATGATTTGATCTGGGTATCAGTAATCTTTTCAGCTTTCAACTCGGCCTCTGATTTCTCTGCAACTTGTTCAACAATCTCTTCCACTTCCTCCTCTTGCTCTGGTTCAACAACCTTTGGTTCTTCTGCAGCGACATTAACGGCTTCCTCTTCTTCTTTGCGAACTTCGTCTTTGGCCGCTGGCCGCTCGGGGATGGTAGTTCTAGCAATCGTAGGCGCATCTACTGCCGCCTTCTTCAAATCCTTGGGCACGGCCTTTGTAACCTTGCCCGAGAAGCTGATTGTCGACTGTCCCTTGGCAGGACCAGGGCGGCCCCGGGCGCTGGCCGCCGATCGTCTTGTTGTAGGCATTGCTGGACAAAGATACCTTGTAACGCTGTTTTGTTAAGGATACCGAGTAGTCGAGTATGACGCAGTAATTGATCTGCTGATATATAGGCCGAACAATTGGCTTGTGCGAGCCAATGCGTCTTGTTTATATGCTGTAGACCGTTAACGGCTGGCTGTATAAATGCGATCAATGATGCAGGAACACACGTAAATCAAGTGGAGTTACTGCTCGGCTGCCTGCTGAAAGGTGGATGACGGCGAGGGATAATGATGCTAGAATGGCGCTAATGTTTGGCGGGGCAACGCGAGACTGGAGCGACGTCACGTGGCATCCATCTCATCCATCTCAATATGGGAGCTTCATCTTGAGGTTTGTATGAGTTCGATTTCGTGTTCATTGTATAAGGCATATAATGCCAAGATGCCGTTCTAAGTCTGTACTACATACCCATGATACTCTCAACTTCCCGTTGCCTCTCTGTAGAATGAAATGCTCCTATTCGCACCAGCAGTGCAGAACATTTCACTGCGCCCAGTCTTGGGCAGCCACCGGACGGCCCATAAGGCCTTGTCTGTCTCACTGTGCGTTGCAACACAAACGCCTCGCTCGATTGACCACACTTTCACCTTGCCGTCCATCGAGCCGCTAAGGAGGTATTCTCCAGTGTCACTCCAGTCAAGTGATGTGATCCATGATGAATGTCCCGTAAGATTGCCCACGTGTTCGCCATGCTTTGTATCGTAAATGGCGATGATGCCTGCATCGCCCGCTGCGGCCACTCGAGTACCAGCAGGCGATATCGCTACTGCGCGGACGGGCTTGGCAAGTCCTGTAGATGCGTGTTAGATGTAAAAAGCTCAGGGAGAAGAGATAAAAGTGTAACGCACCGGACAGGGAGTATAGAATTCTCCCCGTATCATTGTTGAACACGTAGACCGAGCCATTCTGATGCCCGCTTGCCGTGAATTTTCCATCGTTACTGAGATCCACGCACATGCCAAAGCTGCCCGAGCCTGCACTGCCCGTTTCGTATTCCCGAATCTTGGCTCTGCTCCGATCTGCGACATCCCACACGTTGATCCTGCCATCGTTGGTGGTGCCCGCCAGGTAGCCTCCATCCTCGCTGAGAGCAATCGCCCATACTTCGCCCGGCTTCACCGTTGGGCCTGTGACCTCGCCGCCGTCGTTCCATTCGCCCGTCTCCTTGTTATACTCCCATATCTTGACCTCGCCCCCGAAGCCCGCGCTGGCAGCGTAGAGGCCGTTGCGCGATGTGCAGATGTGGTGGCAGCCTAGTTTGTGGGCACCGGGGATGGACTGCTTCAGAGGGTAAGAAGGATCAGTGGTATCGTGTACATGAAGCGTTGAAGAGCCACTCGCTGAGAGCAGCGTCTTTGGCGATGCTGCCAGTGAGAATATGTCCGCAATGTGGGCTGCAGCAATCCCTCATCAGCTGCATGGCCTTTGGTGGGTGAAAGAAGACTAACCATTATCCACCGTATGGGTGGTCAAATATTGCTTGGACTATGTATTCGGCTAAGTGAGATTTTATGGAATGAGTTGATAGAATTGGCGAGGGCCTTACCATTGTCGCTTTGCTACAATGCTGTTGTTGCTTGGTGGTTGCCGTTCACAGCGCTGTCGTAGAAGCTTTGGGGCTTGTGAGCTGGTGGGGTTGATAATTCGCCGTAGCATCAACGTCAGAGGCGAGTATTAAAACAACTACTCGGGCTTGCTTCCACTTATATCATGTCGATTAGCTGCAACCTATCAATTTTCATAATGGCCACGTATAAATTTTTTTTTACATATAAAATATTCAGATGTAGTCTGTCTATGAATCTTATGCTGCACCCCGCGCAGGTCATTTTGGCACATAATATTTCATATATTCGTAATTTTTTTTCTTAATATTTATGCTTGGAGTATCTTTTTCTACTATCCATTCCTCTATCCTGATTTTCATATTGGTACATGATGAAACAAAGCATTGGCTAAGTAAGGCAAATGCAAGCTGGTAGGCTTGATCTGACCCGAGGTTGTAGTACACAGGCCTTTGATATAGTTGCGAGAGGGAATCTAGCCACCTATCAACCTGGGCTTTTAGAATGGACTGCTTGAAGGATAATCCTGGCGCCATATTCTCTTCATTTCTAAAGAGCAAACAAGTTAGCATTTTATCTAGAAGCGCGTCAGCTATCCATGGCCATACCTTCAAGACAGTGCTGGCATAACCTGTGCGTCCTCTTGATCTCTCCGCAGCCGGGACACTTGCACAGATGGTTGACATCTTTCAGAGCCTTTCCAGCCATCTGCCTCGATCTCTTTTTTGAGTGAGAGACCTTGTTCTTGGGCACTGCCCGCAGGACCGATTCCCAAATGTCGCCCAGCAGGCCGGGAATGTTGATTGTGACGCCGGGGATTGCGATTGATAGTGAGGGAAGGAATTTTAGGGTATATGGTGTGGTGTAGAATGTCGCCCAGCGCGAGACGGCGAGGGAGAAAGGAGAGGCGAGGCGAGGAAGGAAAGCGGTTGCTGCCATTGTGACGGTTTGTTCTTGAATTCTATTTCGTTGCGTGGTGGTGCGACTTGCGCAAAACGGTTCTGCGCACAGAGACCCAGATGCTGACTCCCCTAATGCGAAACGCCCTGCGAAGAATTATTCCGATCGGAGTTTGGTATCGTCGACTCGGCTCGTTGTCTTGTCTGGTTACCGGCTCGTTGTGAAGTTCAATTTGTCGTGGCTCATGATCATGCACCGTATCAAGAAAATCGATCATCAAAATCTTGCCTCTAGCACCGCATCCCGCCTAGCACCACATCCCGCCTAGCACCAAAAGCCAGGTACCCCAAAGTACCCAAGTACCCAAGTACCGCCCAAAATGCAGCTTCTCGCAACTGTGCCGGGCTAAACTGCCTTAGTGCCTCTGGCCAGGTATACGAGCCAATCACGGGCCTCCACAGCACAGACAGGTCTGCAGCCAATTAGCAGCTCTCCATGCTACCCCTGGCACCTTCCATTCCCCCCTTTCTCGTGTCCTGGCCTGCTCCTGCCCCTACGCCGAAATTATTACTTGCACTACCTGGCAAGGCAAGAACACGCCAACTGGCCCAGTAAGGAGGAGCCACCACCAGCCCGTCCAAAAAGTTCCCCTTCTCCAGGATCGCTGCCAGTGCCTCTCACAACCTCCAATTCCATCCATCAGGCTTCCGCTTTCTGAATTGCTGGCCCTCGCGTCTGCTGTCCTTCGTCTTCCACGCGTTTTCGCCCACGCCCACGCTCTTTCTTGGAATAGGGAAGAATTGCTTTGTCCTTACTCCTTAACAGCATCCTTCTCCTTCATTCGTTTCTCCCAATCTCTCATAATCAGTCACGATGGCGACTCCGTCTACTATCACCCCTAGCAGCCATGTTGGTTTCGACAGCATCACGTCGCAGATTGAGCGCAAGCTGTTGAAGCGTGGATTTCAGTTCAACGTTATTTGCGTTGGTAAGTGGCGCGCGCTGTCGAGGCGCCTTACTATCCCGTAAACCGAATGGGAAACTAACTGGATTGACAGGCCAGACTGGCTTGGGCAAGTCGACGCTCATCAACACCATCTTCGCCTCGCACCTCATCGACTCCAAGGGTCGCCTGCAGCCTGACGAGCCCATTCGCCAAACCACCGAGATCCAGGGCGTATCTCACCTCATTGAGGAGAATGGTGTCCGTCTGAGGCTCAACATCGTCGACACCCCCGGCTACGGCGACCTTGTCAACAACGACCGCTGTTGGGATCCCATCGTCAAGTACATCAAGGACCAGCACTCCGCGTACCTGCGAAAGGAGCTTACCGCCCAGCGAGAGCGTTACATCCCCGACACCCGCATCCACGCCTGTCTGTTCTTCATCCAGCCTTCTGGCCACTCTCTCAAGCCCATTGATATTGTCGTCTTGAAGAAGCTGTCCGATGTTGTCAACGTTGTGCCTGTCATTGCCAAGGCTGATACCTTGACTGTTGAGGAGCGATTGGAGTTCAAGGAGCGTATCAAGGCCGAGTTTGCCTTCCACAACCTCAAGATGTTCCCGTACGATAACGAGGAGTTTGACGACGAGGAGCGAAACCTGAACCAGCAGATCAAGGTACGCATATAGTACACCATCGTCGCTAGTATCCACAAATGTTTGACTGACATGTACATCTCTTTACAGAGCTTGGTTCCTTTTGCGGTTGTTGGCTCTGAGAGCAACATTATTGTCAATGGCAAGCAAGTCCGTGGTCGCCAGAACCGCTGGGGTGTGATCAACGTTGAGGACGAGAACCACTGCGAATTCGTCTACCTGCGAAACTTCTTGCTCCGAACCCACCTCCAGGACCTTATCGAGACCACCTCCCAGATCCACTACGAGACTTTCCGTGCTAAGCAGCTGCTCGCACTGAAGGAGAGCAGCGCACACGGTGGTGGTGCCGCCAGCAGACCGATCAGCCCTGCTGCTGATCGTGAGATGAGCCGAGGCTCCCAGCGAATGGGCATCAACGGATACTAAATTTTCGCTCGTGCTTGACGTTTGGCCAGTAGAGTGATGGCGTTCTCTAGGTGGAACGACGACCAGCCAGTCTTACGATTATTCTCACCTCGTGGGTGGTGTTATGCGCGGTAAAAAGCAGTGTATTTTCTATTTGGAGATGTGCGGACCGGATTTCTCTGCACCGCAATCCGACTCAATATTCGCTTTGTTTTCACTTCAAGCAACGCACAAAGGCGAGAGCACTGGGGGGCGGAATGCCATTACAAGAGACTGGGCGCGCTCTCACCAACCATGCGACGTTTATAAGGGCAGCATGAATTCTGCCCATCGTGAAACGCTCAGTGGTCCGAATCATCTCGTCTGCGGTCTTTTAATACGCATTTATTTTGTTTTTAGTAGTACCATCGGAGCCTTCCTTGACCATTTTCTTACGTTTTAATCAGATCCCCATACCTGTACTTTCAATATACCTACAGTTAGTTGAGTTGTTAAGGAAGAGAGTGGCAGAATGGAAAGAGAGAGAGAGAGTATGATATGTTGATTAATTTTGCATTTATCTCCTATTTTAATATTTCCAAGCTTGACTCCATGTCGTGAATCGATTCGTGAACCTTGCGTCTTGCGGCTATTCTAACAGCAATAGGAATGTTGTAAATGACGCTCTTTATCTATACTGTATAGGAAAGGGACTTTTTGGTGGGTATTTGCCATGAAATCGTATCGTGTAGTTCTTGGGTTTACTCCTAAGACTTGTAAACAAACTCTTCCAACTTCTTGTATGACTCCTCGAGGTCGTCATTGACAATAATGATGTCATGAACGCCGGGTGTCTTGGAAAACTCGAGCTCCTTCTGGGCCTGAGACAGTCTCTCCTGGACGCTCTGCTCGGTCTCAGTGCCTCGGCCACGCAGGCGCTTCTCCAGGGTCTCAATTGATGGCGGGGAAACGAAGATGTAGCGGGCCGAGATGCCGGAGTTTTTGATTTGCTTGACGCCCTATACACCATATTAGCCTCTGAACTTGTTTCGTCGCCAGATCAGCTCTCTTGGGTGTTTTGGTGAATCAAGTCATTGCGGTTGGCATTTACCTCCATCTCAATGTCCAGCAGGACAACCTTGCCCTTCTTGGTCTGCTCCTCAATGGTCATCTTGCTGGTGCCGTAGCGGTTGCGGCCGTACTTTGCGTGCTCGACGAAGCCGTCCTTTGCGATGAGGTCCTCAAAGTCCTCCATGGTGACGTAGTGGTAGTGGACGCCGCGCTCCTCGCCGGGACGAGGGTCGCGCGTGGTGTGTGAGACGGACAGGGCGAAGGTGTCTGGGTGGCGGTCGAAGAGCATGCCGTAGAGGGTTCCCTTGCCGACGCCAGAAGGGCCGGAGACGACGATGGGGCGGGTGTCGGGGGGAGCTGGAAGGAGTCAGCCAGTCGAGTTGTGTTTTGGGGGGAGATGTGCTTACGGGTAGCCATTGTGCTTAGTGGTCGGAGTATGGAGGACCGGGGGATGAGTGGGCGAAGTGTTGATATGGCCGGGAGGCGGAGAGGCATATGAGGAGTTGTTGGTGAGAGATCTTGAAAGATCGCGGGATCTGGACCATTCACCTTCGTGTTCCCACTATCAGCCACTTCACCGTAAACTTTGGGGAGGGGTGGCAGAAAAAGGGTCCTGAAACTCAAAAGGCAGGCGGTGAATGCACAGACTTATGAAACCAATCAGACGGGAGAATGGGCAGCATTAATTACCCTGCAGAGCGAATAGGCTTGGCTAGGAGAATGAAGCCACCCAGTCTTACTGCTTTGGGTCGCAGAAGGTCAGCCCCTAAATTGGACGAAAAGAACAAACAGGGGCATGGGGCGCGCTCATTTTAAATGCCAATGTCCCCCCCCCCCCCTGCGCCGTAGGAAAAGCGAGATTCCGGGGAGGGGGACGCCACACCTAAAAGGAATCCCCGAGGACCCTATTTACAAGCATAGTAGAGCGTTTGCATTTTATGAGGCCAAGAAGGCTTCGCCTCCCGTGCCAAGGAAGCAAATACACGTTTAATAGATTAGGTTTTCACTTTTTGTAGGTTGAAATAAGGTTCTAGTGAGGTCATTTCGAGGCTGTGCATGTTTTGAATCTTGTAAAAGACGGGATCTAGAAGGGAACAAGCGTAAAGAGTTTATTTTCAGTTCTCTTGGCCTAATTTGCTGCTCTCTCTTAACGTCCCTGATACGATAAGAATGTCATTTTAGACTTTACTTGGCAGTGCTTGGCTGGCCTAATATCTTCTAGGCGCCGAGCATTTTGGTAAGAACAGGATATAGTCGATATCGCTGAAAAAGCAATTCGTGCGAGAGAAGTTTTCGCTCAATGACCTTGCAGAACTACCTTTTGGTTCTATTTTCATCAGGTCGACCAGTAATCGAAGTCATGTGTAGTAATCAAAATTCATCTTGTTGGAATCTTCATTCTTCTCTATGCCTTGCCAATGATACTATCATCAATACCAAACTCTTACCAATTGCTATCATCACTACCAAGTTCTTCCCAGTTGAGTCGATAGTGAAAATCAACAAGAAGAAAAAAGGGAGCATCTGGAAACATGAAAGGAGAAAAGGCTATGCTGGGCGTCAGGTAGAGCCGTCTTTTGCAGCGATATAGACTGCCAAGATAGGAAAGAACGAGGTCATCACGAACAGCCCGGTGACGATACCCGTACTCACCTTGTAAACGATGTAGCAGCCCGTAATGGCCGTACCCATGGCCCAATCTTTGGCTAACATTATAGCAGCTCGAAAAGTCTCCTATTGCAATTGTGACTTGAAAATGCTAGCTAACCCAATAGGATTTGGAGGTTACATCAAGTCAATAGTGATTCGCCACGGCCAATGTTTCTGATGCGGAATGGCATTAATACGGGGTTACTTTGTCGCTAATAGTGGGTATGATTTGCTTGGACTGGCCCTGCGGCGATTTACTGTATACGAAGTCCGGGGGGTACTATTTGGACCTGCTCGAATGGGGAAATTATCGATCTCCTAGCTCTGCTGACTCGGCGTGAGCGGCGTCGGACACGAGGAGGGACGTTTGATTGCTACTATTTGCAGGTACATTTTTCAATTTTGGTGTGCTTTGGCATGTACCCAAGATTGGAGCGAAATTCGGGACCTAGATAGAGTATGCAGTATGCCAGTACCCCAGTACCCATGAAGCAGGCGACATGAGAGAGGAACAAGACAAGATCAACACTGCGAGTGACGAGAGGCAATTAGTCAAGGGGAGAGAGACGATGCACGGCCCTCCTGAATAAAGTCCGAGCCATGCCATGCCATGCCATGCCAAGTGAGGGCCAAGAGGCCATTGAACGGTGGGAGCGAGAGGCATTTCGGCAGCCTCGTATCCTACGGGGTCTCTGTTAGCGAGCAGAATGCCTCATCTTGCGCTATAAGCGAGTGCCGCAGCCAAGACCAGACGCTCTCAAAGCTCCAGCCAGTAGCACCAAATACGATACGGCGCACTAGCAGCACTAATCGCTTACTCAACTAACGCTGCATCCAAGTGGTGCTGTGCCCAACACACGAATACTGTAGCATTGGCCGCAAAATGGTTCGTCTCAAGTAAAAATCGCTGCAAAAGCCCAGATCAAACATGCTAGCTGAGACAGTCCGTCTCACGCTGAGGCTCCCTCTTTCGCGCCGCCTCCACCAGCTGCGACGGATCTGCAGCAGCCCAAATCAAACGTTCCAGCGGGGCCCCGCCCGTTCCTGGCCTACCGCACTAGCGCAGCGGCAATGGTGCCATTCACGCGCCAGTTGCAGAGGAGGTGCCCTCCAATACAGAGCCCCGGGGCTGGGCAGGGCCCTGGGGGAAGGTCTTGTGAGCGCTACCGAGCACCGGCCAGGCCTGCTAGCACTGCCTAGAACTGCAAATGCCCCCTGGCCCGCACTGCAATTGGATGCCCGTTTGCTGGTCAAGGGTCCTGTCGGTCGAGACTACTTGTACTTACTTCCCGCCCATCAATCGCATTCATTCCCTCCCAGCTTCTGTCAAAGACACGTTCGCACTCGTTTTGAACAAAGTCGTCGCTCTTTATTTTTGCTTCGCTCGTAGAATTTGCCTCTCGAGCTTTTGGGAAGTGCTTATTTTACAGGCTTCCAGTCACTCTTTTGACCTGTCGCAGAACCTATCAAAGCGCTCTCGCCTCTCCCTTTGCGTTTCAGACGTGTCTTCCGCAGTCTCGAGAATCCATCACTCGCTTTTGCTTTCGGGAACCGCCAATATAATAACCGAGCTTCATCGTTATTGCTTTTTCTGTCAATACTCTATTCTTTTCGTTTTTGAGAATTTCTAGTATTCTTTTAGCAAATCAACATTAATCATGCTTGTGAGTGGTGCCCCTTGCATCAGGATGCTGGTATCAGAGCCTTGTTTGCTTCGATATTGCGCATAATCACCTCCGATCGTGCTACACGACACATTTTGTCTACTTAGCATATTACATTGGAAATCCCTTTTTTGATCCGCCGCTGACTCAAAATGTGCTGCAGATGCAAGCTGCGCTCGTGGCCCTCGCCGCCACCACTGTGGGAGCCGTCAAGCCGCTCACCATCAAGGGAACCGACTTTGTCGACACTGACGGCAACAAATTTCAGCTTGTTGGTGTTGCCTACCAGCCCGGCGGCAGTGCTGGGTACGATCCCAAGACGGGCAAGGACCCTCTCAGCGACGCCGACACCTGCTTGCGTGATGCGGCTCTTCTGCAGGTCATGGGCGTCAACGCCATTCGCGTGTACAACCTCGATCCCAACCTGAACCACGACCAGTGCGCCAGTATCTTCAATGCTGTAAGTTTGTTCCCCCTCTTATGCAATGGCTCTATGCCCTGCCCACTCGCACGTCGAATGCAGCAGCTGATTTGCCTCGGTCTAGGCTGGCATGTACATGGTTCTGGATGTCAACTCTCCTCTGGTCGGCGAGTCTATCACCTCATCCGAGCCCTGGACGAGTTACTACGAGGCCTACTCCAACCGCACCTTTGCGATTGCCGAAGCCTTCGGCAACTACCCCAACACTCTGCTCTTCTTCTCCGGAAACGAGGTCATCAACGACATCCCCACGGCGAAGTTCGTGCCTCCTTACCTGCGCGCCGTCACCCGAGACTTGAAGGACTACATCAAGAAGAACCTCAAGCGCCAGATCCCCGTTGGCTACTCTGCCGCCGATGTTCGTGATGTCCTGTGGGATACCTGGAACTACCTGCAGTGCTCCGAGCCCAACGATGATGGCGACATGAGCCGTGCCGACGTCTTCGCCCTCAACTCGTACAGCTGGTGCGGCCCTGACGCTACCTACAAGAGCTCATCCTACGACGTCTTGACCGAAAACTTCCAGGACACCTCCGTCCCCGTCTTCTTCAGCGAGTACGGCTGCAACACCCCCATGCCCCGCTACTGGAACGAGGCCCAGGCCATCTACGGCTCCGACATGACCCCCGTCTTCTCCGGCGGCTTCGTCTACGAGTACACCGAGGAGGACAACAACTACGGCCTGGTCAACATCACTGGCGACACCCTCAACATCATGGGCGACTACAACCGCCTCAAGGCCCAGTTCGCCAAGATCGACTGGAAGTCTGTGCAGTCCCAAAAGGCCAGCGGCAAGGCCCCCGCCGCTCCCAAGTGCGCTTCCAGCCTCATTAAGGAGAAGGGCTTCGACAGCAACTTCACCCTGCCCGTCCCCCCTCCCGGCGTCCAGAAGCTCATCGACAACGGCATCAGCCCCAAGCCCAGCGGCGCCATTGTCAAGATCTCCAACTACAACGTCAAGATGAACGTCAAGGATTCCGAAGGCAACGCCGTCACCGGCCTCAAGGTTGTTCCCCTCAGCGACGACGAGTCCAACTGGGCCGGCAAGAACTCTGCCGACACTGGATCCAACTCCACCACCACCACCTCTGCTGGTAAGGCCGGCTCCAGCAGCTCCAGCGACTCCAAGAGCGATGACAAGGACAGCGCCGCTGCCTGGACTCACCCTGCTTCTTGGGCTCTGGCTCTGCCTTTGGTTGCCATGCTCTTCATCTAATCTGAATTGGAGGGTAGAGGGAGAGAGGCGATGGTGGTTCAATTCAGTCTTCAGTAACTATATTGTTTGGGGAGGAGGGAAAAAAAAGGGGGCGATACAGAAGAAAATTAATGGAGTTGCTTTAATGTAAATACATGTCTTTCTCATTCTGCTTTGAACCTTTAGATATCCCATTTAGCGCAGCCATGATGATGATTGTCTTCTTTATCTTCTCCTTCTTATGCAGGTAGGATGCTTTCATAAAAATACCTATGCCTATTTACTTGGAGCGTATAAAGTACATTACAATACAATCCATGGCTCCAAACTCCCAATGCCGGAATTATTTGCAAACATGTAGCGTGTGGGGGACCAGCCCCTCGATCTGAGTTGGACGGCACGAACCGCTAGGTCTTTTTTTTCTTTCTACTTCTTCTTTTCAACTTTTTTCTGTCAAATTTCTTTCTTTCAATTTCCCAGTTTCGTCATCTTTCTGTCCGTTCCCGTCTGCCCTTTCTTTCAAAAGCCACTTCAGACACTGCGGCTCTTATCCCGTGGCGGCTGGTTAATGTCCTTAGTCTTGTCCAGGCTGGTGGTGCATGCCGGGTTGGTCTCGCAGGGCAAGCAGTAGTCGTGGGTGCCAAAATCGGCGGCCTTGCAGCACCCAGAGCAGCAATAATCGACAGGAGGCGACGGATCGACTAGGCGAGCCATTCTTTCTTTTCTCTCACACCGAGGGTTATGCACAGCTGATTTTGAAGACGATGGGAATCGTGTCTCCCCTATTGGCCCGGGGTTGTCACCTACCCCTTGGGGAAATCTGGTGAAACAACAGTGAGCCAAAAGCGCATCAAGCGTTTATGTGGGATTGGATCTAGAAGCAAATTGCACAAAGCAACACGACGACGGACAATTGAATGAAAAAAGGGCACATGATCCCATACACCCATGTAAACAGGGACAAGAACGAGAGAATCCACACACCTTTGACGCGCTGGCAGTGGATTCTTGGTACCCACGTGCCAGCTCAGCCAGGCAGAAAACACTTTCTCCGAGGTTCTTGCTGGGAACTTCAAGTTGTTGCGTGCAGTCCGTATCTCTTCTTGTTTCCTCGGTATTTGCCCGTTGACTTCTGGCGGTAAGTCACTTGGGGATCCAAGCAGCGGGTAGCTTATATAAGTGCAGCAATGACGTGCGTTTGGCAGGTTCGCAGCGAAAGCGAGAGTGGGGGTGGGGGGGCTAGAGTGTGTATCCGACGCAGATCAATGTCTCTGTTTCGTCTCTTTCTCCAGGGGACCAAAAGGGGAAAAAGAAAAGGGTTTCGACAGGCGACGAGGGACAAATATATAAACAACGAGAGGACTAGGGAAAATACGACCAAGGGTTGTGCGGAGCAAAAAAGATATCTCTTCCCCTCTCCCCTGGGGCCTGAATATTTGCACGTTTCGGGGCGTCGTTTATTAGGGGTATGGCTGAAGGGTGGTGTGGGCGCTCTTTGCCATGTAAGTGCGGGCTTGGTTGGCGCTTGTTGTATGGGGCACGTTCAAAAAAAAAAAGTAAGAGTCACGGCGAAAGGAGAGAGATAAAAATGAAACAAAAGCTGTTAACAGCAAGCGGGACTGGACGAGCGAGAGAGCGAGGTTTTGCGGGAGAAGACGGAGAGGCGAGGCTTGGACGACTGCCGGCCGTTTTATATATACAGATACAGGGCACTAGGGCAGGCATTCTTATGATCCGAGACTGACGCCATCGTGGGCAGAATCTCATACAGAATCCTGGTTAGCTTCAGCGTTACCTTATCCGGCCAAGGCGAGGCAGCTTTGGGGATTGGAGACTGCAAGGAGGGGGAAGCAGGAAGGCGAGGAGCCGCTGTGACCCAAGCAAAGTTGGAGAAGCTGCAACTGCAACTGCAACTGCAACTGCTGCAACGGTCACACCTTCAGTCCAGCCCCGGCTCTGCTGGATTGGGGCGGCAAGGCGGCGAGGATGAATGGCAGCGAGTGCTGGAGAGAGATAACGGGATGGGCAACGGCAACGGTAATGGCAACGGCAACGGCGGCTCCGGCTTGTGGCTCCTGCTCCTGCTGTTATTACTGCTGCTGCTATTGAATCAAGGCAAGACAAGGCACGGCGAGAAAGAGGCAAGAGAGGGAGGAGGAGAGTGCAAGGACGTCCTGGGAGCTGCTTCCCCTCGATTCCATTGACTCGTCACATCAGGTGCTGCGTCACGCGCCCAGCCGCTGCGACCTGCCCAGGAGCATCATCAGATGCATTTCGCAAAGGAAGCGAGCGAGCAAGCACCGACTGGCAGAGTCCCACTGCATGTTTTATTGAATCCGTCGCCTCATGCAGCCTGGAGGACCCGTCATGAGCAAAACTGTGGGCATCATCAGCCTGGCCGAAGGGCGGTCAGTTAGTCACGGCGGATGCCCATTGCCCAGTCAGTCAGTTTCAGCGGCCTCTCTGTTCTGTTTTCTGCCGCCTGCTCCTCGGTGTCTTTTCCCTCTCTCGGTCTAATGAGGCCCTTTCACAGCCACAGCCCCCTTTTTGTAAGCAGCAGTTCGCCCTATCTTTTTGCTATCTTGCCCGGGTTGTGTTTTTATTTCTAATCCATGCATCGGTCCGGGCCATCCCAGACGCGTGAGCTGACTTACATCACATCACACATCACCAGAGGGGGATCGAGAAGATGCTGGTGCGGCTGATCTTTGCAGAGGGCTGAAAGGGATATGATAAGCAAACACTGTGGATGAGGGGGAAGAGAGAGCGAGTGAGCGAGAGAGGATGTGAGAAAGAGAGAGCGGCTGATGGCTGGAGCAGCTTTCCATTCCTGAGCCTTCTATGGAGGTTACCCTTATCAAGGGCTTGGATAGCTGAGATGGACAGTTTCCCTCATTGTCTGGGATTGTGCTGGCCGCAACGAGGTGTTTTGCCCCTCCCCATTGGCGCCTATCGCGACGAATTCGCTTTAATCAAGACCGACAACCCCGAGCATGGAAACTGTATGGAGCACCCATAGATCGAAGCTGGGGGCCACCTCCAAGGGAAACCTGCGTGAAAAAAAAGAGCTACATTCGTCGACTCGGGCCCGCCACGTGGCATGTGGCTCACAAGATTGCCGGATTCTGTCTCGCGCAGAGTGTATGTATCTTGGTACTTTACCCATTTGCGAAACACTCGCAGATAGTCTACCCTCAAGACAGCCTGGCAACGATGATCGGAATAGTACATGGCCGGGCGTAATTCTGCTCCTCGGGTTCGAACAATCTCCCATTCTCGTATCCACAATGGAGTTCGTTCCGCGGAGTGTAGACTAGGCACAATTCAGGCAGGCATCACGTCCAAAGGCGCCAACTACGGCCTCGTCCATCTACTAAGGTATCATCTAAATGATGCTTGGGTATATCCGTACTGCACAAGGGCACTTTTGTCATTTGATCCTCTATATGCAGTTCTCGTATAACCCACATTAGTGTCTGCCCTTTTCTCTTGGCTTTACGTCATTTAATGGGATGACAAAGATGTCAACTTGACAGCTACATCACATCGGCTAAACGGCATGGAGATGTCATATTGAATTTGTATTATCATGTTTGTTTGTGTCGTTTGTATCGTCTCCCGCAGACAACCACTTTCCCTTTATCCAGCCTTGTGCTTCCTTCGACACACTAATAATTTTTTTTTCCTCTTCTGTGAAAGTCTTCCCAAGGCTATGAAATAACAAAATAAGCTTAACCCCACCATCCCGTCTAGATTGCAAAATACAAGAACGCAACAATATTAACTTTGAGCTGATAAAAAGTAGCTATATCGTTGTCCGTAATATGGAACCCCCCTTTTTAGGTTCCATGTTTTACTCCCCTTCGCTTAAGCCTTGAACTCCTCCAGGTTGCTGCTCTCCCACTTGCCAGGGATGAGAGCCAGAGGAACAATACCAGAGACGTGCATCTCGGGGCCAAAGATCTTGGCGTTGAGGCCAAGCTCGGCGGTGGCAGACTTCATGTTCTTCAGACCCTCCTGGTAGTTGGGGCCGGCACGACGCACCCAGATCTGAACGTTGTGCTCAATCAGCTGGGGAGCGACGTCACGGAGAGCGCGGATGACACCCTTGAAGGTGCTGGCGACGTTGGTGAAGTTGGCAATGCCACCACCAATGAACAGGACCTTGCCCTTGTCGGCCATGGGAGCGCGCAGCATCAGGTCCAGGACCGTGCGGGCGTAGTGGTAGGTTTGTGACTCGGTGGGAGCACCAGAGTATTCACCGTAGTTGGCCAGCTCGTCGGCGAAGCCGGCGGAGGCAATGGCGTCGGCATAGACGACGGAAGCACCGCCACCAGCAACCAGTGTCCAGATGCGGCCAGTAGGGTTGAGAACGGTGAGCTTCAGAGAAGCACCAGTCTTTGCGTCCAGCTCAGCGATGAAGGCCTCCTCCTTGGAGAGCTCACGGCCAAAGGGGGCAGGGAACTCCATTGGGGGACCAGCATCGATGCTGACCTTGTCACCACCAGGGGCAATGTTGGTGAGGCCAAGGGCAGCAGGAGATCGGGCAATGGCCCACTTGACACCGCACTCAAAGTCGGCGGTCTGGTCGAGCTTGGCAGCAAGATCCAGGAAGTGGACGGCGGCAGAGGTCTTGTCCTCGTTGGGGATCACAACCAAGGGGTTGATCTCGAGGTAGGTGAACTGGCAGTCCACGTAGACGGCGTACAGCCGGGTGATGAAGTCCACCAGGACATTGTGAAGACCAGAGGGAATGTTCTTGAGAAGAGCAGCTGCAATCTCCTCGTTGGAAGGGTACTCTGAGAGATCCACGGGGATCAGGAGCTTCTCAGCCTTGGCGTCGACATCACCGACGTCAACACCACCCTCGTGGGTGAAGAGAATCCAGTCTCCCTAAATCAATTGAAAAAAAGATGTTGTCAGCAAAGATTTTCTGATAGATGGCATAAATGATAAGATAGTATGAGAGCTGAGCTGAGGATGGAGTTGAGATGTGGTGTGTAATCGCGCGAGCAGGGGTGTGACTAAGTCCTGTCCAGGACCCTCCCTATTGTGACATCCGTTCGTCCGCCCGGCCTCTCGTTTCGGCAGGCTACGGAGACAATTTTCACACCGAGTGCAAGCGCCATGGCCTGGTATATATAAAGAAAATCCTTTCTTTCGCCCGAAGCCTTTTATATCTCACCCATCTTCTCTCAAAACTCAATTTTGAATCCCCTTGCACCCCTTCTTGTCATGCACCATAGGAGTCACTCGACTCTACCCAGATGACCAGCATGTGGTTCTTCTGCAGATGGTGTGTTTGTTGACAATTTTCAAGAAACAGAGCCAAACAAGAAAAAGAAATGGAATGAAAAAGAGGAAAAAATTACTCACATCACGGACTGAGTTGATGTTGATGTAGTACTCTGTGTCTTGAGGGTG